ACATTAGTCTAAAAACAAGAAAAAATCTATTGAAGACATATGCATGGAGCATTGCCCTATAATAGGTGTGAGACCTGGACAATAACAATGGAATAACGAAGAATACTGGAAGCGTTTGAAATGTGGTGTTACAGGACACTAAGTTGGATAAGTTGGATGGAAAGAGTAACCAATGTAGAAGTACTGGAAAGAATATCAGAAGGAAAATTACTATGGAAAAATATAGTTAGAAAACGATACGAAAGGATAGGCCATATAATGAGACACGAAGGATTGTTAAAACTGATTATAGAAGGAAGAGTGGAAGGACAGAACCACAGGGGAAGACCAAGATTAGAATACATTCAACAGATAATAAAGGACCAAGGATGTGACTCATATGTAGAAATGAAAAGGAAAGCAGATAATAGAGAAGAATGGAAGATGGCTGCAAACCAATCTATGGATTGAAACCATAGAGAGAGAGGTAAGCTTTTATAAGTAATATTACATACTAATAATAATAATAATAATAATAATAACTATACAAGTACACAACATAAATCACTAAACTATACTGGTGACTTTTTAGTAAAAATTATAGAAAATCCATCGGGGTTTCGGGGTGTTTTGGGATTTTATTACTAAAACACACCTAAAAAAAAAAACCAGAGTGGGTTGGGTTTTTATCATTTTTGAGAACCGTTGTTGAGTAATGGTCCTTACCCGTGTGCAAAGTGTATTTTTCGATACCGGTCGGGGCGAATTATATGATAATAAAAGTAACAATTTTAAAATTTTTTTTTTTTTAACAAAAAGGGGGATAATAAAAAAACAAATAATAATAATAACATTAGACGGCCAAGTCTATGAGCGGTTTTCGTCGGGACGGTGTGCTAAGGACTGTGGCGTGCCCAAAAAAAAATGATTAATGTCCTTATATCCACCAGTGCGGTGGTACGCGAGGCTTTTACTCTGTTGGCAAAGGCTTTTTGGGGATTATCATTTTGACGTTGGCGGGTACTTAAAGCCGTCAGCGACGGTTCATTCGTTTGTGCGCGCTGTACATAACCGATTTTGACTTATGACCATCGTGGTGTTATACAGGGTGATTTTTTATTTGTATCAACATTTTGAAACTCAAATAACAACGCAAACATTTGGAAAAGGGGGTTTTTGATTACATCAAAATTTTGTGAGATTTTGAGATCACATTGTTTAAAAACACTATCAGCCGGTTTCACCGACTATTATTAAATACACTCTTTGTTAGTTAACAATTCATTTGAATTTAACATCTGGTTAATTCAAGCAAGTTTCACCATAACATTGTTATTATTAAATTATATTTGTTGAGTTATCAAAATGTTAATTGGGTTACCAAAGTGGTTACCTCGATTCCAACGTTCTCATTGGTTGTCACTAAAATGTGACTGATAAGTGATAATATTAAAGTTTTATAACTATTATATAGTATTCATTCGGTGTTTTCTATTTTTTATTGTTTATTACAATTCAAAGGTTGTGAAAAAAATTTGTAATAACTTAGAAAAAGAAACCAAAACTAGTGTAGTAAAAATGAACTTAAATTATTTTTGTTTTTTCGGAGTTACTTCACTTTTACAATGAACGAGGAGTAATATGTTATTTCTGTTTTTATTTATGGCTTATCCCGTGTATTACGGCCATTTAAACGGTTGTCAGGACTAACTTCAAGCACTCATACAATATTTAAGTCGCCGGTTGCAAAACCTTAGTATCTGTTTATTTTTCCAACATCGATGTACACTATGTACTCTGATAATAATTTTTATTAGGAATATACTGGATTTAGTAATAATAATGTCGTGTACACCATATTTGATGTGAATACGATTGAATTGAACTGTTGCGCCACTTGACATCAATCGAATCGAGTATTAGACATTATAATAATGATAACAATGTGTGTTTATACTTTTCGGCCGCTTATAGAGCTACCTACATGCAAAAGTCACAATATAATAATAATTACTATAAAAATACAACATGACACGTCGTTTCGCAAGCGGTATTCACTGCTGGCGGACAAAACGATTCCGGTCATTGTTGTGGGCCAATATAATTTATCAGCTGTTGCGGACTCGGTTATTGAGTGGTTTCGTATTGGCGGAAAAGTATAGAATCCGGTCAAAAGAGAGGATAAATCGCTTTTCCGCGTGTCGGCCAATTTACAGGGTTGCTGAGAGCCACGAACGACCGGAAAAAGATTTTCTAGATTTACAACCGTGTGCATGTTGTCAATATCACCAGGACTAGGTGTTTGTGGTCTCTCCACCAAAGTCGGAGTATTGTGTGACTCAATTGCCATGTAGCCTGGTTTCAGCTATCAGACTAAATGACCAAGTGCACATAAATAATGTGTTCATCTTATCAGACCCATTCGCGTTTGGTTTATTGTGTTTTCTTTTGATTTTTCGACGTGACGGACCTTCGGCAATAACATTAGGATCAAGGTATCCGAAACACACGTGTACATGGATTGTGTGTTTGCATTGTCGCCCTGTCAATTTTTTGGCGGCCGGTTTAGAGGTGCAGTACCTTGAGCGAGCCGGGCGTGTGTCCGCAGGACCCTCGGGGCGTACATAATAAAATACTATTGCCTGTGCTTATTTATTATCATAATTTCAGTATCCAAAAGCATGCACACGGTGTACGACGTGACGCAAACAACCTGCTGATAATGAATCGACCGTCGATATTGATAAAGATCTGACAGACCGTTTGGCAGAAACATTATTACCTGAAGGTATACGGCAGCTGCTATTGGCCGTATAACGTTACAAAATACAATATAATGTACAAACCGAGAATCTATAAACCGATATTATTGAACGCCTCCAAATACATGTGACACGTGTGGGTGACCATGCGATGTGTGGGCCAGATTCAATGGGACCGGGAATTTGTCGCCTAAAGTTCAAAAGTTCTCCTACGAGCCTTTGATTCGCTTTGGGCGCTTCAGTCCCCTTTTGTGTACCGCCGAGCACACTTACGGTAAATTAATTCTGCAAACTATATGCGTCTGTCTTGTTACTTGTTATAACGCGGTTTAGCATCGAGATTATACTCCCACGTGTATAGTGCACGTTATATATGAAATATTACACAGTCTACCGTCGGTGTGGAAGATGTTGAAATTGTGATTTATTCCAAATTTGATTTTCGGGCGGCTCGAAAAGTATTAATGAAGCCGTATTATCGCGTCGACACCGTTCCAGGCGATCCAAGTTAATCCTGCTCTGCGATTTATAATATTTAATTAATCAAACAAATTTTACACGGTCCGTTATGTATATGTGTTCATAATAAATCATACATTTCCATAGCCAATAAATTCAGCAAACAAGCCGGTATCATCACACTGTGTAGGAAGTCACTGCCGCCGCCGAGTTGGCTAAACCGGTTTGCGTTTGGACGTTTGTTTTCTTGCAAGATGTTTTATTAGTATATTTGACAATTGTCTTACAAAAAGACATAATTCAGAACTTCATCGATTCAAGTGGAACGGCTAATGTATAGTTTGGGTTTGGGGTTGGTTACCATGTGCTTAGGTTTATTTAATAAACGTACTGCTCGGTCTGGGTTAAAATAAAATTATTAACATAACATATAAAATCTCAGGTATCTTATTCTTGTTTCTTTCACTCGGGTATTGCTCGTGGGGATGAAGGATTAAAAGAATAACAACGAAAAATACACCTTATCGCAATACGGTTTTAATTTTTTTTCTTTTTTTTTATGATTATGCGCATAATAAATCGTTTATTTGACGTGCACATCACACGTGTTGTCTTATCATATTATCATGGTAGAGCTCTGAATTAGATTAAAGAACTTATAAATAATATATCTCTTAAATGTCTAAAACGTTTTCGTTTAAAAGCTTAGTGTAGCGTTTGCACTTTTAGAAATGTTTCTATGCTCAGGCTAAACCTATAAATTCATTTTAGCTTATTCATAGCTTCGTTTTAGATATATATATAATCATTGTCGGTAAATCACTTTAAGACTCTTGTTGGTAACTGGTTTTCTCGGTGTGCTTTTATATACATGCAAACCGTTTAATATCTTAATTTGTCGTCATTCGATTAGTTGCTGAGTCGGTGGTTGGAATTTTTTTTTGGAAATAACACTTGAACCATAAAAATATAAGACTGTATTCCCCTCTGGAGATGTATCAACTTCTTGATGATATTTTTAGTAGGGCGAATAAGAAAAATAGCCACAGAAAACTCGACGGGCCGTCAAAGAAAGTTAATCGTTTCATTAATCTGACTGCTTGTCTACTTATATTACAAAGTAAACTGCTGGGGTCTCTTTTGAAATGAATCAAGTAGAGAATATACCGGTGACTAAATTGAGTTTTTCGTTGGCTAATGTACTTTTAGAACAGTCACTTTACACAGCAACTAATAACCATTGGACCTAACCTCACATTATAGAGCTGTAATTGTGTTTTTGTTGTTGATAGGATTCCAGACTTTTCTCAAATGTCAACGTTTGAATTGCTTACAAAATAAAGACATATAAGTGGCTGTTTTTGTTTTGTGGGGGTAGGAGCACAAGCTGAATCGCCTTTAAACGGCCATTTCTCAAGACAATAGCGTGTGTAATCATTATGGTATTAATGGCAAACCAATTAAAAAAAAAATAAATAAACCCATACTGCTTTCTGTATGCAACACAAAACTAAAAAGAAATGTGTAACGCACAGGGTGTGGTGCGACAAGACCGAACAAGGCGTGGGATAAAAACGTTTATCCCCAGACGAGATAACAACACTATATTATTGTGTTACCACATTTGTTACAGAAACGAAACAGAAATAATCATAATAATAGTAAATATGCGCACTTCTCCTGCCCCTCAGTAACCGGTTACCAGATACCAGATACCGCAGTTGACGTCGGCGGCGATTGTTCGAAATCCTACAATAATCCTATACAATATCGTTGCCGCTGTTGTTGTTCTGGAAGGGATGATATTATTACGGTTAAACTTTTAGCCTACCTATAAATACCGTGTCGGCCACAACCGTTTTCATCAGTTCATTATTGTGCATTTTACACATCTACCACATCCATTCCAATCCAAACACACACACACAATGGCCGCCAAGGTGAGTTCAAATTATTGTTGTACTATTTTTTGCTTTTGTTTTTTCAATAACAGCTGTCGTTTTGTGTCGATTGGCTCCATAGAACGGTATCTCCCTAGTTTATAATATGTCTTATCGCTCACTTTGTTCTTCGGTTCAACTATATCGTGGCATTTGACATAAAACACAAATGGGCCTTTGCATACATATAGTTTGATCAACTAAAATATTATCAACTGTCATTATATAGGGGCACGATAAATGTCACATTCGGTCGGTTGAACTATTAGCTTAGTTATTCCAACTATGACTTTATTGTATCCGTCCTATGTAATTAATAATTATTATTTTGGTCGATCCAACTTCTTTAAACTTTCGCCATAACTCGGAAAAAGTAACTTTAGGAGTTTATCTAGAAACCCTTAATACATTTTTTCACTTGAAACTCATTCGGCATATCCAAAATTAGATACATTTTTGTCAAATATTACCTAACGTTTGCCTCGTTAATAATTAGCCCTTTCCGTCCCGTTTAACCTATCTACCGTTCTCGTTCTAAAAAAATGGCGTAGATTAGAGAGAGGGAGGGGGGCTCGAGATTCTAAAAGCCATAAAACAATCTTAAAACTTAAAATTATTCGTACATAATTTATTTGTATGTCAACAAATCTCACTAAAAATACATCTACTAAAACATGAATGTAGATATTTTGAAAAGCGCTAATTAAAAGGTTTTCAATACCTCAAGACCCTCCCCGTAATCTTGGCTAATGTTTCTTTTAAGAAAAAAAGGCGCTCTGAAGATCGACTAACTCACTGTTTGTTTTTTTTTTCTTACAGTTGATCGTGTTCGCCGCTTGCGTGGCTTCAGCGCTCGCCCAGTACCCTTACGCCGCCCCGGCTTACCCGGCCCCGGCTTACCCCAAGGCGTACGCCCCCGAACCGGCTTACCCGCCGAAACCGTACAGCTTCGAGTACAGCGTCAACGACCCGTACACTTACGACGTGAAGAGCCAGTCCGAGTACGCCGACGGCAACGGCTACGTCAAGGGCTCGTACAGCCTGGTCGAGCCCGACGGTTCCACCCGCGTGGTCGAGTACACCGCCGACGACTACAACGGATTCAACGCCGAGGTGAAGAAAATCGACGGAGGCTACAAGGCCCCGTACAGCGCCCCGGCCTACAAGCCAGCGCCGTACTCCGCCCCGGCCTACCCGGCCGCCTACCCCGCACCGGCCTACAAGCCCAGCCCGTACAAGCCATACTAAGCCGCATGACGCGTGGGTGCCATATTTTCTTCAATCTCTTTGATCTGATATTACACCGACAACAGCTGTCATCGTACGGATGTGCCTTCGTTAATATTACTGTTTTAATATATTATTTTCTATTGTATAAAAATGACTGTGCACTGTACATTACATCGTGTAAATAAAACACTCATCGTACCTTATCAACAGTGTTTTTCATTTGGTTTGTGTTATTTACCATTTATCGTTGATTTTTTAGTTTTTCCTTACCTTTTTGATCAATAGAGTGGTCCACTCAAATTAAGTGCTTCCTGGTACTTGATTTGATTTCGAGGGTTCAAAAAAATATGACTGTCTGTTTATACTTTTCAAATAATTTATACATAATCTAATGTCAAATTCTCAAAAACATTTATGATGAAACGTCTTTGTAATTTATTTATTATACTTAGCCGATTGAGGTTCAAGAGTGGGTAGCTAGTTAAGTGTATGGACATCAAATAACAATGTGAATTATTTGTGACAATTGCATGGTAATTGTATCATAAATTTTGGATTTCGGTTTCTATTCAAACGACAAATTAATACGCTGTCATTAGTTTAGTAGTGTTTAGAGTTTGTCACTTGTTTATCATGATTATATTATGTATGTTGTACCTACACAGACCAGAGCGGCCGATCGTTTTAGCTTTATTATTATTATATGGTACCAAACATAGTATTATAATAATATTACTTTATTACTATTCAGTTAAAATACTAAACGCGGAACGTGGTCAAGTATAACACCCCTACCGAACTGTCCGCAATAATAGTATTTATTTATGTTCGACATGAACGATCATGGGCTGTAATATCATAGCGCCATCGTGTATAGGCAAAAGTCTAATAAGTCGGCTCGTGAAGTTTCTGCGATAACAATACATAATATTTTATATCTACCGGACAACAATCTGTTTGCCGGCTGTACCGTTTTAGCAAATGGTAACTTTTCGCCGGTTACACTACACTGCACCCAACGGGCAACAATGATCATTAATCACTTAGTTCGACCAGTACCAGGGGTGTAGGATTTGCAATTGGACGGCACCTATAACACGGCAGCTATAAAAGCGTTCGAGAAGACCGTAGGTATATAATATGGGAATGGAAGAAAGCAAAAAAAAAAAAATAAGCTAAAACTTCCATTTATCTCTCTCGCCGGCTATTGATTAATCGACTGCCAGGTAATATTATATACCCGCCGAATCACAACGATCGTCAACCCTTTGGACTTTTCCCATTAAAAGGTCCCTGACGATATTCAAACAAGACTGTCTGGGTGTGTGTGTACTGTATTAAACGGTCGGGTGCTTCTCAATTAGCACAGCTACATTGCTTTGTTCTGTCGACTCACTGTGCCACATGAACACGGTTGTCAAAAATATAACTATGAGCACTGAGAAACAATATTGGTCTTGAGACAGGTTTCACACACATGCACCGTACAGCGTTATGCACATTTGTTTGAACGCCAAAGGCCTACAAAGTAAGGGTTAAGTATAGCTTGTCATCATATCATTATAATAAGATAGCACACAACGCGTTAATTATTATTGCTGTTATACATAATACTGTTGTGTAGCAATCGAGTGCCGCGTTTTAATTATCGAACATCTCATAAAAATATAACTTCAGGCTGTCTTGTTAAAACTAATTGCGGTTTCCAATGGGTTTTCTATGCTAATTTTTTAATTAACTTTTACTAAACACAAGAGGTCATTGCAAAACTATATGAAACGTATATAGACGCTGACGGGGGGGTCAACAGATTTTAACAGATCCCGGGATTTCCAGGTTAGTAGGTATTCCTGAACGAACTTCGGGTTAATTCTTATGGAATTATATTTGTGATTAAAAGTGTACATTTGCAAACTGATGTGGACTGATTATTGGATTTTCAAAGACTGTACATAAACATTCGGTGCACGCTCTAATGCATATTTTTTATTACATCATTCGCGATAAACACATTATATCTATCTATTATTGATCCTCCTCGAGTCGTGGGAGTCGTGATGGCCGGTTAACCGAAATGACCCGGCCGTCAAAAACAGCACATCAGCCGTAGGCACGGCGAATGGACCTTCTGACCTGTTGCTCGTCCCGTTCAAATAGACAACTCACTGATCGTTCAGTATAATATAAATACATTGTCGACAATGATTTAGGGGAAACCAAAGAATATTACAATATAGGTCATCGTTGGACTGCAATACTCGGCCACTGTCTATCTATCGAGTCGATTAAGACATTTTAATTCAATCGCACAGTGCAAATAAAATACTAATAACGTCAAAAGGCTTGCTGTCAATTAAGACGTTATCCGTGTGTGTTTACCAGAGACTAGAAGCGAGAACCGTCAATACCGCCTTAGGCCTTCGAACGGTTGTCAAATGCGGTTTACCTTTTGTCTTTTTATTATTGAAAAAATATATATATATATATTTTTGGTACTACTCTGCAGCTGTTGTTTTATAGACACGACTTCTTATTAATAGTAAAGAGACGTTTTCTAGACACTTTTCTTTTTCTCAAACAATCGTGTCAGCTGTAGTGATGCGACGACTAGATTTCAGAAGGAATAATTATTATTATAATCCCATTTATCCCATTCTGCGTGTTACCATATTTGACTGGGGAAGTTCAAATGCTTCTGAGCACGTGTACCTACATCAGAACCTAAACCGGTATAATGGCCGAAGATGGCGGCCAGCGGGGCGAACGGTCGTGCCGACATTGACCTATAATATGATACAGCGACCGTAATACAGTTTTTACTTTTTTTTTTTTTTTTATTCAATCTCTCTCTATCCACATTCCTTTTCATTAAGTGTATACACTTGTACTTTTTATTATTATTATTATTGTTTTTTACCACCCGTTTGTGGCGGGCGTTACTAACGCAGCACGCGCCAGCCGCTAAGTCTGCAGTTTTTTTTTTTATAAGGATTTCTTTGATATATGACGTTTTGATAATAGCGCTATAATACATGTGCGCTGGACGGTGAAAGAGATAATGATAATAATAGTAATATTATAATATATAGGTATATCATATAGTGAATACTGAATAGACTCGGATAGACGTTATCATAGCTGTTGACTTACGGCAAAGTTTCAACGTGATTTTATACATAAAGCGCGCGGTTAAGGTGTGCGCATGAATTGGTTCCATTATATTATTATAGTTATAATCTGATAAACTTTTGATCTAGTAGGTACAAACTAGTTGTGTTGGTTTTCATGTAGTTCTGTTAGAAAGAAAAAAAAATGTTTGTAGAGTTACATAAGGACAGATTTCTTTGGCCATTGTTACTAATTACTTTTGTTATTGGCTAGAGCTTTTGTTTTAAATATCATATTTAATACAAACTTATTGGTTGCCTATTACAAGTTTTTTTCTTTCAAGGGATTTCTCAGAATATTTGTCGTCAAATAGTGTTATGTCTAATCAATTTATATTCTTTTATCAGTTTTGCCTTTCAGTAAAATGATAAATTATAATTTTTTTTAAAACGTTATTTTTGTAATATTTTGTCAAAAAAAAACAATATCGTTTTAATAATCTACCGGAAAGTAAAATTTAAAAAATTAATATAAAAAAAAATCAATGAAAATTCTGTAAATCTATTTGTTAATTTAAAAATTAAAAAAAAACCGCATCATACACTAGTTTAATAAAACATTAACTTACACATCTGAAGTAGTGTCAATGGACGCCCCCTTCAATCAAGTCGTCCAGCGTTGTAAATAAATTAGCCCTACATTTTTCTTATTGTATATACTAATACAGATTGTAAATATTTTCAAAAAAAAAATCTATTTGTCTATATTATAAATATTTTTACTATAATAAGTATATTTTTTGTGCTTCATATATATAATTATGTACCATTTATTATTATTAAATATTATTTAAATGGGCGTTATTTTGTTGATGCTGATGTTTTTTTAAGATTAATTTTGAAAAAGACTCTGTTAGTTGTTAGGTCAGCCCAAATCATTCTATTAGTAGCACTAGATGACTTTTCCAACGTGGGTGCTGCTTACCGACTGTGTTAAAAAAGCACATTTCGTAGAAATGTTAAAAAAAACTTTAATTTTTACAAAACGTGTATCATTTTTCAACTTTGGCGGCTAAATACATACTTATCACACTGCGGCCATCTTCTTAAGGCTCTACACCACTGTAGTTTTTACCACATAATTTTTAGCTGTGTATAGATATAATACACATACCATTAAATAGGTCTTTACAAAATGGACTAGACGAATCGTCTAATTGATTATAAAATACATAAAGAGTTGATATATGTATATTAAACAGCTGTTGTCAGACTGCTAAACAGAGACTGAGGTGTGGGTTAACAAATGATTGAAGACAAAATCTGGTGTTTGGCAAATGCGTCGAGACGTTTATTTACAAAAATAAATACATGCGTTTGTGTTTCAGCTGTACAGCATCTGCAGCGGTTCAATTTGAACGGCCACGGCCTAACGATTCGAGACAATACAATATATTATAGTATTATTTAAATAACATAATACTAATATAATATATTGCAGTATAATAATAATTTAGTTTAATCATTCATAAACGGAATTGAGAGATGTCAATGTGAAATCAGTACGGTTTGTACGGGCTGGGCTTGTAGGCCGGTGCGGGGTAAGCTGGTGCCGGGTAAGCGGGTTTGTACGCCGGGGCGGCCTTGTAAGCGGGTGGTGCGCTGTACGGGGCCTTGTAGCCTCCGTCGATTTTCTTCACCTCGGCGTTGAATCCGTTGTAGTCGTCGGCGGTGTACTCGACCACGCGGGTGGAACCGTCGGGCTCGACCAGGCTGTACGAGCCCTTGACGTAGCCGTTGCCGTCGGCGTACTCGGACTGGCTCTTGACGTCGTACGTGGACGGGTCGTTGACGCTGTACTCGAAGTTGTACGGTTTCGGCGGGTAAGCCGGTTCGGGGGCGTACGCCTTGGGCGCAGGGTAAGCCGCCGGTGCAGGGTAAGCCGGGGCGGCGGCGTACGCTGGCTTGTAGGCGGGGGCGGCGTATTGGCCGAGAGCCGAAGCCACGCAAGCGGCGAAGATGATCAACTGTAATAGACATGAGTTATTTTTTATTAGACATATTGAAAAATATTATCTATTGAACTTGTGCTCTTGTTACGGCCATTTCCCTCCTTCCCCTCCCCCATGGACTAGTGTCTCTTTAAAACAAAAAATTACTGAAACGTAAGAACGCGAAATTTAACCGTCCGTAATTGGGTTTGGTGTGTTAAATTTTTTACTGCTGTTAAACGCCAACAAAAAAAAAAAACAGACAGTCGACGTTTTACATTTTAGACCACGCGAAAAACTAAAACTAGACTCGAGCCAACGAAATAATATTAAGTCATAAACGGTGTCTCTTACCTTAGCGGCCATTGCGATGGGTTTTGTTTTGCTAATGTCGTGGTACTGAACGGACTGAGACGAGTGACTGGTGATCGAGCCGACCGTCGCCTAGGTATTTATATATGCTAAAAAGTTCACAGTTCCCTGAACCCTTCCAGGCCACGCACACTCCACGGACACTTTCAAACGGTCCAAACCGGTTGTGTGATGAACATGTGTGTGTGTGTGTTAAAAAGGTACTATACGCCAATGGCCGTATCCACGGTAATGTATGGTAGCGTATCAAGGCTACGCCTTTCGGGTTAGAACTATATTCGATTTGGAACAGTGGTGTGTACGTTTACCTTGTCTTGTTCCGAGTTTGCACGTGTAAGCTGATTATTGCCGTTTAAAGTTTAAACGGTATCCGCCGACAAGTGTTCATGGCAACTTGTGTTTCTTCACATATTATTATATTTGAATACCGCCGACCAACAGCCTAGCCGGTCAACAACAGCCGCCTTTGTTGATCCTATATTTTGTTTGGTCAGCTAATCATTTTTGGCAGCCAACAGAATATTGTATAGTATTTTTTATATATGCCTTCATATATATATACATATATATATATTGTTTTGCATTCGACCTGTCGGTTAGGTTCAACGACAACAGTGTAAGGTACTTTTTAAATTTTGTTTCAAGGTAAGCTTTTCAATTTGATTTTCACGCAGTACCGTTTTATCTAATTGAAATTGGTATGATATCATAATTATTATTTAACTATGTAGGTTATACAGCGGTTTATAATAATATATTATCTTGTAGTTTAAAGGCCAGGGTGATCTGTCAGGTGCGGTAGCCAAGATCCCGTTGTACCGGCTGTATGTTATTTATTCAATTAAATTGATCATGATTAATTGCTATCGTTGCCGGACCGAATATTATTTTCTAGGCCGATGTACCATAAGACCAGTATTCAAACATAAGCTTGGAAAAAAAATAGTTTCTATATTTGTTAAATCAATTAATATTGTTTATAGACAATATTATCGTGCAAACATGTGTGTGTACAGCTTTGAGTAGAATGTATACAATCACTGTTTTAGTGTATTGGAAATTGTATGCTGTAGAAAATATAATATCCCAAAGCTAATAACATTTTTTTTTTTTAAAGTTGACTCGTAAGAAATGTAAACTTTTTAAATATTTATTTTGTTTTGTCCAATTTGCTTGTATTTTTTTCTTTAACATAAAACATACGTGTATAGAAGTATTACACGCCAAACACTAATCGGTGAAAGAGTAACAATTATTGAACGCCAAATGCCGAAACGGGCGAAGGGGCTATCAAACATTATGTAAGACTAATATGTTGCTGTACACACACACCTGTTCGAAAATTCTGCTGTTTGGTAACAGCCGAGAGCTGCAGCTGTCTTATGTTATCGTTTGTTGTCTTATCTATAAACTTCATCTCGGTTGTTATGTGTACAATATTTTCATAATACTCAACTGTTCGTGGGAATACTCGAAAATCGCGGATCGATTATTGGAAGACAACACCCCTTAGGGCACGGTGTTATGCTAAGTATAAGGCCGCTGTTTTGCCACACCGACTGTGATCTTGGACGTCCAACCTCGTCAAGTTCATGTGTGTTGTATACACGTCATTTTTCGGACCTCGGGTTGCGTTATACAATATCATATAATTACAATAATTATTAACATTAGGTGTATATGATGATTATTTCACCTAATGCCACACGTCTAGTCCTACGCCGATGGGCGGTGAACGTCCGCCTTGACCCTAAAAATCTTCTGGACAACCGATTTGTGATTTACAAGCCATCGATTAATAAAAATCAACGATTGTTATTAAATCGTGCGCAGCGCTTGAGTGTGTACAATACAGTAATATTAGTAGGCGCGAATAGCCTTAAACTGTTCATTTACATGGAGGTTACAACGATCGGGTGATTATATTATTATTAATCTTTTGTCGGTTGGTCGAAAACTACCCGCCCCCTCCCCCCACAGCCTATAAGAAATCTGTAAAATTTCAGATCCACCTAGATTAACTCTAAATACATCCTATTGTTTGCATTTGACTAATTAAAATTAAAAAAAAAGAAGGCGTTTGAAGCTGAAATATGACACTTCAAATGACACTCCTTGGATATTTTGAAGATGCTAATTTTTGAAACCGATAACTCGCTAAAATAAAATTTGATCATGAATATCTAAAAAAAAATGATTTGCAGAGTGTCTTATTTTAGCTTTAAGAATTTATCGAATTTTTAATTTAGTTTTAAATTAGAATTCGTTTAACAAAATGTTAAAAATTGTCCCATGTTGATCGAATGCAAAAACAAAGAAAAACACAAGGCTGTACTTAGAGTTAAGGACATGCCGTCTTAGAGTTTTCTTATTCCAATAGACTACCATAAATAATTGTGATTTTACTATCAATAAAATCGCGATAAGACCAAAAGAAAACAGGTTTCCGGGGTAACACGACCAAACAAAAATAAGCTACATCTTTAAGCTTCTGCCGTGCATACCTACCAAATTCGAATAGGTTCATCTAGACAACCGAACAAACATAACGAGTACAATTTAGGGGAAAATTAGATATCTCGCTATCGGAGGGCAGAATGCCAATTTGTTCTATTTTCAATTGCAGTACATAATATGACGCTGATATAAGATATGTATCATAGTGTTACAGCTTACTATTGGAATTGCAGTGGTCCAAGTCAGAGATTATAGAGAGGGTTTCGGTTAGCATTTTCAACGATTACATTGCTACAGGAATAACAGGCCATCTGGTAATGCATCTGATGTGTGTCCTATCGTCGAGTGTGCACAAATTTCAGCCCATACGGATGCGGCTATTGTAAAATCGCAAATTCTTGTTATAATATTCTCAAACACACAAATTAGGTGGGCGACGTTGCAATATGCGTTCATGTGCGTTTAGGCGGCCACACGGCTTGTGAGCTTACGCTCGGCCGAGGGACATTCATTATACCTGTTATGTGCGTTGTTATTATTACCTTTATGTTATTATACATTATGGTGGACGATAAATGCCTATCCGGTTGGGTTTTCAAGGAGGAATGCGCTCGGCGATTGGCGAATTGCATTGCACATTATTCGGTTATTTATGTGTGGTTGGAAAGTTGGACGTGAACTGATTAAGCGACACGGAGGTCATTCCGTCAAACGTACAACAACAATATAATAATAATAATATTCGATTAGACCGTGTACACTTAGGCACACGATCACGATATTTCCCTTTTTCGTCTTTGGCTATAACAATATGTATACACATAACAATATTATACTATGTTGAGCACTATCCGCCTATAATAATAATAATAATAATAATGCACGGTCGTGTCTGCAAAGTCGACAATCCGTTTTGTACCGCTTAAATGATTGTCAACGTTTTGAAAATGAAAAAAAAAAGATCATAGAAAAGCCTAAAATCTGCCCGCAACACTGGCGCCATTTTTTTGACAACCCAACTTGTACAAGGACACAAGTTGGAGACAGTTGACAAGAAGAAAAATCTAAATTGTTATTTTAAAGCAATTACATTGTTTCTCTTTTTAAATATGCATAACGCAATACATTTTAGTATGTACACAAGTACATTAGTCATTCACTTGTTTATATTTAAAAAAATACAAAAAAAAAATGATCAATTTATATAATTTTTTTTTATACCAGCATTTCTATTGAATAAAAAAATATTTTTTCTTTGCACAAAACGTGCGATTGCATTAACAACACAATCTGTTGTAACATCTGCTTTAGTAGTCACCACGTTATTTTTAATTAACATCCAAATATTCGTCTTGACTGTTAAATATTATAATATGAACTAAGGTTCGTTGAATGGTATTAGCAATAAAAAAAAAACTTAACATTAATTGTGCGCCGCAGTGAATATTTTTTTAATTATAAAACGCGAATACACTGTACGTTAAAACGATATTTCATTTCGAGTGTTGTCAAGTTGAACTAATTAAAAATCAGCTAGTGCCGTTTCAGGGTAATTTACAAACATATAAATACTTGTTAATTAACAGTATTGACCTCTTTATTGCAGCTGTTGCAACGTCTGATGCATTTCTTGTCACGACGTTCACCTCTGACAGAGTTCATATGTATTGTTTTGTACAAATATAATGTAACGCGGTTAAATTAAATAAAAAGCCGTAATCATGGAAAAAAAACTATGTTAATTGAGAAACTAAAATGGTTTATGTCAGGCTTTTTTTTTTTTACCTTTATGCCTAAGCTAAGTTTGCGATAAGCATTGACAGTGTCATGTTATTAGAAAAATAACAATAATATACATGTTATAATATTAATAATTGTACACCATTAACCGTTCCGTGTAGCCAAACGTCTTACAAGACGTGTAATCTACACGATGGCTTGAGGCACGAGGACGAGGTAAGTCAGACAGAAACAAACAAACAAAACAAATTATGATTGTGATTCGTAAAATACGTCGAGCTATATATTTACACACGTTTGACAATAATGTTGTTGGCAAAACGTACAGAACGAGATGAGGAAGAGAAATGACTTGACGGCCTGAATGCCTGGCGCGGCTGCTCGGCCAAGATACACAAGAAGGAGAAGATCACCGGCTCAAGACGTTAGACGCCTTAGTAGGCCTTGTACGGGGCTGGTTTGTAGGCCGGTGCTGGGTAAGCTGGTGCCGGGTAAGCAGCTGGTGCTGGGTAGGCTGGTGCTGGGTAAGCAGCCGGTGCTGGGTACGCGGGTTTGTACGCCGGGGCGGCCTTGTAAGCGGGTGCTGCGCTGTACGGGGCTTTGTATTCGCCGCCGACTTTCTTCACCTCGGCGTTGAATCCGTAGTTGTCGGCGGTGTACTCGACCACGCGGGTGGAACCGTCGGGCTCGACCAGGCTGTACGATCCCTTGACGTAGCCGTTGGCGTCGGCGTACTCGGACTGGCTCTTGACGTCGTACGTGGACGGGTCGTTGACGCTGTACTCGAAGCTGTACGGTTTCGGCGGGTAAGCCGGTTCGGGGGCGTACGCCTTGGGCGCAGGGTAAGCGCCGGGGAAGCGGGCGGCGGCGTACGCTGGCTTGTAGGCGGGGGCGGCGTATTGGCTGAGAGCCGAAGCCACGCAAGCGGCGAAGATGATCAACTGTAATAGACATGAGTTATTTTTTATTAGACATATTCTATTTGAAAAATATTATCTATTTGAACTTGTACTCTTATTACGCCCATTTCCCTCCTTCCCCTCCCCCATGGACTAGTGTCTCTTTAAAACAAAAAATTACTGAAACGCAAGAACGCGAAATTGGTTTAATCAACGGTTTGTTGATTGGGTTTGGTGTATTTAATTGTTTACTGCTGTTAAACGCCAAAAAAAAAAAAAAAATAGACAGTCGACGGTTAACGGCGAAATAGCACTGGAGTTGTTAAACTAAGTATCAAAAGACTTACTTTAGCGGCCATTTTTTTAAATTTTTGGTTGTTTCTGGTAGTGTATGTATGAAATGCGATAGAGCGACTGGTGATTGTAAACGATGCGTTAGCGGTATTTATATGCTGAGAACTTTGCGCCAATATTTTCTATCCATTCCAGACGATCGGCCCTACTCTCCCTCCAGACACTTTCGACAAGACTACCGAACCGGTTACAATATGTTATAATATTAATAATAATAATGCACCGCAATCGGTTTTATTCGACGGTGTAATTACCGCACAATGCAATTGAACGTATTTGACCGGCGGCGGCTAATGGGTTGGATAAAAAAAAAAAGGGGGCAACCTCGAATTTCCAGTGTCCATTTATTGTGTAAAGATCAAATTCTGTCAACGTTTTGGATAAATTAAAATTTCAATTTTTTTTTTGTTGTTGCATAACTACACGTTGCAACTTGCTTTGGGCTGTCTTCAACACTACATTGAAAAATACAAAATAAATATTGTTTCTCATATAACCGTCTTTTCTGTTTTTGTTTGGTTGATCTAAAAATGAAATACACTTAATATTGTACACGATATTACAACACTCTTGACAAAAAACGGCTGTACGAAATAAACGTTTGCCCAATCCAAAGTTATTGAATCTGTTTGTACTACTTTGTTTTACAAGCGAAGGCAAGAGTTGTGTTTTGGCTTACATTGTTTATAATAAAATATGCTTAACTACTTTTAAGGGTATTTATCTCGAGTATATTTAACAACCCTCCAATTATTAAGATAAACGCGTTTTACACAATTCAAACAAAACCGAATAAATTATTTTGCCCAAGACAATAATATTAATTAACGCATTTACATTTCTTCTCGGCTGTTTGATATCAGATGGGAAAAGTTAATTATTTTCGACGACTTAGGCTAATTGCCTAAGTACTATTGTTATGTGCTATAACCTTGCTTGTTTTAAATTAATGTATAAAAACCATGTTGCACTAAACCGTTGTTAGTATCGTTTCTTTTATTCTTTACCAATATTGGCCTTTTTATTATATTTGTTTTTTTTCCTTAAAAACCGTTTTGTTTTATCTTGTTTGTAGTTGTAAATAAAACAAATTCCCGATGCATATTATGTCACGACGGTGAACTCTGACAGATTTGTCGTATTATGGTACTTTAATAGGTTGTAAAAACACAAACATTTTAATTTAAAACAAAAACTGCGTTAACGTTAAGCAACTACTTTGGTTGGTCCAATTACAATAATCCGGTATAATATTAATTATGGGTATAGTTTTAGTATATTTTTTCAAACTGTGTTCGAAACAAATTTGATTAAAAAATATTTGTTATTTTTACATAATCGTTTTGAAAATACCGAACCGGTATTGGTGCTGTAGTTTTGTTAATATGGTCGAGCCAGGCTACGATTATTATTATATAAAACTTGCATCCCGAAGCCAAGTCCGGGTCGATTTTATTAGATAATTGCACAGCGCTGACCGTGACCTTTTATTATGCGAACAGTCACTGCAACTGCTGCATTCGTTGCGGTTCTAATGTGCTAATAGTTAAAATATTATATTGATTGTGTCTGTTTAACAGTTGTCTTATTTTAAAAATGTATGATTTTCTAAAAAAAAAAAAAATAAACGATTGTTGGCACTCGTTGGTGTAGTAAAAAAATCTCTATATTTATTGTAACCTGTTGGAATTGTGCGATAAATCATACAAGCCGCGTTATTTATGTTTATTGAAACTGACTTGAACCAAATAAACGTATAACAATAAGTAATCATTCCAACAATGAGTGTAAATAATAATAATATTATCCACTTTCATCGCAATATAAACCATAGAAAATGTGACCTTCCGTTCACTCGACCACTTGAACGGTTGCACTTAATTACTTAAAGGCGCCTAACCGAAGGAACATTGTAATTTTTTTTTGGATATTATTCCATTTACAAACTTTCATGTGCGTTTGAAAACAGCGAAATAAAGCTGACAATAATAATATTATTGTGTCATAAATATAGAATGACACAAAAGATATGGTTTGAAATTTGTGACTCGACATTATTGTTATGTCATTTGGATTAATAGGTATGTATATCATTTTTGCACTAATGGGCTACACAAGCACGGTTTGTATCCGTTGACCGTTATTGTAACATTGAGGAGATCCACATTTTATTGGAATTGAAATCAATGCCGCGCTAGGAAACGTTAATGTGTTATACTTATTATTATTATTATTTTTTTAATTGTATCAAGGACTGTCTACAACCATTTTGGAAGAACATTAACACAATTACTCTGGTAGAACCGGTTTCGACACAGCATTGCAGACTACTTGCATAAAATATATATTACACGATATTTACCGTTACAGACACACACATATATTATACACTATTATTGTAGTAAAAGTGAGACATGATATTTTCCTTTTTATGGAATTGTCCACCGTTTGTATCGGTAAATAATAATGTATTATTTATACTAGACTAGATACAGGGGTTTTATTATTTTTTTATAGATTCCTATTAATTGCTCTACCGTTTTTTATCCTAAGCAATTATTGACTGTAACATAAAAAAAATGTATTTTTGAGCTATTGGGCAAGCGACTCTTTGATAAAATTCATATTTGCCGGTTTTCAAACGTATAATATATATTATAATACCGTGTATGTAACTTCCTTAAGTCAAACGTCGTTACAACCTAGAAAAAAAGCGATAATTTGTTTAAAAAATCAGGGCAGAGAAAGTAATCTTAACAATTTGTGCTAGGTAGATGCCAATTCGGGCACCGCTCGTTTGCACTTTCGCAGATCTTAAAAACGATAACACGCATATTGCCGACGAATTTATGGGCTTAATTAAACATTTTCAAAGATCTCCAATAGTTACTTAGATGATTATATAACCGACTGAAAAATGCTACTACCACTTCTTAGTATGGATCAAAATCTTCACACTTAATAGTGTACGATACTCTATACATATATATATATATATATATATAACACAGAAACATGTACACAATAATCAATTTAAAATCAAACCGATTCAACGTGCTGTTGAAAACTATAATTACCTACCTTTCAACACCTATTACATACCTTTAATTATAGACATATCGATGCCATATTTAGGACACGGATTAAAATGTACTAAAAAATACTCCATATTGCAATTATTTTTGAAAAATGTTTTTATCATCTTAAAAAGATAAATAATGTTTTGAAATAATTTGTCTGCATAAAATAACGACAAATAGTATTATTACAGTTCCTAAAAAGTATAGGTAAGTGTGTAATTGATATTACAAAAATACAACGTTAGGTATACGAATATAGGTAGACTTATTTGCTTGTTTACATTTTTTTGTGAAAAATATAATTATACAAATATATAATATGTAAAGTAATACGTTACTGGATCTTGTTTTTAAAATAATAAATAGCAGTAATTTTAACCGAAAAAATATGTTTTTTTACCGATTCGTAAATAAGAATTAGGCATACGAGTTTTATTTTATGTTTAAAATTTAAGCAGAATTGGGTATAAAAAGCGTTTTAAAAATATTAAAACTACATTGGTACTTTCTATTTTCAAATACTGCCTACTAACATTAAACATTGATAATAACATTATTGGCTTACTTAATTATTTTGTTTGAAAAATCGATAAAAAAAATTGTCATACACTCGTTATGGATAACTAATAAAATACAATATCTTATAATTCATATATATATATATCTTACCGATATAGTTGTGTATTTTCTCTTTTCATGTAAAACGATATAACCCTATGCGGCGTTGACAAGGTTACATATACTGCTTGCGTGTATTGTAAACTAACTAATTAAAGAATCACTGTAAAAGTACTACTAGGTTATATACAACAGCTGTAATAAGTTGTACTTTGTGTATGTATTTCGGTATAATATTTGTTGCTGGCAAATATCGCTCGTAAAACCGTCACCGTTAGGTTTTTCACAAGAACGGTTTGCTTTGAAATTGTATGTATAAATTCCACCGGTAATCCGTACGGCCAATGTAATCATAATAAAACCCACAAATTTCACTATCGTTTCACTACAAGTTATCTGTGGTATTTTTTTTTAAAAATAAATTTAAGAAAACAGCCCGAAAACATATCCGTGTTACAAGTACAAGTACAAGCTATGTTAGCCGAACACGTTGAAATTACATTTAATAACGAGAAAACACATTAATTTTATTTTGTACAATATTGTATCATCGGTGTAGTAAGACCGCCGCGTTCGAGAAGGCATAGCCGACGAAAACGGCGCCAAGCCCGTCAACGAGTTGGCCTGAAATCAGTAGAACTTGTGAGGGGACGACGGCTTGGGGTACGGTTGTATGATTGGCTCGTGGCGGTATGTGGGGCCGATTTTCTTGACCTTAGCTTGGAAACCGTGGACCGGATCCGCAGTGTACTCGACCAACCGGGTGGAGCCGTCGGCTTCCACAAGACTGTACGAACCCTTGACGTTGCCGTGACCGTCGCTGGTCTCGTATTGGTTTTTGATGTCTTGGGTGTGAACGTCTTTGACGCCGTATTCGAAATGGTAGGGTTTCGGCGAGTGGTGTTCGCGGTCCTCGTGGTAGTTGTGGTTAACGCCGTCGTAGTCCGGTGGGAAAGCCGTCGAGATCCGAGTGAAAACCGCCATCAAACCGACGGCCAAAACGATCATCTGCAAAACGAATCACAAGAGTTTACCTAAGTCAGTAGTACGGTTTAGCTAAGTCAGTCTCTGCATTAGTCGGAACAAACAAAAAAAAGTATCGTTCAATTTATCTCGGAGATAGATAATACACACGAACGGTAACATAATATTGAAAAAAAAACAATAATACAATAATATTTTAAGACAAGAAGTAAATAGAAAACGTTTTATCCTATCGTCGCTTGATCAAGTTGGCCACACTGTTTGATTAAAATTTTCGCGAGGAATCGAAATGTCCAGCACAGATTATGATAAAGTAAATAAATATAACGTTATTAATGTTTATAATGTTATTGAATAGTAATTGAAAACGATTTTATTGCTCTACTTGGAAATGACAATGACATAATATGAGGTGTTGCATCTTAAGCGATGAGTACCAACCGCCAGCACAGAAGCCATTTTTTCTTTGTGTGGTCACACTGGTTTTAGTCTTTTTAGCTATTTTACTATAGCACACGGGCTATTATTTTATGTTGGTTAGTTTATATTTTTATACTATTACTCTGTATAGGAGGTACAAAATCGCCATGCCAACCTATGTATATATATATTAGATATTGTATTGATATATCTTGAATTTTGATGGTGCACACTGTTTAAAAAAAGGTTATTAAATAAAACAACAATATTTTGAAGACTGCTTTAATCAACTCACAGTTAACATAGCTGTAAAACATAGCTCTGGAACTAGAGCCGATTCGAAATGAAGTGACATGCTTTTTGAAATTTCAGCGCACTAAAATAGGAGTAGTTTTTATAGGCTGTACAGATTTTTTAAAAATTTGATTTTATTGCTTTAATATTTTCTTGAAGTCTTATTTTTTTTTTTAATTTCAAAATTGTATTTATTTTATTTAAAAAAACTCTGCGTGCATTTAGCGAAACTTAAAATGCGTTTTTATCAAATCTATGTGTACAAAAACGGCGAGACCACTGTATCTAAAAAACCACTTGGCGGATCCCAATGCTAAATACGTTTAAAGCATATTGTAGGCATGCAAATCTAGTGCTTAATCGAAGGTAGCAATATAAAGAAGAAGCATTTGAGTCATTGGAATCCATTGAGTTGTTTTTAAGGTATAGTGAAACATTATCGTTATAACCATTGCGGTACTCACCTTAGCGGCCATTGTACGTGGAATGACTTATTATATTGTACTTGATATTATGACTTGAGATTACTTTGGAATATGTTCACGAGCCGACACAAAACTGATGGCTGGAACTGACCGAATGTCAGTATTTATGTGCGGTGCTGATGGTCGGCGATCCCTCCTAAAGAGCAGCAATTGTTCACCTAGGCTTTGGGTGACCTGAAGAATATCTGATTCCGTCTGCTAATTAAATAACGAAATGTTACGAAAACCAACAATTATTACTCGTATTAATAATATACGTCTTACATGTACGTATGGCGTCACGCCGACTTGATTTGGGTTTCGCCAAGAATACACACAAAACAGTGTATAATATTGCTATTTGTGCGTTAATTTAAAAACACTACAACACTGCGTTATACTTAACACGCTCGGGTCATAATAATTGTGGCTGTTATTATTACTTAATTGATAAAGATATTCACCGATATTTCGTAGAGCTCTCGAGATAATAATAGGTACTATACACCACAACTATACTATTAGCTAACCCGATGTTGACATGGCGGTCGGTCGGCGCACATAATAATACATATAAAATTCATAATGGAATCCGTTCGGTTCCGTTTGCTAAATAAATAATAATATATACTTCTTGACGTAGGCTGTAAAAATGTAATAATATTTTTTAAACGTTTATTGTATTGCTTGTTTCAGTAATCCAGTGTATCCAGTAATCGCTTCCTTACACTGGTAATCAAATGACGTGACCTGATGTAGGTAAGTTCAACGTTTTTCTTCTACTGCGGTTTAACAACTAAGGGGTTTTTTCCCTGGCTACACTATAGTGTACACTATGGCGGTTAAACATGTTACTTTGCATGTGCCATTATTGAGCTCTTAAATTTATAGCTGGCTACAGTTAAAACAAGTGTGTTCCAAACGTTAAATTTGTCATACCTCAGCCTAGCGGCACTTGTATATCCTTCTTGTGGTACACAGAAAAAATACATAGTTAGAGCAACTAAAAGTATGCCTGACATAGAGGAACATTACATATTTTATAGTTTGAATAACTAAGTACATAGTTTGGCCAACTAGATGTTTAGTTAAAGCGACAACTTATTTAGTTGGTCCAGCTTAATATTTTTTCCATGTATCCTCTATAGTATATTAATTCGAAATGGTATTTTTGTTGTCCTGTAAAGAGAGGAAAACTGAAAAATACTGCTTCTCTCTCCTTTAACTCGGGAAATCCTCAAAACAAACAACTTTTCTAGTGCAGGCACATTTTTTTTTCGAGAAAACAGTAGGTACACATCTATCAGAGGACAACACATTTTGATGAAATGGCTTGAAAGTAACAAAGAAAATGTTTTAGTGTTTGAAAAAAATTGATAGTTAAATGCACGTGATTTCAAATTTACTTGGAAACAAAAAAACAGTAATTAAATAAATAAACATTTTCTTTTTTGTCGAACAAACGACAGACTTACTTTGCGATACCAATTTTGTTGGGTGATGAATAGTAGCTAGTAATAGCTATTATTAGTAATAGCTAGTAATAGTTTTGATAACAAAACATGTCAATAGTAAATTGATAACGAATGAAAGTGGTATCCATTAAATGGCATTTAATCAATTTTGCATAAATAGAAATTTGTATTTTGCATTTTATTTGAAATTTCCAAAATCTTCGTTTTTATTTTTACTATTAGATCATCTTTGAGTCAGAAAACTGAATACTTACAGTCTACACCAACTACATAGAACATACGTTATACAGCTCCATATAAAGGGAAAAAATGATACTTAAAAGATAACATGCGTTGAGAACCAAAATGGTATAAGCAATTTTTGTACAATTTTAATAAAGGAGCAAAATAAAAATTATATTTTCAATGACATGTCTTTTTTTCTATTGGGCGACATTTACTAGTTTTTTAAATGTTTTCTTTCAAAAATCTATATCATATTATAATAAAAACATAGAAAGTAAAAGTGTTCATTAACAAAAATATATCTTGATCTTTTCTCGTTGTTGACAAAATATTTAAAACTAGTCACTTGTATGATTATTTTGGTTCTGAAACTTGCGGATAAAACTTAAATTAATTACAGAAATATCCATTGTCCGATTTAGAAAAACAATATTATGATGTGATATTAATTTTCGTTAGAATTTTATTAACTAAAATAAGTATTTTCATGTGCACGGGGAGGATATTTTAAGCTTTTATAAAACCAATTTATTACAAGAAGACTTTGGGAAAAAAAACTGCAGCCAAAAAAAAAAAAAACCAAATAAAATCGCATCTAATTAAAAATAATAATACCTACCGTGGAAACGAGCCTACAATATTTCGACCTAGATGTTTACTGCAAGAAACATGTAAGTATAGGCCATTTTTTCAAAAAACCCATTATTTCGCCCACTGCCATAACAGATCACGGTATAGCTGTATATTAATTAGAACAAAAGTTATGTCTCAATATATCAGATGTGTTAAATTAATTACATATAATATGTACCTAAGTATAATTATGAATTAATGATAGAATTTAATGCGTTCAGGAAGCGAATGATTTAATTTGTATTCTCGCGGTTCTGATTATTATATAATAATTCGGTTATACTTACTTGAGAATGTAATATAAGAGTAGAAATTACGCATAATGAAGGAACTAAATTAGGATTTTATCGATAATTTTATCTTTAGTAGTTTTATACTTGTTTCAATGCTAATTAATTAACTATACATTTGTATTTAATTTAGGTTGTGCTTTGTGAATTGATACTGCAGTCCCAAATGTTAGTCGAGAAAAAAAATTGTGTTAGATTTTAATTTTGATATAATTTTATTTCATAAAAGATGGTAAATACAACATAATAGTAATATATATTTTGTCAGTATTAGTATGCCGGCTGAAATGAACGCATAAACTCCACCAATTCTCCGACCTTGATGTAAACTACTTCCGGTTTGACCATCAATATTTCCTGTAACGGTTTTTAGAATATTACACTTGTTTAATGTGATTGCATAAGCTAATAATTTAGTTAAATAAGAAATCGTTAAATATACATTGTAATGATATCTAGGTCAAACAAAATGTCCCTCATTAAATATGAGCCCATATTTTGATATAGAAAAAATTTTCCAAAAATATGAACTACACATTGTGTGTAAATGGTCCCACGTTAAAAAAAAAAGAAAGTTAATACTTTTGCAACTCCATGTGGCACTTCAGTTGGATATTTCATGTAGTCTATGAAGTCCAACAGTTCTTCAATTCTTACTCTCCCGTCTTCCATATTGATAAATCTGAAATAAATACAGTTTAGGCTTTTGTAAAAAATAATTTTGAAGTATCAGTGCTAGAATTTTGGGTTTTTTTGTTAACAAACATGTTTGAAAGATCTTGACAGACATAAAGATTGGAAAACACTGAATCTAGTGGCTGTTGTTTGACTACTTATTTGAGTGTCATTAATTCGTACAAAACGCAAGACGTTTGTTATTTCGGTAAAACGATCAATAACATTGTTTATTTATCTACATGACTTAGATCTAGGTACACAGAGTGCATAATATAAAACTAAATAGTGATTACTCTAACTATAGATAACATCGCCAAATCAAGTTGGTCACACTGTTTTATTTAAATTTTCGCAGGGAATCGACTAGCGGACACTATTTACAATAATAACGTAAACTGATAACATTTGCTAATTAACGATTATTGACGGTGATAACATTACAAATGATTGATAATAAGATTGATAACAGGAGGATAATTTTTTTAATTTTTTTGGTCACACTGACGCGAGAGTATGAAAGTTTTGTTGACATTTTTCGATTTGATCAGAATGCACTATCTGGTTTTATCTAATCCGTGGTTATAATAATATGCTATTGAATGGTAGGTAATTGAAAATGATTTTTTTGCTCTCCTGTCAAGTTGAGAATACAAGTTTTAGGCATAGGTACTTTTTAACGAGCGGGTTTCTGAGTTCTGGCGCCAACGGAACTCTGTTGGTTTTAAAAATGTCCAACGTTTCTGGTGCACTCAACGTGTTGCCGCCGCCGGAGTGCATGAGTCTCGTTTTCACAGAAATTTCCAATCCGTCAAAATTCCTAAAAGAAGCCCGTCGCAATTCGTTTTGGATGACACTCCGGTACAGTTGCTCCGACACTGTTTGATAGGGTTCGAATTTCTTGTACACAAACGCCAACACCACCACCGCGTGTTGGCCCAGCTCTCTCTTGAACTGGTCGTACATGAGCCGTCGAAACTCTTCTCTGGGCACGAGCGGTCGGTTTTGGAAACAATTCTCGTAGAAGGTGTCTACGTTGGACCCGTCCGAGTTGATCAAGTCGTGCAATTGGTTGTACAGCAGCGACAAGTTGCTGTGATAGAACTAGACCGGTATATTTTAGTACAGGGAGTCCCAAAAAGAATGGTGGGGTTTCAAACGGCTGTAGGATGTGAAGCATAGGACCTACAGCGCTCTGGTAGGGCTTGAATGACGCTTCGCGAACTCGATCACTTCTCCTGTGAACACGCCATCTTAACAAACTGAACAATGAAGGCTGGCGACACAAACGGAAACGCGGAGAGACATTTGTGTGGCAATCATTCAAAACTTGACAACTTCATGCAAGCCCTACCTGAGCACTGTAGGTCTAATACTTCACAACCTACAGCCGTTCGAAACCCCACCATTGTTAACCCTGCCATTATTTTTGGGACACCCTGTATATCATGCCGTCTGACACTCGCGGTCGGTCTCTTTCTCTTACCTCTTTGGGATGGCCAATCATGAACTTTAAAGTTTTCTCGCAGATGTCGGTGAGAACAAACTGGAAGTGGTCGATAAACACCGTGGCGCCTACTACAAGCTCGTTGTACGTAAACGACTTTCCGCTATCGTCAGTCGGCGAAATTGACCGTTTGGAACGGAATTCTCCTCCTGGCACGCCTGTGGGTACACAAAAGCTATACTTACAGCTTATAAAGTCCCCCACCAAGAGTTAAAATACAATCAGCAGCTGTATCATCATCCCTGTACTCAGCGACGAAGTACAGCTGCACAACGTCACAACACAGTATCAGGCCGCCAACTTAACTTCATTCTTATCACTTGAAATTTTGAATAGTTGTCAAGGAATGCATAGAGTTCAATTTGAATTACTAAAATGGTATTTTTTAAGCTTTTATTCGGCTGAAATTGTCGATACTGTACATCCGAATGTCGGTCGCTGTGTTTTGACGTTGTGCAGTTGAGTAAACAAGAAGGCGACCGACAGTGTGGCCACTTTAAATAAAAATTATTATTACGATAATGTGATAATATTACAACTGATAAGTCATATGTTTTTGTATCGAGTCGTCATGGCGGGATTATACGGGTTTAGGGTAAACATGAAGGTAAACTGCTGCTGTTGTTGTTTACCTGAATTGCGTTGTGTTATTTCGTAAATTCCGAACGTATCGTCGTAGAAAAAGTATTTAATAAGAAAATCTCTCGACTCGTTCACCGGATTGCTGGAAATCATTTTCGCTTTGAACATGAACACGAAATTGGTAGCTTCGCTTCTGAGTTTTTTCAGTATGTTTTCTCCGCGGCTCTTGATCACCGTTTCGTTTCGAATTCTTCGCAAATCGTCCTCGGCCTTTTGCTTTTGAGTTCTCGGCGGTATGATCGAAGCAAAAGATTCTGAAACGGGGAATAGCAACAATCAGCGGGGGAGTGTTGTGTGTTTGGGCGACCCAGATGTTAACTAACATCAATCGGTCCGAAAAAAATGCCACCGCTGCCAAACGCTGCATATTTATTGAACCTTTTCAAAAACGTACCCAGCCCGTAGACCGATTTATAGTATTCCTTTGTGAATTCGTCGCAGTCCGTCAACACCATAATGCGATTATAAACGTGTATCCGAGCTCCAATATAAAGGTCCGAATCGTTGTAATAGGTGGCTGCAACGTTACTGCCGCTGTGCAAAGGGTCCAGGGCAAACCATTGGTTGGTGAGGTCCGTACCCGTGCCCATAACTTTAAGTATTTGGTTTTGTTCGTCGTAACCGATGGGTTTCAGAAAAGGTCCTTGCTGCAACATACATATTACGCAACCGAATGAAAAGGGCGGTCAATGTTATACGAGTACATTGAAAATACTTTGGGTATTCGCTGTCTTTGCAGGAACATCGTCATCTTGTCGTCTTCGCCCATCTCCATTATAGCCATTGTGTCGTCCAACAAAAAGTAGTGCACTTCCATAAAGTGCAGTAGACCTTCCGCACTTTGTCTGTCGTCCCAATAGGCTTTAAACGACAACACTTTCCCTTCGAGATCGACGTCTTTGTATTTTTTCGACTTGCCAGAAGTCGTTTCTGCGTTTGATTCCAAACCGGTCTGGAAACGAAAAAAAATGATTTACATTACACAGCCGGTGTTCTGCGGTCACTGCGTTACTTGTCAAAGCTAAACTCAACATAATAGTATTGAGGAATTCGCATACGGATTGTATGATATGTCAGCCGACACAATTTCAATGCTACGTTACTTTTCCATGATAAATATATTAAAAATAACACTATAGTGCTGCACTTCAAGGTAAAACAACAGATTTTTAAATAACGATTTTTGACTGGTTTAAAGTTAATGCAGTAGGGTCAAATTACAATGCCTAAAATATTGTACACACTATTTGCAATTATTAGCGTATTATCACGGTGATACCGAAAGCAAACATGTTTACTTATTGTTTACTGATATTGTTTGCTTACCGCAAAAATGATTTTGCATTATTATAGGTACCGACATTACAAACTGCAGCTGGAAAAGCTGTTTGCTGATAAGAGCAAACATTGTATGAAACAGTATGTAAACAGTACCTTCGCGAAAATACGATTAAAAATAACGCAAACTGATAAGAAATACTGATAACAAGTAATACTTGATTGTCGATGGTGATAACATTATATATGTTTGATAAAATTATTTATTTTCATTTCTTTGGTCACACTGACCTGAGATTATTAAAGTTTGTTTATATTTTTCGATTTTTTTTTTAGAGTGCACTATTTGGTTTTATTTAATCTGCGTTATTATACTGAGTTTTGCGCTCATCAATGGTAATAATTGATTTCAATAATATTTATACGTATAAGGTGGATTTCTACTTTTGCTCTGTATTCGAAATACGGATCTCTGGGTTGGGTCTGATTTTCCGGCACGTCCAAACCCATTTTTCGCAAAACGTCTCTGGTGTAACAATCGACGCCGGTAATTCTAAACACCTTGCCGTAGAATTCTACTGTTTTTCCAATGTTGAAATCTAGCAGCTCGTAAAACCCGTTCGCTCGTCCAGGATGGGGTATCCTGTGTCTCCTTATGAGGCATCCTGCGGTCAACCACACTGTGTAATAGCTGGTGACATAACTGTCAAACTCTATAGTCTATACATACCTTGGGTCATGCCGCTGTTGGGTATGGCCGGTTCCATCACCGTGATGGTATTGTCTTCGGGGAAATAAACTATTTTGCATTTTCTGACGTTATAGTTGTATTGGCTTTCGTTGGCCGACACTTTAAAATACCCGTCAAACGTTAAGGTCTGAGCAATACACCAATTGTTAGTATACAATAATTATTATCTGTCTAAACAATTATTTTTTTATTGTAAATCGTTGTTCACCTCTTTGCCGAACACCATCCAAGCCGGTTTATTCGTCACGTCCCGACCGTTTGTCAACATCACCTGAACCATGTCCGGGTTGACGGTTCGGTCTTCTTTCTTCTCATCCAGCGGTGTGACCATAAATACATTGTTGTACACATAAAGTTTACTACCGATCCCGTATCTTTCTTTGGGCTCCTGTGTCAATAATTAACAAGGCGTAAGGTCGATTTGGACGTTTTTATCGGATTTTCACATAAACTTTTTAGGAACCTTTGTTAGCTCAATATTATCAGATGCGTTTAATGGTTCCGATATTAAAATTCAGATACATGTAATTACTGACAATTCTAATAGATAACAATAATAAATACCTTGAAATTGGAATGATAACCAGGAAGCATGGGCAATTTATAAGACATACTCGAATAGTATTATATTAATCAAAATGTTAAACGTTTAAAACATGTATTTTTTTATTGAAAATAGTGTAATGGCACTAACAGTAACGGTTTAGTAGTATATTTGATTAAGAAATACAGTTGTAAAATTAAAATAACAATATATTTTATTTATTAGTAACTGCGCAAAACATATGTTTAAAAAATATATATTTGACATAATAATGATTGTTTATGTGTATTATATTATATTGAAAATATAATAAAAAAATATAAAAATAGGAATAGTATTTGTCCGTGTTTTTGGGAGCTTTAAAGGTCTAATATTCAATTATATTTGTGTTAAAAAGATACTAAATATTTGTATTTCATTAAAAGTTTTTATGTTTCATTGTAATTATTGCAATTTACATACATTTTACAGACGTACCAAGTGGAAAAACATTACTATAGTATACTATTATACAAAACAGTAGGTTCTCTCTTTGTTTATTGCATAATAGGTCATGCGTTAATTTATTCATTAGTGCATGTGTGCACATTTAACGGACTAATAATCACTTATAAAAAAATATTTTTTTAAATAATAGTATCTTATTCGTCTCGTTTATTTATTTTTAATAATGGTTGTTCGGTCGAGAGTGATTAAAAGATAATATAGTTATTAATATTTTGCTACATTTTCACAGTCGACTGCTTTATGGTTATTATTCACCGCTTTGTGTATTATTTCATTTTTTTTTCGTAGAATATCTTATTATGATTTAATTTCTTCTGTATTACGGTTCGCTTGAGCTTAACACAAAACGACAGGAACATTTTATAAATACCATATTATTAAAAATAAATCGGCATTCGAGTTAATGTTACTGTTTTATATATATATATATTTTTTTTTTACATAATCATATTTTAAAAACGTACAAAAAAAATATATCTACTATTTGTTTAACGATGAAAAACGCGCATCATAATAATATATACAGGATGATTCATTAAAGATAAGACACTAATTTTTTCTTAGAAAAAAAAAATAATAGCAATCTTATAGTTTGTCTTTTTAAAAAAACATTTATGTTATGTACACCTTTTTTTTTCTCCTGAGCTCTATCGACTTTTAAAACCTAAACGGTAACTATAAATGGCATTTTGTTGACTATTAAAATTAAGAATAATTTGCTGAACATGTCGACTGGCTGTTAACCTGTTTTGGATAATCGCTTTTAATGTTACCAAAGTAACGTACACGTTACCGTTTGACTGTTAAAAGTCGATAGAGCTAAAATTGGCATATCGTAAAAAAAAGGTAATCTTAAGTGTCCGCAAGAAGAAAAACAACTATAAAATTGCAATTATTTTTAGAGAAAACTAGTGTGTTATTCTTGATACACTCTGTATAGTCGGAAAGAAACAAACAAAAAATACAAAAATTAAAACAAAAAACAAACATTTACACACACAACTTGAAAACATCTTAGCGAAACAAACAATGCTCAGTAATAACCGCTGTAGTACTCGGGTTTGCCGTACGGGTAAGCGGCGGTTGCGGGTTCGTGGTAAACGGCCGGTTCCTCGTGCCGGTAAGTGGGCGGCGGGATTTTCTTGACTTTGGCCTGGAACCCGTGCACGTGGTCGGCCGTGTACTCGACCAGGCGCGTGGAACCGTCCGGTTCGACCAGGCTGTACGAACCCTTGACCGTGCCGTGCCCGTCGCTGGTCTCCTGGTGGCTTTTGATGTCTTGGGTGTGCGTGTCCTTTACGGCGTACCCGAAGTGATAAGCGGCCGGCGCTTCGTCGTGATGGTCGTCGGCGTGGTGGTAAGCAACGTCTTCGGCCTGGTGGAAATCTTGGTAACTATAAGTCGGGGGATAAGCGGCGGCCAGTCTGGCGCACACGGCCAAAGCGCAGGTGGCGAAAAAAATCATCTGAAAATATCGAAAATTTCAATCATAAAGTTTAAAACGATTTTCATAAAAAAAAAAATTCAGTAATTTTGTAATAAAACTAATTTAATTTTAAACGTTTTTCAATATTAAAACGGATTTTTTTGTTTACATCAAAAAAGCAAAAGAATAATTAATCCGTTCCCAACACAAATCAGTAAAGTAGCCAAAGTAACTCTTAAGTAGTCGAAATTGTTCAGACTTTTTAGTCTTAAGACGTCAAAAAAAAACAGACCGCTTTCAATCCACTTGATAAATAAATAAGTTTTTTTATTCTCAAATTCATTAACGTCGAATCCCGGTTATCAACTCTACATTTTATATGGTAATTTTTAATGTTAAAATATGTTAAGTATTAGATTAAAAATGGACTAATATCTAACGTGTATAGTGTATACCCTGACAATTTGATTTTAAAAAGTTTCGTTTTTACTTTACATACTCAGTAATATTGAAAAAAAAATTCTAAAACAAGAGAAATTAGATAAAAATATACTTAAAATGTTATTAGGGAAGGATATGAAGAACAGTTAAAACAGTAATAAATACATTTTCTTAAGAACACTTAAAATACAGATTTTCACAAAAACTGAACATTAAAATATTATGTGTAGTATAATATGTAAATGAGATGAAAATAAATTATGTTTTAATTATACATATTAAACTGACTAAAAAAAGAAGCGATTAAATAATATGAATGCAATTTAAAGGCATTTTATAAAATGTACTGTGTTATTAATACTATGCGTTGATTTATTTTTAAGGAAAAAAAAACTATTTGTTATGTGTACAGCGAGTGGCGTCGAAATTATTAATATTAACAGTATTGTTGTTATCGACTTACCTTAGCTGCCATTTTTTCAACGTTGTTGTCTTGTACGACGGTGTCACTGTGAATCACAACAAATGCACAACTAATGCTTGTCTAAAACCTGGAAAGCTGTATTTATATCGACGCCTTACACCCTTCCAACCTATTGTTTGGTCGAGAAATTTTTCGTGAAGAAGTGGACTGCGGTTACATGAGCTAATTAATAATAAAAAAAAACACACACACACACACACAATTGCCTACCAACATAATTAACTGAACCATCGCTTTCTGTGCATATTACATCAGATGTGTTGTACACACACACACACACCGACCGTGTATTCCTCTGATTTGGTTTTACTATGGAAACTGTTCGGCGTGGACGCAATTGAGTATTGTTAATGGATTGTAACGTTTCACCAGGACTTATGATTCGGTAAAAAAAAAAAAAATAGGGCTATAATATTATTGTAGAGGTGTCCACAAAACTCATCATCATGATATATCATTCTGCCTTACCCGTTAAACACATTAATATATTGTATCTACTGTAGGTATCTTATAAGTGAACCACGTGGTGGTCTCAATCGTACAAGCGTGCACGCGTCCAACCTATTACATGTTAATGATATTAACGGATTTTTGTTAAAAGCAAGAAAAAAACTTTAAAAAAAAATCTGTAACTGTACTATAGTGTCGGTTAGAGACTGTGATTGCACAACATTTGAATACTGGATCTGGTGGCATAAGGGCCGACTGCTCGTCTCGCAAGTATAATAATATATTCAACTATTTTAAAAACACAATCTAACAGGACGATAGCTGAACGGACGTTTTCTAAAATACCTAACCGACCAAATAAAACACTCTGCCGCGTCGACTTGCGCAGTGACCGGCCTAATCAATAGCTGGACATAAAATAATTAATAGAAATCGGAAAACAAAAGTAAAAACTCGTTTCTTACAAGACAATAATAGTCCAGTAGAGTTTTAACGTGCTAGAAAAAACCTAAGCAAAACTTGCTGTTATATATATAGTTCAATAAAAAGAGTACCCTTCGCCTCAAAAAAATGTCCACATTTATTAGTAGTAGCGTATACTAGACGTTGTTGTAGGTGTAGAAACGAGGGTGAAAATATTAATTTTCAAGATCAAAACATATCCAGGGGACAGTGTATATGAACTTTCTACACGAGGGTTGCATTTAGATGATAACAGAAAACGTTCACGACATCAATTGGTTTATCGACATTTTTTGAATTTTTATGAGTAAGTTTAGAATAAATATTGAAAGTAGAATTTGGTTTAGATATGTAAATGGCACTATAATTATAGTGGATAGATAATTCAATATTGAATATATCATTCTTCAAGATATAAATTATCTTTGTCCTTCAATTTTGAAATATGGTCACATGAAATACCAGCATATTAGTATAGTATGTTTTTTCAGATTAGCCATAATACGCCTGTGTTGAGAAGTGGTTTCTAAGTTAGAAAACGATTGGTGTATTTTTCAGGTACATCATGATGGGTTTAATTCGAATAAAAAATTAAGAAGTGCACAAATCCGCCGTTGTAGAAGACCGGATAATAATATAAATACATCAAAATCACTAAAGATGCATTAAAAATGGGACAAAAGAGACAAAGTGGCACTTGTAGTTGTGCGGTGTGAGATTGGACTTAGATGTGTACGGGGAGAAGTTTAAATTGTCTTGAAGCGCAAATAACTCTCAAATGAGTCACTGTGTTGTTTCCATCGAAACACTGTAAAAATATTATACTAAACTATTGTTAAGCTTGATTATAAAACTACTTGACACACTTTTTAAATATTTTTTGTTATTATTATTATTAAAACATTTCAAGATCTAGTTTTTTCAGTGCAACAACGATAATATAATGACCATTCTTCATGAACGAACGCGGTCTTCACCGCATACACTAAATACGGAGCACGGTCACTTTCCTTTGATATAATATAATCCTTGTGTTCTCACACGCTGGCCCAAGACTACACACAACGTAACTGGCACAGATACGTACGTCTTTAATTAAATTACCTATATCTTATACACACACTCGCACATAATATGTATACATAGAAATAAAAGTTACGAATACACGAGAGTGTTGGGTAATATTTTTTTCTTAATAATATTTGTTTTGCGTTCAAGTTCAAGTGCTGTCAAACAGCTGCTGTTGTTTATGATTCATTACACAGTTGTATAATAATAATAATGCTTGTGCTTAAAAAAAACAACCGGATGGTTTCTATATTGAACGTATAGAACAAATATAGTTTAACTGTTTTTTTTTTTTTTTTACTATGTTTCTCTACTCAGAGAGTATGTTCATGCCCAATATTTCAATTATCAAAAAAACAATTCAAATTTATTTTTAAAAAAAGGCTTTTCAGTATGACAACTTGTCTAATATCGAGTTAAATTTTCAATTTGTGGATTGCTTGCTCCTACTAATATTAATCGTGCTTTGTGTAACTTTTTTAGTTGTAATTTTCACTAGCGCGAAATCATAGTACAACATAAATGTCTTGCATATGTTTTTCTTACTTTTTACTCCTGAACAACAATGTTTTTTAGACGTTAGAATCAAAATAATACGGTAATTTATTTTATCAGTTGTTTGCTCATCGCCAAAGCTCCCAATATGTTCCGATCATAATTTGTTTGAGCTTTGATGCAAAAGTCTACTTATCCGAAAACTCAGTACTGAAGCGAGTAAATAATGTGGTTTTTATAGAATACAATCGGATAGTATCTTTAAGCGTTTCTAATTTTGTCCAGCTTGTGTTGGACTAAAAATACGCTGAGAGTAACAAAATTGGTAGTGGTAGGTGGTTTTTTACTATATTCTAATACACACCATAGTATCAATTAGAAAATTTTTTTTAAAGCCTGCAAATTCTTCAAATGCAAAAAATTGTAATTATTCAAACAAATATACTTATTTAGTAATATCAACGTAGGTTTTATAATATTTTTATTAACAACGAGTTTAAAAGATTTATTAATAACAATAATTATATATATATTTATAACAACAAAATCCATGTTAAAAAAACACATAGTATTAGGCTACATAACACCAAAACAAACACCAATATGGGAGACTGCGGTCGCGGAGAGGAGTAAGAAGTGGATACGACATCTCACGAGAAATAATAAAATGTAATAGTCGGGGGAAAAACCGACGGGAAGCCAGGAAGAGTAGGACCTAGGACCTGTTGTATATAAAACAAATTATGTTAGATAATATAGGTATGGGATCATATTATAGACAATCGAAAGAAGTAGTTTTGGATAGAGAATAATGGAGAAATATTTCATCATTAGACCAATCTACGGACCGAAAAACACCAAAACAAAAGACAACCGCCGTTGGGGTGGACGAAGGGGGGACATTTTTTCATCAGATTTTCTTAATTAATTCGTTATTTTTCAAAAAGACGGTTCAGTGCGACGATCCAGGTTGGGTCTCGTATTGTCCGGGCTCGTATTGATCTTCGACCTGTCCACGGGCATCGTGAACGGGTGCAGGTTGTTCGGCAACGTCGTAGGTGGCGGGCAACCGGTGTTCGGGCGGTGCATAGGACTTGCTGACGCCCTGGATATGCTTAACTTCAGCCCGGAAACCGTGCACGTCGTCGGCCGTGTACTCGACCACTCGGGTCGAACCGTCCGCTTCCAGCAGGCTGTAAGTCCCCTTGACCGTGCCGCGTCCGTCGCTCACTTCGTTCTGGCTCTTCACGTCGCCCGTGACCGGATCGTTGACGGCGTACTCGAAGTGATAACTGTTCATCGATCCATGATCGTAGCCGCCGCCATCGTGTTCCAGGGACAGAGGGAAAGCCACGGCGAGTTTGACCAAACAAACCACGGCCGCGACCAATGTGCACTTGGATAACTGTAGAAAGAAAAAAAAAAACCAGCTGTTTTAGCCCAAAATTGTAATACGTCTTATGTGGGGTCGGTTTGCCGAAAAAACCAGTAGCCCATAAAATTCATATCTATGTTCGCGTTGTCCGGTAGACGATGATAACACTGATAATCCAGACCACGGCTGTAGCTGACGTTGAGCCACGAAAAAGCGGCTACAAGAGGCGTTACCTAGAAATATGTAAAAGTGAGATAATGCTAGCGCTCCTCGTGGAATTTATTATTTTTCACTGAGGATCCTTTTTATAATACAGCAGGTTTACCAGTGAAACATAAAAAGTTCTACGATTTATCCACAAAGGAACGCTAGCAGTGTATCGCTTTTTCACATCTTTAGATAATAATTCTTGTAGCCGCCCATCGAACATTGCGAGGTATAGGCCGGTGTGCAACTATTTATCTATAGCTGTGATCCAGAGGCAATAAAATGTTTTGAGATAGTGATAGACAAGCGATTCTTATCTACACCTATTCAAAAACATTGACGGCTATTGGTTTTTGGAAAACAACGACTTGCGGCATTTTAGGAGAAAAAGTGATATCACCTTTACAAAGTCATATCGATCGAACAGATTGAAAATTAAAAATTGAAACGCTTACATTTTTTCAAGACTTTTTGACTACGCGTATACGGCATAAAAAACATATGTCCCACTTGATTAAAAAAACAATGTCCAAACTTGTTTACTTATAAGCGATGAAGATAAAAATGTTCAGAGTATTGGAAAAATATAGTAAAAAGAAATCGTATAACCCTTTTCGAAATTTTAACACATGTCTATTTTTAACTTTGGAAAAATTTGTTTTGTTACAAATAAAATAGTTGTGAATTAACCTTTTAAAAAGTAGATCTACGGGAAAGAAATATGTCATATTATATTTCATTAAAAAAAAAAACATTACTAAAATATACAACATCTAAAATATTTACTGACTTTTATTTCATTGAGATATACATATGTGTGTACTGTATAGTATAAAGTATTTCAGAGTACAGATTTAATGATGCTATCGAAAATAATCTTATTAAAGCTTTTTTTTTTATTATTAAAACTATTTTTTAATTATTTAAAACAGGAAGAACTAATTAATCAAGAATGCTATTTCACTCGATCGTGTATCGGTGTGTATTCATAAGTAAAAGGTATATGCGAGTAGAATTTGCAGTTCCCTATTGTTCTTTTATACTTTAAGAGAAAATTAATACTTACAAATGTTTAAATATAAAAGCTGAGGTTGACAACAAGTAAAATTAATACATTTTATCACTACATCATTAATCTTTAACCAAGAGTTAATCGACTATTGGCTTAAGCTAATTAATGAGTGTTTCAATATCGCCTAAATACCTATACATAATAATTAATTAAATACGGACTTTTAACACTATTAATTATTATTATTATTTATAAATACAAAATATAATGTCTCGAAGCATTTTTAAATCATAAAAGATGATGGTTTTTTTTGGGTTGTGAAAATATATTTCAAGAAAAGATAATATTTGGCCGGGTATTAAATCGAAAAAAAAAGAAAAAAACTAAGTTGTTTATTTGACTTACCTTAAAATCCATTGTAAACATGTAAGTTATAGACCGGACGAAAAGAAAAATATTATGTGTAGCAATTTGTGTCTATGCCTAAACACGAATAAATGATGACTTCTGCAATGGAAGTTTTGATATTTATGATGTTTTTTTAAGAATCCCTACCTGAGCGATTTGCCTTCTTTTTCTTACCAAAAGAAAGGAAACCCGACCGTACACATAATTAAATAAAAAGCGAACGTGTTATCAGACGCGGAAACTGCGTCCGCAAATCCGTTCGTTTTCCATGCAACTTAATGGTCGGCTTGTCTTAGCCAGGAAACAATAGCAGATCTCAGAGTTTGATAACTCCGGTCATTTACTCGCCAACATTATACATATATGTATGCGTAGTATAATTTGTTCGAGACATTTATTGTTCTCATAACAGCTGTTGGGATTGAAGCGTGTTTTAAAATAATTATACTAATATACAAACCGACCTCATGCGGAGATTCAAAAGTTACAGTGAAACGGACCAACGGTCATGGAACATCAACTTTTTTTATGTAAAATGTTATCAAGATTTAATTTACTTCTATTAATTAACAAAGCTCATCTATTAGGTTTGCAGTCAACAAGTTACTTAATGGTTTTTTTTTAAATTAAAAAAAAATAATACCTATTCAAAGATAATCCACCAATAGCAGACAGAAAAATAAACGGTCAATAGCTAGCTAAATAGAATTATCATATGAATTTGTTTAATGATATTTACCTAAATGTGCCTATAAGACTTAAGACGTAGGTACTGATTTTAACTAAATTAAACATTTTCTGTAGTGTAAAAATAAAACTATTTAAATACGTAAGCGTCATTAAAAAAACTAATACCACATTTGTACTTGTTTTTATATTATATTTTACTAGACAGCTTAAGATTTAATAGTAGGTATTCAATCTTTATTATAACTATACATAATGACTTGTGAATTATAAGCTATATAGGGATATAGGAAAATTGCCATGTGAATATTATCATACATCACACCTCGATGCGTGTTCCAGCGGTGTATAATTAATATACAGCGTTGTATTACTAATGTATAGCATAATCAACACGAGTGCATCTTACGACTAACCTCACCACGGAAACGGTAAAAGATTATGATCTATATTAAGATAATGTTGAAAAAAAAAAATCTGCACTCCAAACAGTAATTAATTGGATGTAAGTGAGAAATCAAGTCGCTTTTTATTATGTCAATGTCATCTTCGTATAAACAGATATTACGAATGATTTATTTTTATCAATTTTTACAATATGTATATTATAACATATAAAACTTGTCAAACAATTAAAAAATCCGCATAGTGTGTACAACATGCCGTTTATATTTAATACATTGACTCATATTCGACGTGGCATTGACCGTTGCGTTGGGACGGGCGTAACTATTACAACTGCAGTACTATTATGATACATATTAAGAATTCTTTTGACCAACGTACAAACGTCAATTATTCAACATCATACCGGTTTTATTCGAGACCTAAGACACAGGGCGTGCGGGAACGCTAACGCGAGAAGGGATAAACGTATACCGCCGTCGTTGACCATAAATACAGACATTCTCTGACGAATTAGTATCAGTCTTCGATACACCAATCAAGCAACTACAACTACCAGTACGAAACTAAAGAACACATTAAAAAAAATGGCCGCTAAGGTAAACCTATACATATATTTTTTTTAAAGTTTCTTCGATAACACGTCATTATTAATCGTTGGTATTTTTTTTAAACTTTAGTTGATCATCTTCGCCGCTTGCGTGGCTTCTGCTCTCTCTCAATACGGCGCTCCCGCCTACAAGCCAGCCTACTCCGCCCCGGCTTACCCTGCACCCAAGGCTTACGCACCGGAACCCGAATACGCACCAGCACCGTACAGCTTCGAATACAGCGTAAACGACCCAAGCACCTACGACGTCAAGAGCCAATCCGAATACAGCGACGGCAAAACCGTCAAGGGATACTACAGCTTGGTCGAAGCCGACGGCACCAAGAGGATCGTCGAGTACACCGCCGACGACTACGGTTTCAACGCCGAAGTCAAGAAGGAAGGAACCCCGTCTTACAGCTCTGCCCCGGCCTACAGCAAGCCATCTTACTCCGCTCCGTCTTACTCTGCCCCGGCTTACAAAGCCGCCTACCCCGCACCAGCCCCGGCTTACCCAGCGCCGTCCGCCTACCCAGCACCGTCTTACCCATCACCCTCGTACGCCGCCCCGGCTTACAAACCAGCCCCATACAAGGCATACTAAGTGACATAATAATTCATTCACTTTCGTAAGGAAGACATTGTAAATTGTTGTGTTTGACTTCTTGTTATCTGACAAACAACAGTCAACTATGTATCATAAATTAAAAATATATTATTTAATTTAATATGTATATATTATATTGAATAAAGTTGTATTTATTTGCTCAAATTTACTCTTTTTTTATTTTTTCTAAGCAACTATCATTTATATATTTCTGTCATCAATGTGTTCCTTACAGTATATTATTGATGTTTACATATGTCATCCATATTTACTACTTATGCGACACCACGAACTCTAAACAGTAATTGTGGTGAAGTATATTAATAATATTCGGCATTCGACTTTAATAATAAGGTAGATACAAGTATACAATGGTAACGAAATTTATTGATTATTTATTATAATTATAAGTGATGACAAAACATTATTTTATTAAGTAGGTAGGTAATCTTTTTTTAAATATCATATAATGTTTAAAAACAGGTTGAAACAATCATAACACAACATATGGAAACAACCTAACATAATATTGATGTGCGTTATGATACAGGTGCAGTTTATTAATTATACATATAATCCACTAATCAACTAGAAACTATTTAATAGCAACGATTTAATAAATATGGTGGTTTATAACGCTTACTAAGGAATTGTTATATGTTATAGTGAAAGGATTATAAATCAATAATACGACAGTCAATAATGTGACAGTTAATACAATACATATTTTTAATGATATTTATTATAATATTGTCTACTTAAGATGACAAATTATATTTAACGATACTCATTTTTAGTTGTTTATGAACTTAAAATAATTTAAAGCCGTTAGATTACTAAACTTGTTAATTACGTTGTCAATTTTCAGTCGATAGTATAGAATAAAGAAGAAACACATTAGAGTAGACATTTTTGATCACACAGATAGTCAATTCATACATGACTAATAGTATTAAGACACACTTAATTATTTTAAAAGAAAAACTGTAAACTTTAAATAAGGTTTTTTAATAATTCAGATTTTAAGTAGCATTCCTATAATCTAGTTAAAGGTTACAAGCTAATACAAGCTTACAAATTTTTAAGGTCCAGTATTTTTTTAAATATAAAACAACGAATGCTAAAATGTCATCAAAATAATCTTTAATATTCTAAATAAAAATAATAAAAAAATGTAGTTAAAAATACCATAAGTAAAGTTTTAGATGGTGACTTCATTAAGCAGTGACCTACATATTTTTTTTATAAAAATACACTTATTTAAACAATAATTATACAATGCACTAAAAATAATGGCAGGTCGATAACAAGTTTTGAATAAATACTTTATAAACCATAAGCATGAAAAATTTATAGTTTTTAAATGAGCGTGGTTAAGTCGTGCAAGCGCAGTACAGCTTTAAATACCTTAACCTTTTCCACAGAGCTCTTTATTGCTTATACTTTTAAATGCTAAAAACGCAATGAGTGTAAAATTAAAACTGGATATCGACTACTGACTATAGCAAATAGTTATTAACTGCAACACACCTTTTTGCTATTAAATAATTCGAATGAGTTTGCTTAATCACAGCAATGATAGGTGGTATAATTGTCACCCACAAAATTGCCTACAGGCTTCTTATTAATAACTCCTATGATTATAACCAAGTTAAGTAATTTTTCAACTTTCTTATCGTTACTATAACTAAGAATATTTTAGTATACATCAATTATTTAAAAAAAAAATCATAAATAATTAAGAATGGGTTCCAATTTAAAAAAAAAAACAATAGCGTAAATGAGTTGTACAAATAAATAAAACTTTATTCAATATAATACAAACATATTAAATTAAATAAATATATTTATATTTTATGATACATAGTTGACTGTTGTTTGTCAGATAACAAGAAGTCAAACACAACAATTTACAATGTCTTCCTTACGAAAGTGAATGAATGATTATGTCACTTAGTATGCCTTGTATGGGGCTGGTTTGTAAGCCGGGGCGGCGTACGAGGGTGATGGGTAAGACGGTGCTGGGTAGGCGGACGGCGCTGGGTAAGCCGGGGCTGGTGCGGGGTAGGCGGCTTTGTAAGCCGGGGCAGAGTAAGACGGAGCGGAGTAAGATGGCTTGCTGTAAGCCGGGGCAGAGCTGTAAGACGGGGTACCTTCCTTCTTGACTTCAGCGTTGAAACCGTAGTCGTCGGCGGTGTATTCGACGATCCTCTTGGTGCCGTCGGCTTCGACCAAGCTGTAGTATCCCTTGACGGTTTTGCCGTCGCTGTATTCGGATTGGCTCTTGACGTCGTAGGTGCTTGGGTCGTTTACGCTGTATTCGAAGCTGTACGGGGCTGGTGCGTATTCGGGTTCCGGTGCGTAAGCCTTTGGTGCTGGGTAAGCCGGGGCGGAGTAGGCTGGCTTGTAGGCGGGAGCGCCGTATTGAGAGAGAGCAGAAGCCACGCAAGCGGCGAAGATGATCAACTGAAATAAGAAACATAATATAGGTAAAATACATTATTATTGTACGGTCTTCAATTAAGCATATGTTGTGTTAATATCCTATTTGTAATATGTGTTAGTTTTCTTGAACTTGTATGTTTTTTATGCGTATTACCCATTCGCGCCCCTCAACTAGTATCTCTTAAAAAAAAAACTCTGGCATGTAATAATGGAGAGTTATAATGCAGAAGGCATTACAGCCTTTTAAAAAAAATAAAGAAAAAAATGAGTAATTTATGCAGCAATTTTTTGGAAAATCAATATTTGTTTAGTGAAAAGCAATAGCTATATTTTGTTGAGTAGAGTGAACGTACAAGAGCATAGTGATTGAGTGTTAAGTATTTAATGACGAAAACTTAGGCCAATTTTTAATAATATAGAAATTCGTTTAAGATAAAACTTGCTTTTTCACTGGACTAATATTCTTTTACTCATTATTATTAACTATATTATAAACAATTCATATAATATTAGTTTTACACTTAACAAAATCAAAAATTTAAAAATTAACAATTTTGTTATTACCTTAGCAGCCATTTTTTTGAGTTTTGTGTTGTATATTCACCGATTGAAATGTTCACTTGGTCGTTGTATGAGATACTGATGTCCATTGAGCAGCTTGTCACCGTATTTATGGGAACTAAAGTGATTGTGATGTTATCCCTTCTTGTGCAGTAAGTAGGTGTTCCCTGTTCACGCCCTGTATGCTATACTCTCGAATTGAACCGGTAAATGTTTATTTACTTAATGGATTTAGACAATATTCAAAAAGAAATTTTACGCCCCTTTACGTCCAATGACACGCCAAATATTATGTTGAGTTAATTATATTAGTGTTATGTAAAATGACCCGCGGTGTCTATAGTATTTTGATATTGACACACTGTTTGATAATGAATTATTTAGGCAATGTATCTTAATTTTTATATTAATGTAAACGTAGGTAATATAAACGCAAAAAGGAAATAATGTAAAATCCCATCTGTGCTTATTGAGCAATAATTATTATTGCGGTTTATAAAATACAAGAAAAGTATTAACACAGGTAACAGTATATTTAATACTTTGGTTATAAAACGGAACACTATTTTATATTTATATACTATCGTAACGTCAAAGCAATCATAGTAAAAAATATGAAAAACATATTTCGGAAAACGGAATAGTTTTATTTTTGAGTAAAATTAGTTGTACAAAATGTAGTCTCCATATAACGCTTGAGATTATAAATTTGCTTTTAAGCTTTTACATATTCACCTGAATATAAATAATATGTACAATATCGGCATAAATTAAACCTGAGAAATAATTTTAAAAAAATAGATGTTGAGAATTATTTCGAATGTTTTGGTTAAAATATAAATTGATTAAATAACAAAATGAACGAATACAAAAATAAAAAAACCTTTGTAAATAATTACTTATATATACATTTTTTTTTAGAAGATAGCTTTTACTTGAAGCGAATTATCTGAATTGAAGTTTGTAATCATTTGTATACTTTTAAGTTTCTAGTTGATTAAAACCCATAATTAACATTGGTGTAACGTCCTCAGTTAAGCGTTAAAATTAGTTATAAAATGTATTGCTTCATTAGGAGAACGTCACAATTAATACATATTATGGAGTAAATTGTATACCAATACGTCATCTTAAATATTTGCTTAGTACCGGTTTTATTCAGCACCTAAAGCAACTTAAGGGCGTTAACACATATTTGCTGAGTAGATGGATTTTGCAGTCGCTATCGTGACATTTCACATAAATACAGACACTCTTTGCAGAATTTTCAACAGTCTTCGACACTCCAATCAAGAGAGTACAGCTACTAATTCAACAGTACTATCGTTTCATTATAATTAATAAAATGGCCGCTAAGGTACAGTACACAACAAATTATTACATTTCCATATAACTAAGATTTTTTTTTCAAATCGAAAAACTATACTAAATTTGCTTAAGTAAAAATGTAAAATAATGATGTACCTATCTTGTTTCTTTTCAGTTGTTCATCTTCGCCGCTTGCGTGGCTTCTGCTCTCTCTCAATACGCCGCCCCAGCCTACAAGCCAGCCCACTATGCACCGGAACAATGACAAAAGTCATTGATTTTTAAATCCAAAAAATTACATGTTTGTTATTTCTAGAGTTGCGTTTAAATTCATAAGACTCGCTTTGTAATTTGTTTCTGTGTCAGCTCGACACTAACGTTAATTAAACGAACGTTGTTCGGTAAACGTAATATAATTGGTGTAATAGTATATATCAAATATGCTATGCAAAAAACTATGATTGAATTCAGTTTTAGTTTTTTTAGTTTGCAACTGCTACTTGGATTAGAAATTTATAGGTTATATGTTTGTTGGGATCACTTGAATATGAAATATTTTATAATGTAATAATTAACGGAAACCAAAAATTACTGCTATATCTGCTCATTTTGTATAAATACAATTTGTAAAATTTAACACTAATACACGTCATTTGTTGACAAAATAAAAATATTATTAAAGCTTTTTTTTGTTGAGAAGTCTAGGTCACTTTATATCAAAAAGCTTAAATTGCACTGGTAACCTTCTTAAACACTGTGGATAAACGGACTTTTTACAAACTGACTCATAAAATAATGACAGTATTTTACCAAAATAACAATGTTTTGGCTTTAAAAAACAGGTGCTCTGAAACTAAACATAAATTGTGCAAAATTATTTCATATAGATAATTTTATGGAAACCGGTTGCAATCACTTACAAATTTATCATAATAAAGTTATAAAATTATGTTTTTATTACACTAAATTTTTGCAAAACATTTCATAATTATATTAATCGTGCAAGTCATCCGATATATGACCTATGTTGTTTTACAAAAGTTTGGATCGTACTAATCTCTATAGTCACTAAATTAGAGATAATAACACAATTTGTATTAGTATATTTAGTTAGAAAATTAACGTCCGTATAGGTGCAGAGTACAGTTTACAGCTTAGAACAGTTGAAGGCAAATAAACATAGTTAATAACAATGTGTTTTATTAAAAACACACAATAATAAAAATGAAACATTACAATTATAACCATATAATTTATACTAATTTAAAAATTAAGATATATTATATAAATAAATTTACGAACTGTTTTTAAACATAAATATCAATTTAATTATACATTTCACAAACAATTCATATAATTTTAGTTTTAGCTAGAGAAATTATATTTTTGCTTATGTTTCGACTTGAATGTGAAAAAATGTATTTTAAAATAATGAAAATAATTTAAAATAAGACGGTGTGACCATCAATTGAGGTGATCATGTGCAAGAAAACAGTCACCGGTATAACTCTTGGTCATTGAACAGTCTAGATAATGAAATAGTCAAACTATTTCTGACTTATTCCTAATAATTTAGCAAACGTTAAGTTATTATTTAGCTCTAATCTCAACCCACCAAATCATAAATCCGCTTAGTTGTTAAACTCAAAGAAAAGTGATTATAGCTTAAATCAAATGAACATTAAGAGAGTTCGAATTGATTGAATAAATTTATGTGATAGAATCACATCTGTTAATACGGGTTTTACAAGGCTCCAATTGTCTGTAGAAATATTTTCGTAAAAGGAGTTGAAGGACTCGAATAACAATTAACGAGATTAAAATACTTATCACAAGAAATTGCTTCAGCTATGTTCTTATTGTGCGTATTGTCCAAAATGTTTTTTTTTCGTACATAAATGTATTATAATAAATAGTATTTGTTGGCTGTGTATAGACATAATTCTTAAAATTTTCATATGAAATGAGAAGATGCAGCCACCACGTTGTTGTTTATACTAAAAGTGCCCTACTAAGTATGGATTTAACTATTTAAGAAAATCCTTCTGTAGTTTAACATTAAAAAATATTTTTATAGAAAATAACGGATTTCATTTAAACAGTAAAAGTGTACATGTTTTAGTATCAAAAGTTTAAAACTATAATATACTACACCAAAATATAGTGCTTGAGGTATTATGAAAACCGGCAAAGGACAATTTTATAATTTCAAATACTATATTATATTTTTGTTTATAAAATTCAGGACTTATTTAAAAAAATATTGGGTAAACAAATTAATTTGGGTCTGAAGACCTGTTAAATTGTATATGCCTCGTATTAAGTATACTCGAGGCTGTACGGTAAAATGGAACTCAAAAAAATATAATGTAGATATACAGCAGTTTTACGTTTGACTCGTGCGGGTAATACTGTATGTGTGGGTATATCTTGTGAAATCTAAATGATAAAGTGGTAGCCCGAATGAATTATTGTTTATTAATGAGTTGTCTGTCAACATACAAATATATATGTACAAACATATGCACGTTTAGGTACACAAATAGAACAAAATTAAATTTACATACACGTTTAATTATATAACAAACTGTAGCTCTAAATTTAAATACATTAATTATTATATTCGGCAGACAGCGTGACATTGACCGTAAAGGTGGATACCGTTTTAAATGTTCACAATTTCTTTGATTACATTTGCTTAGTACCGGTTTTGTTCGACTCCTAAAGCAATTAAAGGGCGTCAACACATATTGGCCCGGTAGAGGGACTATACGGTCGCTATCACATGGTTTCGCATAAATACAGACACTCTCTACGCTATTGTCATCAGTCTTTGACACTCCAATCAAGAGAGTACAACTACAAGTACAATAATACTACATTTTCATCACAACCAATAAAATGGCCGCTAAGGTACAGTACACAACAAATTATTACATTTCAATATAACTAAGATTTTTTTTTCAAATCGAAAAACTATACTAAATTTGCTTCAGTAAAAATGTAAAATAAAGATGTACCTATCTTGTTTCTTTTCAGTTGTTCATCTTCGCCGCTTGCGTGGCTTCTGCTCTCTCTCAATACGCCGCCCCAGCCTACAAGCCAGCCCACTATGCACCGGAACCCCAATACGCACCTGCACCGTACAGCTTCGAATACAGCGTAAACGACCCAAGCACATACGACGTCAAGAGCCAAGCCGAATACAGCGACGGCAAAACCGTCAAGGGATACTACAGCTTGGTCGAAGCCGACGGCACCAAGAGGATCGTCGAGTACACCGCCGACGACTACGGTTTCAACGCCGAAGTCAAGAAGGAAGGAACCCCGTCTTACAGCTCTGCCCCGGCCTACAGCAAGCCATCTTACTCTGCCCCCGCATACAAACCCGCCTACTCTGCACCAGCTCCGGCTTACCCATCACCCTCGTACGCCGCCCCGGCTTACAAACCAGCCCCATACAAACCATACTAAGTGACATAACAATTCATTCGCCTTTGCATGGAAGGTGTTGTAAACTGTTGTGTTTGACGTCTTGCTATCTGACAGACTGTAAACTTTTATGCACCCGATTCCGTTTCTCTTCATCTTACTCCACACCGACATACAAACCCGCCTACTCCGCACCAGCACCGTCGTACTAAACGCACATACTAATTGTCGTTTACTTAGTACAATCAATATATATACATTATATACTTTGTAACAGCTGTGGACGTAAATCAGTTTTGTAAATAACATCATGCTCTTGTAAATACAGTCATTTAATTCTTAAACGAAACTATATTTATTATTTGATGAGAGTGCCGTACCTACTTATTTGCAGAACCTATTAAGAATTTTATTATACTAACAGTTGTATCTCATGTACGTCTGTAAATAGGTTTCTTTAATTTGAGTCTTTCGCGAATTAGGATTTCATGAAAAGCCATACAAAAAAATAAAATTAATGATGTCTATTTTGCATAAACTAAAAAAAGAAATTAGGGTTCACTAATGTTTTTGCTAGTTGAACTACAGTACACTTTATCTGTTATTTAAATGTATATTTCAAGAATACTAATGCAAGGTCAATGTAGCCTTGTTTGATTGTATTATAATATGTTTCATTGATAAAATCACACGGTAAATATTACGACACAAAAATGCAGAGACCATCTTTTCGTTGTTACATTTGTGTTGTTGTTATTATATTTGATTTGTGTACAGATATTATAATTTATTACGAATATGGCAAACCAAAAGATGGCGGCCAAATTTTGTTTACATTGGAAGCGACTCTATTAATTACAATTTTGTCAGTTTTTAATATATTTTTACGTCTGCTATTAGGTTGTCGCTTTAAGCGAGCGCTTCTGTCTTCCGTGTGTGAATGAAATAAGAATATTCATCATATTATCATATTTGAATTTCTTTTTATTACTTTTGATTTCCATCTGACACGATATTATTGCTGCAAGGCCTGTCACACTAACAAGTATACGCTGCGCACCGAGAATAACCGCTTTATTTGACTAAACATAAGTGTGTGAATTACGTGTCATACCTACTTACACTATAACAGTGAAGATATACATAATTGTATTGTAATTTAAAAGATAGACCGCTCGAAAATCCGCCATATTATAACGGGAACATTATCAAATCATTGATATAAGTTCTATTACATCTTTAAACTTATAACAGTATACTACCATTGTATTATTACTCTTTTAATAAACTGTTTTTCAATTAATTTGTCTTATTTCCTATTAAGTAAAATAAAACCGTCATTCTATATATTTTGTAACGTTCACGTAATATGTGTTCAGTTATGATTATAGGTATTATGGATTCAGTTCAGTAAATCAAGACAAACCTCTAAATAAATAAACAAAATTGACTTTTTATTTTAGAATTAAATTATTGTATGTACAACAACGTTATATTATTAACATAAATGATTTACACCATTCATAGCTATTACAAGTGTATTATAATACATTTTTTTTATCGGTTTAAAAAAAAATATTTTTATTGATCCACGTGTACTGTATTTAGGCTTCATAAAAAGATAACCAGCGTGAATTAGCCTTATCATAGTCGTTCAATCTCTATGTTTATGTATGTACACCCATATTAAATTGATCAAATTGTGTTGGAATTTATTAATATATTAGTAATAATAGTTGATTTCAGTGAATTGTTGTGTTATTAATATTTTACATTCGAGTAATCCTGAATAAATGTATAATAAATGTATAATTTTTTCTACCAAATAACAGTTGAAAACTGATTAAATAAAACTGTATTTAACCATAGTTTTTGACACAGCATGACTACTATTATACCAATCATATTCTCGCATTTACAAAACAGATATCAATGCTAGTGTCGATCTGACATAAACAAATTAAACAACGAGTCTTGTAAATTCAAACGAAACTCTAGAAATAAAAAATATGTAGTTTTGTGGTTTTAAAAATGGAATTGCTTTATTTACAATATGTAAATGTCTAAGAAATTATTGACAATAAAGGTTGTTCATAGCTGTTATAAATGATTTATTATTTACATTAGGTAAATGACATTTGGTATGTTGGCTTGTACGCTTGGTGCGACGGGTGGGTTTGAAGTAGCCGATTAGGTTAGGTAAGTACTAATAATTACTATTAGTAAGACAGTGCGAATTAAGATGCGACTTGCTGTAGGCCGCCCCAGAGCTGTGTTATAAAAGCTTATTAGTTAAGTGGTTGGTATTAAATAGCTTCATTTGTGTATCATGTGTATAAACTTATTAAAAAATAAACTGCATTTGTATCATAACGCACAACAATATTATGTTATCTCGATATGTTTTTTTTATGTTTATTTCAATATTTTTGTAAACATTATATGTATAATTAAAAAAAAAAAATATTGGACAACGGTTAAAAAAATATTTTGTTCAATATCTTGCTACTAAACTGGGTTAGCATTGTATCTACTTCATTATTAAAATCTTACGTCAATTTGATGTACTTCACCATTATTGCTGTTGATTGTGCATGGTGTCGCATAAATGGTCCATATGGATAGCATATGCTAACATATTATCGAAATAAATATATAAATAATAGATTCTTAGAAAAATAAAAAATGAGTAGAGTAAATATGAGCAAATAAATAAAACTTTATTCAATATAATACATAAATATTAAATTAAATAAATAATTCAATTTGGTTTATAATACATATTTGACTGCAGTTGTTCGTCAGGAAACGGAGTCGGGTGCATAACAGTTTACAATACCTTCCATGCAAAGGCGAATGAATTGTTATGTCACTTAGTATGGTTTGTATGGGGCTGGTTTGTAAGCCGGGGCGGCGTACGAGGGTGATGGGTAAGCCGGAGCTGGTGCAGAGTAGGCGGGTTTGTATGCGGGGGCAGAGTAAGATGGCTTGCTGTAGGCCGGGGCAGAGCTGTAAGACGGGGTTCCTTCCTTCTTGACTTCGGCGTTGAAACCGTAGTCGTCGGCGGTGTACTCGACGATCCTCTTGGTGCCGTCGGCTTCGACCAAGCTGTAGTATCCCTTGACGGTTTTGCCGTCGCTGTATTCGGCTTGGCTCTTGACGTCGTATGTGCTTGGGTCGTTTACGCTGTATTCGAAGCTGTACGGTGCAGGTGCGTATTGGGGTTCCGGTGCATAGTGGGCTGGCTTGTAGGCGGGAGCGGCGTATTGAGAGAGAGCAGAAGCCACGCAAGCGGCGAAGATGATCAACTGAAAAAATAAAAAAACAAAAATAAATACACTATTTCTATTAGACTTTGACTGGAGCAAATTTAGTGTTATTGTTTTATTTGAAAAAAAAAAACCTTAGTTTTATTGAGCTGTAATAATTCGTTGTGCACTGTACCTTAGCGGCCATTTTATTGGTTGTGATAAATATGTAGTATTGTTGTACTTGTAGCTGTACTCTCTTGATTGGAGTGTCGAAGACTGATGATAATTCCTCAGAGATTGTCCGTATTTATGCGATAGCGACTGTATAATCCCTCTACACGGCCAATGTGTGTTAACGCCCTTTAATTGCTGCAGGAGTCCAATAAAACCGGTACTAAGCAAATGCACTCAAAGAAATAGTACACATTTTAAACGATATCCGCCTACTCGGTCAATGTCACGCTCAATGTCTACCGAATGTAACAATTAATATATCCGATATTATATTTCAAATGTCGTCAAATTTTTATATGAGTATGTAATTTACTAAAATAGATAGATGTATATTTTAAGCTAATACAGTCAAACGTAGTGAAATATTAACACGTGCAGAATTGGTTGATTATAGTTTAAAAATCACTAGCTAAGCTATGGCAATAGAAATTTCAATAAATTAACATTACATTTAATAAATAAACATTTATTTATTAAAAACAATAAATCCGTCATGAAAAAAAATATGTCTTTTCGTTTCAAATTTGATGATATTTTAAGTATACATAATTACAGTAGGCACAATTTTGTATCTTGTTAAGTATAGTTAAGAAAAGTGAAAACACTGATTTAAATGTACTCAAAATTATAACGTAGATTTAATGTAAATTCCACCTAAAGAAATAATAATTATTAATCCAAGTATTTTTTTTTTTGTAACCGGTTGGACGTTGTACTTACTTATGAAATTGACCTTGTACGTCATATGTAATAATACAAAGTCTTTTGAAATGCAATTAAAAGTAAATATATGTAGAACTCAGTCTGTATTAGTTGTCAAAAATAATTTTTAAATTTACCAATTATTGATAATAGCATTGAGACAATATATACTCAATGATAATAGTTTATTAATTCAAGTTTTAATTTTTAGCGTTGGGTAACCTTTAATAGTAATTAGTTAATTAGTTTCTATTTTGCAATAATTATCGACTATTATAATATTATACTTATAATCAGAATTTATACAATTTTAACACTTGGTCAGTTAAAGTATACTTTATTTATTCAATTATTAAAATTTTAAATGTTTTATTCTTGTTTAGCGCAACTGGAATAATACTTAAAACAAGTGCTTTTTAAGTTTTATTGCTTTTTAAAGGCACTGCAATTTATGCTTTTAATTGCTCAATCCGTTACTTAAACCACAGAATATAATTAATCTATGTATTCTGTGCTTAAACACTCATATCAATAGTAGCACTTAATTAGCACGTTGCTATTATTTTTATAATCTGCTAATTAGCTGTTTACATTTATTGTATTGAATGATAGATTCTATTAACATAATATCATATAATGACGATAACTGATGGTAGGTAATATCACTTACAGGTATCATTTAACATTTCTTATCATAATTATATATTTTCTCCTTCTGAATTAAAGAAACAAAGTCGATTAAAGAAATTATATAATCTATTCTACCTACAACCTAATATTCTACACTTTAACAGTTAACGCAGAGTTTATAGTTATAATTTTTCCAAAATATCAATGGTGCTGTTTAAATGCATATCACTGTACTTAATCTATGTGTTCTGTTAAAAATAGACATAGCAATACTGCGAGCGAGCCAGTGCTTTATTTTAATTTTGCTACATTTCGCGTTACATAATGTATTATTAATTGAGTTACAAAATCAAGTTGGTTTCTAGTTTTTAATTAGTTTACTTAAGTTATGTGCTAACACCAACCGAGCTAGTTATCTAAGTAAATTAGAACTAAGATTAATACCGAAATTCAATATGATTTGATACAATATCTTAAGAATATACCAGACAAAGTTTATTTCGTGTTTAACTATTATTAATTGACATGCATTCGCCAGTTGACTATATAATTATATATATATATATATATATAATATTATTACAATTAAAACTTCTGTAATATTTTTTCAGCAGTTTGATTTGTGAAATTTACTATTATTGACACAACATTTGTATTGCTTTCCAATATTTATGAATTTATTCAAGTATTCAGCCCTTATGATCATGTCGACCAAATTGATGTTCAGTCGTAAAGGATATAAAAGTGGATGTAGGAACATTCACGTTTTAAAATATTTACATTATTTTTTGATGTTTCAACAGTTGTAAACCCAATGGCTACGTACGCTTATCAATCGTTGCGTTATTCATATTTTAGTAAGCATATTATACTTATGTATACATAATATACCTTTTGTAAGTTGCTCTCTTTATGGTGCGCGCTGGATGACAATAAAATAAAGATACCGGGTTTTTTTTGCGGTCCACAGCTTATACAAATGCTATAAACCCACTGTGGGTAAACGACGCACTTGCCTTAGTAGTCCGGTAGTTTTACCGGCATAGTAAAAACTAACGTATCCAAACACAACGCGCATCACCTGCGGAAGTGCCCGCCGAAGATTTCCTACGGATAAACTTTTGCACTAAGAACAAGAATTTTGTTATACAAACGTGAAATGATGTGTATTTAACGTGAAATGAACATTACGATTTACAACACAGTAACATTGACAAGTAACAATTGTAATCGTGGCGTGGGTGTGGGAGGGGTGATGATATTATAATTTCAATAAGGCGAGTAGGGATCGTAAGACGGTTCTTGGTACGTGGACGGTGCCGGATAGGCCGATTTGTAAGACGGGCCGGGGCTGCTGTACAGAGGGACGCCTTCCTTCTTGACTTTGGCGTGGAAACCGCTGTGGTCGGCCGTGTACTCGACGATCCTCTTGGTGCCGTCCGGTTCGACCAAGCTGTACGAGCCTTTGACGTTGCCGTGCCCGTCGCTGTGTTCGTATTGGCTTTTGATGTCGTGGGTGTGCAGGTCGTGTACGCTGTAGTCGAAGTGGTACGGTTTCGGGCCGTGGTGTTCGGGCTCTGGCCAGTAGTCCTGCGGCGGTCCGTAGTACTCGGACAGAGCAGAAGCCACGCAAACGGCTAGCAGGATCAACTGAAATCCAATTAGGGGGAAAAAAATCATTGTATCATTTACCACCGAAGACGTTGTTGCGTTGGAAATCGTTCGAGTTAGCTTACCTTGGCGGCCATTTTCGTTTGTTGTTGCACTCGAACCACCGACAGCTGTGTGTGTATATGGATAGCTGTCCGTACGAGAGACTGATGACTGTCCGGTGGAAATTATCCGTATTTATGCGAAATTGTAGTTGTAAAACAAATTTAACTATTCTCCTACCTTATGCGTATGTGTTTGTGTGTGTAATTAAAACGTTTGTTTCTACGATTTAGTGAACTAATAAAAACCGGTCATTATACGCAATTTTTATCATCAAATGTCATGTGTTTTTTTTTTTTTTTTTTTTACATTAGGCGGACACCAATACCCCCTTATTGCGCCTTATGATGCTGAGTTTTCTCGAAAGTAGATTAATGTGTATTCGTAATTTATTTTGTAACCGTTTTTTATTGCACTACAAGTCCACTTCACTTCCCCGTGAAAATATAATTAACACCGTTAATTACGTGCACGCTGTAATTATATACAGCTACCCAGCACACTTGTTAGTCGTTCCTCATCCGATAATCACGTCCAATTTACTATAATATTCACTCTTACTTATTTGGTTAAACTCGACAAGTATATATTTAGGTAGGTAAATACGTTTATAAGATTTTTATTCGATTTTGATCTCAAAATGTATACACCGCGTGTAGTTGTTTTGAAGTTAATAAATTGTTTCCAAATACTGTTTTATTGTCAATTGATATAATATTATGTAGATCGGTTTGTACACTACAAATTATTTAAAAATTCTGAGACTAGCTCCGAGTTGGGAAGATGAAAACCCTATTAAACGGTTGTCTTTTGGTTCTTGTTCGAAAATCGCGTTGTACCGTGTTATGATCTGGCCAATTTTACTTTTAATAATTACACAATTTTGGCTTATGGTATTGTTGGTGTCCCATTAGTCATTGGTTTTATTGTAGCTAAATAATACAAGGTGATCATATTTTTATCGTTAACCACTCAATATCTCATTGGGTTTAATTAATAATGGAATTTGTTTTTTTTCATAGTGTTTTCATAATATAATGTGATCTCAATTTGTTTTTACACCACTCCCAAACTAATTATTTTTATATCAACTTTTTAAACTTAAATGGTAACGCATACGAACCCATTAACTTTTCAAATCGAGAATAATGTACTAAAAATTTTGGCTGGTCGATAACCAGTTTTGGATAACTATTTTTGAAGTTATTGAAGTTTCAAGATTAGGGCAAGAGGAAAGCACGTGGAGTGTAGTGTTATTTTTATCTATATTTAAACTCTTATAACTTTAAAAATAGTTTTTAAAAGCTGGTATCAACCAGTCAACATTTTAAGTAAAATATTCTTAATTTAAAAAGTTAATAAAATACCTATATGCGTTACCTACCGTTTAAGTTTCAAAAGTTAATATAAAAATAATTAGTTTAGAAGGGGGGTAAAAACAAAATGAGATCACATTGTATAGAAACATTATGAAGAAAAAAAATGCAGCTTCTTATTAAACCCTATGATACATTGAGTGGTGAAATTATCACCCTGTAACAGGTGAACTTGAATATTGTGTTAATTATGTTTTGGATAGCACTCGCCTCCGGTCAGGTCATCTATTAATTATAATATGTAATAGACAGTCGAATGAAGCCACCGCTGGCTATCGAGTGGCATCTGTTCTATGTGCTATATAATATTATCACGTGTAAGTAACAGTAACAAAATGATTTCGGTGTGTATACGTTCTAACTAGTGAGAACTATTTTAACAGGTTATGCCTTATGGTCAATCTATATAATGATAATATTACTATTGCTATATGTTAGAATAAAATGTTTTATTTCAATTTAAACGATACACTCGACAATATTTACATTTGACCCTAATAGGTATTACATTGCTTTGAATTTGAATTTTCAATTCTAACCGAGTACAAATAAACAAACTCTTTATAGTTTATGCGGTGTATTTAGATAATATCAAACGCAATCTAATGCAATCGCTTAGGTATTATTTTTGTCGTCAAGTTGTATGCCGTTTTCTCGATTTACATGCAAACCTCGGTTATGAATTCATAATTCATATTTTTTTAATATAAATCTGGGTCAAAATTACTTACATGCATTATAATCATACACGACTAATTAGCCTCTGCTAAATGTGTAACACTTGTCCGTATTGTGGGCAGCTGTGTTATGTAAGTGAACTTGTCATGTGCCGCGAGTACACTGTATATTATGCTTTACACTGGGTTGTTGCAAAAATTATATGGGCGTTTAAACCTATAAATCTTTTATCGATTTCTGAGGTTATTATGGTATGTATATAGATCTTTTCGAAAGTGTCTGAAACAGCACTTTGCCCGGACACTGCTAGTCACTGGTGCGTTCTCGCGTACACATATATAATAATATGTACATTGGAGTGTTTTTATTGACTTTAAATATTTCGTCGTTAATGATTTTAAAGACTACCGCAAAGCTAATCAGATTTGTTATTCAACTCGCCGGATTTGATGCGGTAAACGCGTAGAAAACAGTATAAAATTGAATGTAAATTTGTTTACTTTTGTAAACGGGTTTTTTTTCTTAAACAGTTCAATCAATTTCCTATACAATAAAATATAACATTCCGGTTGAACTTACTGCCTATAATAAAATAAACGTGGAAATAATTTAAAACCAGCTATAAAGAGTAAACCTATCTACTGCAAACCGGTTAAATGAGCAAAAAACAAAAATTTATTTTGTATTTTTTTAAAATATTTTTTTTTTAAATTAACATACATACATAATCTATATATATATATATAAATATATATATTTATTTACATTTTAAATAGACCATAAGTTAGTTATTACAACGTTTTAATAACATACCTCAAGACAAGTTAAGCAATGCGCATGGGAATTATTCAAATTCACATGCATAGTAAAGATTACACTAAACGTATTGTGTTTTAATAAATTCGCATAGGTAACTTATAATACATATTTGTATTGAATAAAAAGATAATTATAAAATACATGAAAGTTAATAATATTTCACAACGTGACATAATATGTAACAATATATATTTTACCCTAATGAATTGTCATATCGATAAATTAACATTAACATGTTATGTTAATCTTATTAACACTATATTAACTTGTTTTTTTTCTTGAATTTCGATGATTATAATGTTTTATAATTAGTTATAAAGTTATAAGTTTATAAGAGTTATGTGCAAACTTTTTATACAACCGACTGATTTGTATGTTTTGTATTTAAGTATTAATTATATTTTTTATTTTTATTTAGTATATTATACTAATTATTGTTAAAATTCTGACTGATAATATATTTTAAGATATAATAATAATTTTTAAGAAAACGGTTTAGTAACAGCTATTTTTGAATAAATATTTTTAAACGTGCTTTTAATCACTACTATATTTCTCTTGGGTGATTATATTTAAGGTAAGAAAGTCACTTGGTCACTTGCGGTTGGCGTTGGCCAACTTAATTGTAGTTATCATTCACCGTAAATTATAATCTAAATATTAAATAAACATGAATTTAATTATTATGTGTACGGTGTACCTACTAATACCTAATATAATATATGCAGTTTTTTTTTGGAAAAATTATCCTTTACAAATAATTATTGCCGTATAGAACCACGTGGTCTAGTAATAATTTAAGCATAACATTATAATGTTATATACACATACATACAAGAATTATAAAATATATAAGTGCATATAATAGCTATTTGGTAATACTGCGGAGTTATACGATACAGGTAGAAGTGAAAATCTAACCTCAAATGTAATTATATATAAAAACCAATTATAAAAAAAAAACCATAACATTCTTTTTGTAATGCCTATAAGATGAAATTATACACCGCATTCATTTTTAAAGACTTGTAACAAGATGTCGTTTGCATTAGACTTAAAGGCTTCTTAATTATTATAATAATATGTCATTTTACCTAAGTAAAAACAAATTTTATTTATCAACCACTTTGTTCTAAATCGAAATGATTTTATATTTTTGAAAAATTGCATAAAATTATTGGCTTTATAATAATTGTACAAAACAAGAGTTGTTGAAACTAAAAAAAAATAAATAAAATAATTGTATCAAATATTAACACATAAATATACATATCAAACATCAATATAACATATTTATTACAAACAAACTGGTGGCAGCACATGATGTTTTAATGACCGGCGCCACCGTGTTAATATTATATGGAAACTGACCAGCGATTTTTATTGAACCAGGTCTCATAAACGAACGAAAGAATAAAAAATAGTAAGGTTAGAATTCGAAGGAGTATATTATAAAGAGATTATATTTATATTTTGCGGGCCAATAAATCAATAGAAGTTTACATTGGCTGATAAGGCGAGGTGGCAACAAATTGGAACATATTATTATTAATTAACATAACCATCACAATGCAGAAGCTAGACTTTCGACTGTAGTTTTGCAATAATCGCCATTAAATAACCAATAAAAGCGTTTATTAATTATTATTGAAACGCAGACTGAATGAATTACTTTGACGTGAACTGCATTTATTGTGATTTATCGTACAGCCGTTTAGTGATGTCGGAACGTCTCTGTATAATATACAGGTAAAGTCGTATGCATCTAATTTATAATAATTGTCCGCACTAACATGAATATGTAATTATTTAGTGTTTACGCCCTTATTGTATCGAGTTGCAAATAAAAACCGGTCGTGGCCAAATAACACATTTCGTTTCATACTACTAGTTCATTAATTATTAGCCCCGCCTTCATACATACACACACACACGTGTATACTATTCTGCCGATAAAGAACACATTTTAAACACAATCCTATTATAGTCATGGAAATGAAATCGAATGTTACAATATTTTATAATGTCCAAAAGCCTAATAAAAAATAATATTTAAACGAATGTCAAGTAGTCGGACCGTCTGGATTTTTGAACAAATTGACCTGTCTTTGTTGATATAGCTAAATAAAAAAATTATGTATGTATAACATATGCATAAAAAGTTTGATACTTAAATAGTTTATACTCAATTCATTATAAGCTATGAATATTCGTATCTTGATACATCAACATCAATCAAACATGACATTTTCTAATTGTTTGTAAATCGCCCAATGATATTTTAACCCTTACTGTTTAGTATTGATTAATAATAAAGCATTATTAAACTTAATGTCATTCAAAACATCATACCAATTTATATATATACATAAATAAATATATATATTATATATTATGTTTTATAATACATATATATATATATGTATTATACAGTTAAATGTCCATGGTCGCTGACCAGTCTTGACTCGTTTGTTGTAAAATAGATCATTAAATCCAATTAAAAAATAACTTAAGATCAGTATACTACTACTCTTAAGTTAGCTATTAACGTCAACACCGCAAAGGCTAATGTAATCGTAAATTAACATTTTTTCAATGTCCAAATTCTGTGAAATTACCATACCTATAAGCAACTACATTTCTCAAAATGCAAATTCGCCAATACAACTTTATTCACGCTCGAGTGAACGTATATACTTTAATTTCTTCGGAAGCCGTTTAATTATTTCGGTTGGAATCCAGTTAAGTTTTCAGGCTACTGTATTCAGAGCTTATATTTATATGTTACACGTCCTGGGGCTAAAACTCGTATCTAAGTATAATCTCCCGAAACCCTTGACACGTCTGAAATGGCTTATTTTTACATTATTAGCCGTCTTATATTTCCACTTGGATCAACAGCAATCATAGCAAGTATACAAGGCATTGATATGGAAAAATTTATGTCCAAATCGATTTGCAAACCTGGACGCCTTCGTTTATGTGCTTGACTCAACAAAATATCGTTTCTTGACAAGTCGTTCATAAATCATTATTAAAATAAATGATTTTCTTTGAAAATTGTAATTTAATTGATGAATATTACTATATTGCATTTGGTATGAAGTTAGCCTTTTTCGTGTTTATAATAATTATTTATGGCTTGAAAATATTCAGCTACTTAATCGCATTCTGATATACATAACTGAAAATCAGATTTCCTTAGAACTGTTAATTATGGTTTTTAATCAATTAGAAACTTAAGAGTACACAAATGATTACAAACTCCAATTCAGATAATTTGCTTCAAGTAAAAGCAATCTTCTAAAAAAAAATGTATATATAAGTAATTATATACAAAGGTTTTTTTATTTTTGTATTCCTTCATTTGGTTATTTAATCAATTTATATTTTAACCAAAATATTCGAAATAATTCTCAACATCTATTTTTTTAAAGTTATTTCTCAGGTTTAATTTATGCCGATAAGTGACTTGTACATATTAATTATATTCAGGTGAATATGTAAAAGCTTAAAAGCAAATTTATAATCTTAAGCGTTATATGGAGACTACATTTTGTATAACTAATTTTACTCAAAAATAAAACTATTCCGTTTTTCGGAATATGTTTTTAATATTTTTTACTATGATTGCTTTGACGTTACGATAGTATATAAGATAAATATAAGATAGTGTTCCGTTTTATAACCAAAGTATTAAATATACTGTTTTATAAACCGCAATAATAATTATTGCTCAATTAGCACAGATGGGATATTACATTATTTCCTTTTTGAGTTTATATTACCTACGTTTACATTAATATAAAAATTAAGATACATTGCCTTAATAATTCATTATCAAACAGTGTGTCAATATCAAAATACTATAGACACCGCGGGTCATTTTACATAACACTAATATATTTAACTCAACATAATATTTGGCGTGGCATTGGACGTAAAGGGGCGTAAAATTAGTTTTTGAACATTGTCTAAATCCATTAGGCAAATAAACATTTACCAGTTCAATTCGAGAGCATAGCATACAGGGCGTGAACAGGGAACACCTACTTACTGCACAAGAAGGGATAACCTCACAATCACTTTAGTTCCCATAAATACGGTGACTAGCTGCTCAATGGATATCAGTATCTCATACAACGACCAAGTGAACATTTCAATCGGTGAACATACAACACAAAACTCAAAAAAATGGCCGCTAAGGTAATGGCTTATAACAATATTGTTAATATTTTAATTTTTGATTTTTTTAAGTGTTACACTAATATTATATATTTTGATTATAATATAGTTAATAATAATGAGTAAAATAATATTAGTCCAGTGAAACAGCAAGTTATATCTCAAACGAATTTCTATATTATTAAAAATTGGCTCAAGTTTTCGTCTTAAAATACTTAACACTCAATCACTACGCTCTTGTACGTTCACTCTACTCAACAAAATATAGCTATTGCTTTTCACTAAACAAATATTGATTTTCCAAAAAACTGCTGCATAAATTACTCATTTTTTCTTTATTTTTTTTAAAGGGTGTAAGACCTTCTGTATTATAACTCTCCATTATTACATGCCAGAGTTTTTTTTTTTTGAGAGATACTAGTTAAGGGGCGCGAATGGGTAATAAGCATAATAAAAAGTACAAGTTCAAAAAAACTAACACATTTTACAAATAGGATATAAACACGACATTTGCTTAATTAATTAACCGTACAAAAACAATCTATTTTATATTATATTTCCTATTTCAGTTGATCATCTTCGCCGCTTGCGTGGCTTCTGCTCTCTCTCAATACGGCGCTCCCGCCTACAAGCCAGCCTACTCCGCCCCGGCTTACCCAGCACCAAAGGCTTACGCACCGGAACCCGAATACGCACCAGCCCCGTACAGCTTCGAATACAGCGTAAACGACCCAAGCACCTACGACGTCAAGAGCCAAGCCGAATACAGCGACGGCAAAACCGTCAAGGGATACTACAGCTTGGTCGAAGCCGACGGCACCAAGAGGATCGTCGAATACACCGCTGACGACTACGGTTTCAACGCCGAAGTCAAGAAGGAAGGAACCCCGTCTTACAGCTCTGCCCCGGCTTACAGCAAGCCATCTTACTCCGCTCCGTCTTACTCTGCCCCGGCTTACAAAGCCGCCTACCCCGCACCAGCCCCGGCTTACCCAGCGCCGTCCGCCTACCCAGCACCGTCTTACCCATCACCCTCGTACGCCGCCCCGGCTTACAAACCAGCCCCATACAAGGCATACTAAGTGACATAATAATTCATTCACTTTCGTAAGGAAGACATTGTAAATTGTTGTGTTTGACTTCTTGTTATCTGACAAACAACAGTCAACTATGTATCATAAATTAAAAATATATTATTTAATTTAATATGTATATATTATATTGAATAAAGTTGTATTTATTTGCTCAAATTTACTCTTTTTTTATTTTCTCTAAGCAACTATTATTTATATATTTCTGTCATCAATGTGTTCCTTACAATATATTATTGATGTTTACATATGTCATCCATATTTACTACTTATGCGACACCACGAACTCTAAACAGTAATTGTGGTGAAGTATATTAATAATATTCGGCATTCGACTTTAATAATAAGGTAGATACAAGTATACAATGGTAACGAAATTTATTGATTATTTATTATAATGATAAGTGAAGACAAAACATTATTTTATTAAGTAGGTAGGTAATCTTTTTTTAAATATCATATAATGTTTAAAATAAAGTTGAAACAATCATAACACAAATATGGAAACAACCGTAACATAATCCACTAATCATCTAGAAACTATTTAATACCAACCATGTGACATTTAACATGATAGATATTTTATAATTAATAATATTTGTATTTAGTTGTTTAAAAATCGTTATAAACTTAAAGTAATTTAAAGTCGTTAGATTATTAAACTTGTTAACTACGTTGTCAATATTCAGTCGATAGTATAGAATAAGACACATTAAAGTATATATTTTTGATCACTCAGGTAGTCAATTCATATATGACTATTAGTATTGAAAGACACTTAATTATTTTTAAAGAGAAACTTTAAACTTTAAACCAGGCTTTTTAATAATTCAGATTTTGAGATGCATTCCTATTTTCTAGTTAAAGGTCATACAATGCGAGTTTTCAAATGTTGTATAGCCCAGTATTTTTTTTATATAAAACAATGAATGCTAAAAAAGTATCAAAAAAAATGTTAATACTCTAAATAATAATAGAAAAATTTAGTTAAAAATACCATAGAGGAAGTTTTAGATGGTTACTTCATTAAGCAGTGACCTACATATTTTTATAAAATTCACTTATTCCAACAATAATTATACAATGCACTGAAAATAATAGCAGGTCGATAACCAGTTTTCAATGAATAATTTATAAACCATAAGCATAAAAAATATATATTTTTTAAATGAGCGTGGTTAAGTCGTGCAAGTACACGACAGATTTAAATAACTTAACCTTTTCCACTACAACTCTCTGCTTATACTTTTAAATGCTAAAATCGCAATGAGTGTGGAATCAAAACTGGATATCGACTACTGACTATAGCAAATATCTATTAACTACAACGCACCTTTTTGCTATTAAATAATTCGAATGAGTTTATATCTTGTCCTACCTCAACACTGTATTATTTCAGGGTCGATCATTAAAATCTTGTCCTTAATCACAGTAATGATAGGTGGTATAATTGTCATCCACAAAATTGCCTACAGACTTCTTATTAATAACTCCTATGATTATAACCAAGTTAAGTAATTTTTCAACTTTCTTATCGTTACTATAACTAAGAATATTTTAGTATACATCAATTATTTAAAAAAAAAATCATAAATAATTAAGAATGGGTTCCAATTAAAAAAAAAAACAATAGCGTAAATGAATTGTACAAATAAATAAAACTTTATTCAATATAATACAAACATATTAAATTAAATAAATATATTTATATTTTATGATACATAGTTGACTGTTGTTTGTCAGATAACAAGAAGTCAAACACAACAATTTACAATGTCTTCCTTACGAAAGTGAATGAATTATTATGTCACTTAGTATGCCTTGTATGGGGCTGGTTTGTAAGCCGGGGCGGCGTACGAGGGTGATGGGTAAGACGGTGCTGGGTAGGCGGACGGCGCTGGGTAAGCCGGGGCTGGTGCGGGGTAGGCGGCTTTGTAAGCCGGGGCAGAGTAAGACGGAGCGGAGTAAGATGGCTTGCTGTAAGCCGGGGCAGAGCTGTAAGACGGGGTTCCTTCCTTCTTGACTTCAGCGTTGAAACCGTAGTCGTCAGCGGTGTATTCGACGATCCTCTTGGTGCCGTCGGCTTCGACCAAGCTGTAGTATCCCTTGACGGTTTTGCCGTCGCTGTATTCGGCTTGGCTCTTGACGTCGTATGTGCTTGGGTCGTTTACGCTGTATTCGAAGCTGTACGGTGCTGGTGCGTATTCGGGTTCCGGTGCGTAAGCCTTGGGTGCAGGGTAAGCCGGGGCGGAGTAGGCTGGCTTGTAGGCGGGAGCGCCGTATTGAGAGAGAGCAGAAGCCACGCAAGCGGCGAAGATGATCAACTGAAATAAGAAACATAATATAAAATAGATTGTTTTTGTACGGTTAATTAATTAATAAAAAAAACTCTGGCATGTATTAATGGAGAGTTATAATACAGAAGGTCTTACACCTTTTAAAAAAAATAAAGAAAAAATGAGTAATTTATGCAGCAATTTTTTGGAAAATAAATATTTGTTTAGTGAAAAGCAATAGCTATATTTTGTTGAGTAGAGCGAACGTACACGGGGGAAATTAGCAGTTACTGATTTATTTATATTTTTTTTTTATTTTTGTTTTATTTAGTATGTTAAGAATGAAAATTTGAACTAATTCTAATAACTATTAAAGTTTGTTTTTGATAAAAGAGTTTTTTTGGAATTACAATTTAGTTTTTGGCATATTTAGTACTATATTGTATTACGTTTTTTAACTGATAAACTACTATAGTTTTCTTTTCTCGATTTAAAATTATTTTCGGTAGAGATTACTGACTGCACTTTTGTGCTGGCCAACATTTAGAACAATACATTATAATATCAAAAAATTAACCAAGCACAAAAATTACATGAGATTAGATTTATTTATTTATGTTTACTTAGAATTTATTTGCTCATAAAAACCAGTGTTTTCTTCGCTTATTTAAAGTTAAATAACATCAATGTTAACGTATGCGCGTTGTACTAATAATAATAATGATAATATAATATCTTACCTTAGCTGCCATTTTTTATGTGAAGGTAATGAATTTTCGATTCGATCTGATGAAAACGAGAACGGTAACTGGTAACTGTTCACGGTCTCGTGATATTTATATTGAAAGCTTAGAAGGCAATTCTTTCCTCTCCAAATTATAACACGCCCTGGCATTTATTGATTGTACATGGTCCATGGACCGGTTGTATGCGCTGGACTCAGTTTTTGCAATTAAACAATTACTCCAGATAGACCTCGAGGTATTTCAAAACGCACTGAAGAATACATATTTTAACCGACCGAATAATTTTGTAAATTCGTATTTAGTCATCGTGTGTTGTCACTTTTTTTTTTTACATATTATGCGGTTTGCTACCAGACCCTATTTTTATATCGTTAAAAACTCTCTAATGATTATTATTCATTTTAAACTTACAAAACACTACACGTCTTACGAAGCTCATTATTTACCGTGTAAACATCATTTATTACGGGTTGATCAATAAACATACATGAGCAACATTATGGCTATTGATATAATTAAACGGCCCATTAACAGCATACAATAAACTCTTGAGTATAACATTGTGCAATATATTTGAATCAACATATCTATTTTTTTTTTATGTGTAGCAAGTGTTTATGTTTTATGGTGTAAAAAAAAATGTAAACAAGCTCGATCAAATGAAATTGTACATTACTCGTATAATTTGAAATTAATAGTAGTTATTTTCGTTGGCAATGGAAAAAGTATTACATATTATATATAGTACAGAACTATTAAAATAATTACCGTAAACTATATTATTATAAATATAAAATAACATTAATAACACAAACTTTAGTAATAGATACTAATTGATATTACGGAACAAAATATGTACACCATTGACTTAATTCCGATGCGAAGCTAAGGAGATATATTTTTTAGGACAATAATTGTATCTATATTATATTTGCATTGACCTTTTTATAAAAAATCTAGCATAAAATATACTTATGGCTGTAATTTATCTGTGGTTAATTATAGGCAAGACACGTGCATTCCTCATAGTATAAATTGTGTTATGTCAAGTAGATAGTAACACAACGCAAGTTATATTTATATGAAAGAAAACTTGTATGAAATACAATAACTTGTGATTCCGAAAGAGTTATAGATAATATAAACACGTCATAATCAATTATGTCAATTACAGTCTAATCGTTTTTTATTTATTATGAGATTGCATTTTCAGTATTTGGCAACGTTTTGTAACAGTTACCTTTACTATATTATAATATCAAAATTGATATAATAACCGAATTAAGTACATTTTTCATTCTGCGGTACCTGTAGATTTTCCTTTTAAGGTTTAACCCCCATTACATAACATGTATATGGACATTTAAACCTGGAAGCAACTAAGTAGAACTACACAGCCATCGGCTCCTTTTATTGCACATAATCAGTGGCGAGCTAGATTTCATTTATCTGTAACCTTCGAATACCACTTAAGGACTTATATATTATATTTAAAGACAATTTAATAGTCATCATGCTTAAAATTGTACAACCATAGGGTTTCAAAGTAGATTAAATTATAACTGTTATCCTAATCGCTTTCAAATGTGTATATCAACCGAATTCGCGGGAAGGGCTTTTTTGTAATCATATATTATGAATAATATTATTAAAAAAACATTGAAATTAATAAGAATGGTAAATTTGAAAATACCATTTCAAAAGTATGTCAATCCAACTGGAAAGCTTTATGGTGATTATTGGCATAACAATGTCAATGTGTAATTTTCCCCTTTTTGGGGGGTTTTCCCCAAAAAAATACAGATTTTTGAGAAAATTATATACTATGTTATAGCCCCAATCTAGTTCTAGCATTGTCTCTAATTTTCAAACCTTAAGCTCTAAGACTACCCTTAGAAATATAATATGTTGTCACGTCGACGGGATGGCAAGCAACAACAATGATCTGCAAGTGTATGAATTGCAGAGCCTAATGCCTTAAGAGTTATGTCATACAAACTATATGATGAAACAAATAATATCGTGATAAAAAAATTGAAATATTTTTAACAAACTTAATACGTTTCTACTTAATTAACAGTTAATTGTTAACATATATCTAATTAATCAAATTACCGGCATACATTTCCTTGTAGAGTTTGTCTACTATAGTCTATATGTATTGCATGACCATCTCGATAGTTATAATATTATTATTTGAACTAACTAACTAAGAGAAGTTATAACTTCTCTTCGTCTTATTTGAAGTGTTGTACGGAATAACTTATCTCTTTGACATAAACTCTGAATAAAACGTTTTGCAAATGCTCGTATCATCCCTTATACACTGGAAAAGAAACACATTCAAACATTTTTTTTTGTCTTTTAATAATTAATAATTAATTTTATGTTTCAGGTAAGCATAAACCGAAGTGTTATTCAAATATTTGACCGAACAATGGTATATGCGGTAACGTAAGCAAAATTTATCGTTATTTCATCGGTTTAGTAGTGCTGACAATTTTTTTTATAAAAATGTGGTCAGTCATTTTCATAACTTAGCTGCACCTGCCTTAATATTATAGGCTTAGACATATAACAAGTTGAAAATACATAATCGTCGTGTGACCTCCAGTCACTTACTTTGTAAAAAAAAAAAAAAACGTTTTTTTACATGTCGGTCTGACGCTGACCTTAGCGTGAAATTTGGCGCACCATTAAGAAAGTAATAATTATATCATATAATTCGAATTAATTGATTAAAAAAACTTGCACGCCGAGTGTATTAAGATTTACATACATGTTATGTATGACTATTTCTATATGTCTACATAGATCATTTTTTCCCAGAGTCTTTATTTTAAAGGACACAGTACACGATACACATTATTACTGAATACCAGAATTGCTAAAAGTGGACTCGACCAATCTAACCCTGGATCTAAAACCCTCCTGAATACTTCGAAACATAAAAAAAAAATATACATATATGAAATATAAATTACATTTTATGATTGAAAAATAAAAAGGTTATCTTTATACGTATATAGGTACATATTAACATGAATAATATGTTATTGGGCTGGATACAATGAATTTCGTGTCACCATTTTCGCGTTACAATATTATAAGAGATAACATAATATTCATGATTCAATGTTTTTTCGTGGAGCGTAGAAAATAACAAGGTTTTTTTATGAAATGATCTTTATCATATTAATCTTTTTTTATGTTATCTGGGCTCAACACTGTCAAAAAAACTTAGGTAAAACCTAAACAATTTGGACAGGATCTCAAGTAAATTTAGTTAACATTAACAGCCACTGTAGCTCTGTACTTTACACCACTCTTGGGTATTGCGGGAAAAAAGAGGAATGACCTCTAATAAAAAATATATAATAATAGTGTGAAGGCCGTAATGCATGCATAGCGAGTTACACTGACAAGATGATAAACGATGACGAGTACAAAACAGCTTTTCGTGCGAAAGCGTAATAATATTATTATATGTATATATATATATATATATTTGTTTTTTACCAACTTTTCTCTTATTATAATAGTAAAAATAACCAAAAAAATTACATTTATTTCATGTTTGCCAACTAACACACGAGTGTAATAATTAATTTGTATTGTTAACACAAAACTATAGTTCTGACCGACACATGCTGGAACATAACACGGTAATATAATAATACATTATAATTATTTTAGGTCAAGACGAAACTCTTATTACGCTTTAACGGCCATAAAAATAATATACCTAATTATTAGGATTTTTACTGATCGATATGATTTTTTTTTGATAGGAAAAACGTGCGTCCGTTTGGTCCGGCAAAATCAACAATGATAATAAATAATAATATTGTATATTTTACACCTCACCGGTAATTCAAGGCCGGCGAACACAATATAAAAAAAATTGTCGGGCTGGTGGATAGTGTTTTTTTTTTTGCCATCGTCACAATACAAAATAAACACACGGTCAAGTATATATTATTCGTGTAATAATAAACGTATAATGTTTTATTTAAATACGAGCAACAGATACAAAAATATTATAGAAATACAAACGACAGTAATAGTAAAATAAGCCTAAAATAATAACACAATTAATATATAGTTATTAGTTTTGAGGAGACGGGTGATCGGTTTGGTTATACCGTGTGAATACCGTGCAGCAATAGCGAGAACGCGGTGAAAATGAAACGAGGGAATTAAGATATTTTATTTTTAAGGCTACCCCAAGTGAGTGTAGAAAATCGGTGTTTCACCCCATCCAGTTTTGAATCGGTCAAACATTATTAGGTTTTTTTACCTTTTGCCATGTAACGAGTGAAGTCTAAACCTGAAAACTAATTAGATAGTGTGTGTTTCTATCCGAACTGTCATGCTAGAGTATTTCGCTATATGTTCCACAATGAGTAATTTTTTTGTTTAAATATTTTTTTTTTCTCGAATCGACTGGTATATTACATATAAAATGATCAATGAGCCTGCACGGACACAGTAATTAATAAGGCACGTACGGTTTGTAAGCAACGGGCTTGTACGCCACCGGGGCCGGGGCTGAGTAGTACGAGGGGGTGCCTTCCTTTTTGACTTCGGCGTTGAAACCGTAATCGTCGGCGGTGTATTCGACCGTCCTCTTGGTGCCGTCCGACTCCAACAGGCTGTAGTATCCCTTGACGGTCTTGCCGTCGCTGTATTCGGCCTGGCTCTTGACGTCGTAGGTGCTCGGGTCGTTCACGCTGTACTCGAAGCTGTAGGGGATCGGCGGATAGGCCGGTTCGTAAGCCTTCGGCACCGCCACTGCCACCGGTTTGTACGCCAACGGGTAGTATTGGGCGAGAGCAGAAGCCGCACAAGCGGCGAAGATGATAAAACTCTGAAAAATCAAAAAATGAAAATTATTCACACGAACAATCGTCGTTTCATCGATGAATTTCAATGGTAAAAAAAAGTTTACAGAGTGCTTTCAAAGCAACGTTTATAACAATTACGAGTCAAGCTGATAACGCAGAATCACAGATATATGTATTATATTATTTTATACCCACATATATTCTACAAGCAATCTAGTTCATTATATATTTATATATATAGCTGTGTTTCCGAGTGTTTTTAGAGATAAAACACATATAACAAAAAAAAAAAGCTGTTATAATTTAAAGTATAGGACAAGATTTCCTATGAGGGAACTTTAGATGAGCGTTTATGAAAATATGAATCAGAAAAAAAATTCCAAAGATTTAAAAAAATGTATTTTCACATTCATGTGTGGTTCCAACAAAAATCTTTCCTTTTTTAAGTATTTTATCTCTAAAATCACTTGGAAGAGTACCTTTTTCTGATTTGCGCAAACATGTCAAGATGAAGGTTTCGTTTTTAATCGCCGTCAAGGATGCTGTGAACTTACTGAACTAATAGTTCAGTCACATCACAGTTTAACCTTGAAAATTAAAATTTTTTGCAAAAAATTGTCAGCAACTAGCATTTAAATTCCGTCCCAGGCAAAACCGAACCCAACCCTGGACCAATGATTAATATGATTTTGACCTAATGAAAATAACAAGGTTTTTTTCTTTCCGGACAATGGCGTTAAATTCTGATACTTATAAGCGACCTTTGCGTTTTATACACTACACATAATAAGTGTATTGTTGGAAAAAAAACAATTATTCAATCTAGAATATCGTAACAGACTATTTATACTTCATATATGACACGCGTAAAGTGCGCTTTCCCTTTAGCCTTCAGACACACTGGATAGTAATTATTAGAAAGAATCGATACTTTTAATATGAACTACAGAAGAAAATTTAGCTGCCCAAAATCGTCTAAAGAAATTGGTTTAATATTATTGTATTGTTTGCAAATACAATTGGTTAGGTTTTTTTTAATTAAAAATCAATCAATCAAATAATATTTTATTTACAATTTAAAATCAATACAGATGTACTTTGTTGTTAGTTTAACAAAACCGTACTTACCTTAATGGACATGTTGTTCTGTTTGAAGTTTTCACTGTGTAAGTAAGTTTAAATCAAACCGTAGTGGTACTGGAACAGCAACTGACGCTTGTTGTTTCCGATACCGCTGATTTTATATCCAACGTTTAAATGTTGTTTTACCCTTTCGGACATTTATTTCTCCACAGACACAGACCGGTTATTCCATATAGAGCATTTTTGCCTCAGATACATAATAATTGTAGAAAACAAAAATAATTAAGTAATCCAATGTGTTGGTTTTTATAAGAAAAAATTCTAAAGGCGTTTACTGTTAGATTGGATTTTCTACTCGGTATTATTCAATCTTTTTTTTTTTTTTACAACCATAATAGAACTCAAAACGTGTTCTCCAGTTATTTATATTTGATATTACCCTTTCAAAACTAACTTTAAGTCACATAAAGTCTGTCATGTTTCACTGTTTTACGCAAAACAAATAGCCAAAAAAAAAAAAACTATTAACCTACCCGTTTTGTATTAGGATGATAGAAAAAGCCAATCATCCGGTCTATACACATTGAACAAAAGTTGTTGACTATTATATTTCAGTGATGTAGTAAAATTCATCCAGTTACTAGTAACTTTTATTATAAATTAGTACCAGACAACATTCTAACTACCTAAATATCTTGTAATAAAGTCTTGGTAATAGTAATAGTCTTGGCAATAAAACTAATACTATATTGATGATAAGTTATTCAAACATTTATCTTATATATATATTTTAAATTAAATAAATATTTAGACGGTTGCCATAAATTAGTAACGAAAAATTACTGATTGTTGTTTGAGTAATAATTGTGTCTGGATATTTTTCACTACTACATAGTTTGTATTATAATCTCACAGTGCTAAAGCAATTTCAACATATTTTAATTGTAATTATTATCCGATTTTAGTACGGTTTAACGTTTCGTTAACATCCAGTTACATCACCAACGACTTGTACAGTATAAATTAATCGTATTTTGCGCGTTGCAGCTTGCCAACTACAATATATAGGGTGCGATATAATTATACAGGCCTACACGTAGGTATATAATATGGTGCACCGCATTCGCCGTGCAGCACTCCCCTTAAAACGCATAACACATTCACCTAAGAAAGCAACAGCGCCCATTGACGACCGAGTTAACTTAAAACCCGCGCATATAAAGAAGGTGTACGTTGTGAAAACGGAAGTTTGATTATAGTCGACTGCATTAAGTAAACAGAACGTTACCCGATGCAAACGACATAATATTATGTTTACACCGAATTATGGTTTTTTAAAGGCATTCCCGTGTTCAGTTGCCAAAAAGAAACAAGTCAGGTACACTATAACGTATAGTGAATGGAGCAAATATGAACACGGGGCAAAATAAATACATGAGGTAAGACGGGGCAACTGGATTCCTCCATAGCCAGTGATAATTATTTAAATATAAATATTTTTGGAATATTTTATGAATTCAAGTTGATAAGCAATTAGTGATAACTGATTGATATAACATTTTTCAATTTTAGTTTCCCGACGAATTAATTTTTCAAAACTTCTACGTTGTTTTAAGGCAAGAATAATTATTAATGAACACCTTACCAACATATATATATATATATATATATATGGACTTCTGTAGTTTAATTTTGTGTAATATTTTTAATAATTGATAAATTATTCAATTGTATTGATTCAGACAATTATTAGTCTACGAGTGGCGTTATGGGACTATTGTCATGTGAGGTATAACGGGGGACTGTTCCATTTTGCCCCTTATAAATTTGATTTATTAAAATATTCTTAACGCAATTAAATTAACAGCTGTTTGTTATAATTAAATAAATATTTAATATGTAAGTTGAGAATTTTGTTGAAAAATTCAACTTGACATAAGGAGGTAAACATTAGGTGTCTCGTCTTAGCCTAAGGTTCCTCAATCTTGAGAAGTCTGCAGTGACCTCTGACCCGCGGTCGAATGAATATACTACAGCTACGATAAACGGTCTGCTGTGATAATAATAATAATTGTCCATTGTGTAAGTAGATGGCAAATGATAATACAGATATGGAGATAATATCTGTACGGTAGAGTATATGGAGATGAATGGGAATCGAACGAGCGTTATACATATACCTACTGTCGCATAGCGGCTATTAAGTAATAACGTTATACTGATATATTATAGTGATTTGTCATCGCGGTGCCGTTCACTGTTCACATTAATCCACACCTGCACTAATAAGGAAACGCGCACGCGTTACAGATTTTGGGATCGGTTGCTAAATACACACTTTGCTAATACCGAAGTGGAACGGTTTTGAATTAATTAAACACACAACATCGTTAAACTAGGTAAATGCGTTTCGTCCATCCAAACCCGATCTAATGACCCGATTAAACTAAATAGCCCGCCTATATGTTTATAAATTATAATATATTATTACATCAAATTACATACACCAGACACAAATTAATATAACAAAGCGTGAAAGATATTTGAATAATAATTATTTCATTATGATAATGCTTTAAAATAAATCAGACATATAATACAACATATCTGAATATGTAAGTGTGTTCGTATAAATCGTGCCAATACAAACTTTAAACAATTCTGATTCGGAAAAACAATCGTTTTATTTATGCGAACTATTATTTTTAGTTAATTCATAAATTGTGTACGTTAATCGCTATGGTATTTTAACAAGTTGGTTGCTAGTATTCGATTACTTATGATAACTACATACAGCTGTACGGCAGGTGATTTGAGGCAATTAAAGAGAGTCCAGCGTAAGTTTTTGCGCTTTGCTAGTTACCTACTTAAAATTCCTCGTCCACCGCACGATTATAGACCTGTAGCTAATTTACTTGGCCTACCTTCCTTGGCCGAGCGGAGACGCACTGCTGGTATTAGGTTTATTGATGGGCTGTTGAAGGGTAAAGTGGAATCGTCTGCACTTCTCACACTACTTTGCTTTAAAGTGCCTCAACGTTCATCGCGAACTAATGCTCTTTTTCACATCCCACGTGCCACCACAAATTATTTGGCAAATGATCCATTACGGCGGCTAATGTCAAATGCCAATGTGGAACCTAATTTTAATTTTAATTTTTAAGCCTAATTGTTTTTATGTAAATATGTTTAGTTTTGTTTATAGTTTATAAGTTGCTGTTCAGTTGTGTGTTTAATGTTTTCTTCATTGTACAAATATGCATGTATATATATATATATATAAAAAGGGCCCAGCCCGTATACAATAATAATATTAAATAACTGTATCACCCAAGCAGGTGAGTAGTTTTATTTAAACGAATTAAATACAAATATTAGTAACATAAAACATGTTTGGTCAAATTTGTCACCTATTTAACAGCTATTGATAAGATTCAATTTTACTTTTAATAGTACTTATCTTTTTATTGTAACACCACACGTTACACGTACTGTGTTTACCGTTTTACTATTGCAGCTTGAATATATGTATAATAGGTAATTACGCTCGGTTTACCGTCATAGTTTGTTGCATATTTTTTAAACAAGTTATATTAAAAGTCATAACATTTTTATCAACATAAAACGGGTGCATAAAATAATCATAAATCGTCCAAATTCAGTTCGGTAAATACAAAAAATTCGTATATTTACATATAGTAAATGCATACATTTGTTTTGTACAAATATATATTATGTAAAATACAAATTATGGCAACGCAGACACAAATAGCAACATTCCCACTGCGGTTCAATATGAACGCGTCGGATGCCAGAGGATGTAAACAGAAAATAGGAGAAGAGACAGACGATAGAGAGAGAGAGAGAGAGAGTAAGAGAGGGAAGAAGAAGTGAAGTTTGAGCAAAGGCGTTAGTAAACGCGCTATGGCGGCACTGTATTGACGGCTGGCCATCTAGTAAGCTGGGGCCGGGTAGGCGGACGGCGCTGGGTAAGCCGGGGCCGGTGCGGGGTAGGCGGCTTTGTATGCCGGGGCAGAGTAAGACGGAGCGGAGTAAGACGGCTTGCTGTAAGCCGGGGCAGCGCTGTAAGACGGGGTACCTTCCTTCTTGACTTCAGCGTTGAAACCGTAGTCGTCGGCGGTGTACTCGACGATCCTCTTGGTGCCGTCGGCTTCGACCAAGCTGTAGTATCCCTTGACGGTCTTGCCGTCGCTGTATTCGGCTTGGCTCTTGACGTCGTAGGTGCTTGGGTCGTTTACGCTGTATTCGAAGCTGTACGGTGCTGGTGCGTATTCGGGTTCCGGTGCGTAAGCCTTGGGTGCCGGGTAAGCCGGGGCGGAGTAGGCTGGCTTGTAGGCGGGGGCGCCGTATTGGGAGAGAGCAGAAGCCACGCAAGCGGCGAAGATGATCAACTGTAAAAAGGAACATAATATTATATAAAGTACATTGTGTTTTGATAAGATTGCCGTCGAAGCAAATTTAGCATTATAACTTTTAGTCTATTGGTTTTAGTGAACTTTTACACGTCGTGCAGAATGCATTTTAAAATGTTCAAAAAAAAAAAAATCAAACAAAACGGTAGACCACTAAATATTAGTTTAGAAGACCGTCAACGATGTAAACTAACTATAATATTTAAAACGATTTTTTCGTATTTGTCGGTAAACAAATTCAACATCGTTGTAGGTACCGTACCTTAGCGGCCATTGTCGTTGGACGTATTGATGGATGTTGTTGTGTGATAAGACGAAACACAAGAGACTGATGATCGGATGGACGGCGGCCGGTATATTTATACACACACACCTCTCGGGCTCGGGGTGTTCGACCCCTCCACCAACGGCCTTAACCGTGTGGGTGTGCAAAAAATACGAATAAGGTGTAAAAGAATACGGTCTATGGAAAAATACAATATATATATATATATATGTATTAATAAAACGTACACACACACATATGTGGAAGAAACCTTCACCCGGCAAACTGGTCCGACGCAACCACTCCCAAACAACAGGTTTGACATACGATATTCACTTTGATAAATAGGTCGAGTTGTTGCACTAAATACCCATATTATATAGGTATAATAGATATTATATTATACGACGACATGACTTGTGACTGACGGTTTTCGTCATTGACGACCGCGGCGACGATTTTTTTTTTTTGTAATCGTTTTTTAACCCCAATTATAGTTTTTTTACACAACGGGCGACGGCCGTACGGCGGTGGCTAATAGGCGCGCGCCAGAACCTCAGGCCTCGGGGGGAATAATTTTATGCTACCGATTTTTGTTTTTGAGCGGTGTAAGGTCATATCGACAACATGTCATTATTAACATAATAGTAACGTCGTATTATACGGTACATGTATATAAATATATATATATATCATAAAGAGCGAATTAGTTTATAAATTAATTAGACGGCCGTGTAGACCGAAAAATACACACTCGGCGACAGTTTGCCCGCGATGGTAATGCCGTTGGGTTTTTATCACACTAATCTAAAGTCTAGTTCTCTAAGACCGTTCAGTATTTTTTTGTCTTTTCGATAATTAAAAAAATCCATACCGTTACTTACGGTTTAACCCGAGAGAAAGTATAATATTAGTTCATAGTAATAATATTATGAATCATCGTTAATAATTGTTCGCACATCGCGATAGCATCATAATAATGATAATAGATGTTATTATCATAACAATATGCTCAAACGGGTTGACTTACATAACGGACGTGGACGTATTGTTATGGAAATTTAGCCTGACAATATTATATTCTAATTCCGCAATATCGAAATCCGTAATGCGATCAAAGAAACCTACATGGGACGCCTACTTTATTTGCTGTAATTATGTGCAATTATTTCATGCGGAAAATACATACACACGTTTAAAATACGAATGTCCGGTCCTCGTTCGGTCATTGGTACGGTTTTCGGTTAAAATGCACTGTTGTGTTGTTATAAGACAATAATATTATCCGTGCAAGTTTATTGTAGAATTTTTCGTTTTTTGACATTATTCTAATTTATTAAATTAATAAATCAAATTTGAAACCGACACTTGCCATTAGTTGCTTAAAGTTGTTTCTTGAAACCAATTACCCGCGCAAACTGTATTAAACAATTCATATCCAAATAAAAGTCAATTACTTTTGTAAATTGCAATTATTGTAAGAGATATTCAGCGTTTTATCCCTAACGAATCACCCTGTATTATATGTAAAATATAATACGTTATCTACAGTCTGCTGAGCCGTTTTTTTTCTATTCTTTTACACTGCAGTTGCCGTATTTAAATTGGTAAACACGTTTTTCAGCATCGTTCGTGTGGGATGCGACTGCAGTCTTTGACGAACGCGTTACACGCTTCAGATAAAACACATAAAAATATTATACAAAACCAAACGAGTTGCACTTAAAAAGTATAAATTTATATTCCACACCCGACTCGAGTGTAATATCAATTTGACAGAATATGTATGTACAAGAACTACAAACGAAGAAAGAATATATATATAAAAACAAAGGAAATACCCCTTTATACATTTTTGTTCTTTATTATGATCGACTATGACCGACTTTATCCTTATTATAATCTACGAATGCTAAACTAACGGGTACTAACGGGTAGTTTTAATGATTAATAATTTATGTTTAAACCGGTGTAATTATGGTTGGTAATGTGCACAAAGCGGTATTATATCATAAAATATAAACAACAAAAAACATTTTTTAACTATTCATTTATTCATTATTCACAGCATTGATTAATAATACATTATACTAATCAATGTTCATAGAGTAGCTATAATTTTTTTACAGGCTACAATTTCACATTCAATTTGTGCCCATAAAAAAAAACCTGCAATTTATCACAATTGTATGCATATATATATATATATATATATATATATTTTAATTGGTTATTATTTGTAATTAAATTCCAAAAAAACGATAATATGTACCTACTTCCCTCGTGTAGATTTTTAATGATCGAAGCGATGGCATTTGACATCAATCGTTGCCATGTATATGGTTAGTTTAAAGGGCTATATTGATATTATCTTAAAATAACAATATAACCGCAGCCTTCCTAACAGAGACGGGCAATCGTATTAAAATATTAACTATCAAAGAGTCACACAATCTGATATGTTGATATTTATCCAAATAGTAATACGCATTGCATTAATTTAATTTATGACGACATCAAAATATATCAAGATGGTGCATATACTTAGTGTTTTACATTAACGCAAGATCATTTTAGCCAATAAGGCAAAACAGTGCCGTCTTGTATTAGTGTTTTCTTTAGTCTACCATCTAGGAATTTATAAAAAGAAACTAAATAAATAGACAAACTGTTGGCTTTTAGCCGTAGAAAAACTAATAAAATCAGTTGTTGATGCGTTACAATCGTTTTCTTTTTATCTAGCACATAAGTCCAATATTGTAAGTTCTAAAAGCAAGACTGGTGGTGATTTGTGCCTGTATACAATGTTGTGAGAACAGTTTGTCGATTTCCTTGCTTGGCCATTATGCGTCCATTTTATAGACGTTATCTTTATTGTTTTTATTTGATTTTTTTTTTTATTATTCAACGAATCGTTTTATATTGCTGTTTTGTTTTATACCGTCTCTTTAACACGTGCAAATAAAAAACCTATAATCGCTCGTTTAACGAGAAATAAAAAACGGCTCCCATATAGATTTATTGAAACGCGCGTTTGCCAAGAAATACAACCGCAGAAACCGTCTAATAAAATTAGCACAGATTATACAAAACCAGGCAAACTTTAATAATCTCATATCAGTGTGACCGACAAATTCAAAAAATAATCCTTCCGTTATACAGTGTTGTCAAAGAAATTTTATCAAAACAACTGTAATGTTATCAGTTATCACTATCAACCATCGTTAAACGGCTACTTGTTATCAGTGTTTCTTATCAGTTTACGTTATTATTGTGTACAATATTTTTGGCACTATAAATTGGCCCCACTGCGTTAGGTGTAAGCCGATCAAAAATCTTAATTAATTATTTGAAAGTCTATTGTTTTACTATGAACTGGTACTATAACTGGTTTTGTTTAATCTGGGAAATTATATACTATTTTTTTCAAATTTATCATTTCCTTCGGGCCAAATGGCAATACCCACGTTTTAGCTGTTCAATTATTTCCACACTCGGACACGATCATTCGCAATGATGACTTAATCGTCACGTCTGGCAAATGTTATCGTTTAAACGGTTTCCCGGGAAACGTTAATGTGATCTTTACCTGATCTTCTCGGTATAGCGATTAACAGCAAAGCTGTTGGTCGAACGCCAATTTTTGTTCCTGTCGTCCTAATGGTAACTGGCTGTCCGTCAAACGTCATGTAGGTCTTGATCGACGCAAACCCCATTTTTTTAAAACGTTTTTCTACCAATTTCAGCAACGATTAATATTTCCTTTTGTACCTTTTATCTACCTTACGCGGTAGATGTATTTGATTTTGCCTTTGGTCCTTAATGTTCTCCTAATGCCCCAAGAGCTTTGCCAATGGCGCTTACTGGTTTGATTACATTATGTAACACTTATTCGCTTGTTCCATTTGCTGATTTCACATTTTACGGACAAACGAATGCTCTCGATTTTTTTCAACCCATCGGTTTTGCAAACACACTCTGTTTTGACAACTATTAATATTTATGTAGCGATTGCAAATAATATGAACCGCGTAGTGCAATGTATTACCTATATGAGGTACAATATTCTAATGTAGGTTTTACAAAATGAGAGAGTGGAAAAAAAATTATATAGATACATATCATTAATTTAACAGAATACATTTGTTTGAAATATTTCTAAGGAGGGCCATTACCACATTACTCTACTTCATAAAAAAAATATAGGTACTAATGTCTAATGTTAAGTGGTAGTTATACCTATATCTATTGCAAAATAGCTACTGATTATAAATATAACTTGTTTTAAAGTGACTATTATGGAAAAATATTCTCTCTTAAAAATATGTTCAATGACAGTTATTCGGTAATCATGTATATATATTCGTATACCTATTAGTAATGGGAATTAAAAAATGCGGATTTTCAAAACAAACAAAAAATGCTACTTCAGCCATTTAAAAGTATCATAAATGCAATAATATATGAAACTTAGTTATTTAAATTTATTATGTATTCAAGTAAAACGTTTTTGATGTAAACACAACGCCAAAAATATTGATTTTGAATTTATTGTCAAAGTTGAGCTTTTTTTTAATTAAATTTTCATTAAAACATTTTACTCGTGTACATAGCACTAATAATATTTAGTATTTATACGATTTTCAAGTGTCTTAAATATAGTTTTTTTTTTTTGTGAAAATCCGGATTTTCGGATTCCCGTCACTAATGCAATTGATTATAAATAATTATTTTTAGTCAACGCTAATGCCTAAATTCCAAAAAAAAACTAAATAATAAGATGTGGAAATTCGGTTTGAAGCGGGCAAAAGAGAAAAGGAGGATGCATAACATCATTACATTAACACCGTATATGTGCCCGTCTCATCCGTTCTGTGATTAAGCGATTCAACATAATATATTATAGTCGTTTATTATTGGTTATTTTATATAAATATTTACTTACACTAGAAGAATGTTGCACTCTAAGCTGATGTGCTCTCGTTGAACGTCACACAGCTCTGGAGATAAACAGATTAACGCGTCCCGTCTTTCTCTCTGTCTATAATATATTATCTATAGGTATGTAAATACACACTCGTATACCGTCCAAGTTATGTAAAACTGATTTGATTTGTACACATACCGCAAACGACGATAATAATAATAATTACATTATAATATTATCTAGTCTTAGGGCCTACGCTCTTTAAACACAATCGGACGTATTTAATATAGACCTCCATCGGGTCGAAATCTATTTATTGTATATTATATATATATATATATTTCTCTTGTCGACTTAACGTGACGGCCGCGTTCCCGCCTTAAGTAATAATAATAATATATTAATTAACCGGCCCGTCGATCATGTTGCGGGCGTAGCTGTTTTGCCAAGTTTGATAAAGTACTATATAATAGAGAAAAATATCGAACCGACCCGTTTTTCTTGTAGTGTGAATGTAATATTTGACATAATAATTAATATATAACTGCCAACAGAAATATCGAATCTGAGTCGGTCACGAAGAGTACAATATTTGTATACGTCATGTTACTATACCGGATCGGACACCTATTGTATTAATGACTGGTCGTGATTGCAAACACAAGAAATAGTTTCAACAGGTTGTCTGGTAAGCTACACGAGAGCTTTGAGCTTTTGAGAGTTGAATATGATAATACACAAGCTAGCAAATTTGGTCACCACGCCTAGTCGTCTTGGCTAAAATCTGAGTTGCTTTAATAGTATTACAAAATAAATGTACAGGGGTTACCTACAGCTACTCTGTCTGTACATTTGCTAATAAAGCATATTTCAATACCCGTTTAGGACAAGAGTAAATATTAAACATGGTAATTTTGTCGTATTTTTATTTAATGCTTTCCATTTTTTTTTTTATGAACGTCGTTATGAAAATAAGAAATGATGAATGGAAATGCGTTTACTTTTTAAAAGTAAGAATTTTCCCAACACTGTCAAGACACGTTATAATAGTATAATATTGTAACATTACCCAAATGGGTTTATCCCCGTTGGTTGTGTCGCTTCTAGGTGCGTTATGCTACACATATTATTGTTATAGTGACATAATTATTGTGATAATTATTTTTACCATTGAACCGGGCAGACCTGGCCGACGGTTAACCTTTCCCGAACAAAACGAGCACAGCACACAATGAACCGCGTTTCGTAAACGTCGCTCCAAGATGTTATTGTTATTATCTCAAGAGTTTCTTTTCAGCGAGCCCGCCCACGCTGACGGGCCTAGCTAGTGCGGTCTTGCCCAAGGTATGTGCGCCTCGACTGTTCAAGTCTTGGCCACGGTACGCTGAAATCGATCAAAAGCATTTTTGTTTTTTGCATATAAATATATACACACGTTTATTGTAAAAGCGAAAAAGTAACGAAAAAGCTATAACAATATATTATTGTAGTAATATTATGTTACAGTAATTATTAAATTTTGTACAGGATGTCCTATGAATATTATGTTAAGGCTACATTGAAAGCGGCCGGTTTCAAACCAAAAAGCCTGACAAACGATTTTAATTCTGTAAAAATATAAGAGTTCTTCGGCTACTTTACAATAGGCCATGTTGGAAACGAATTTATCTTTTTTCACTTATGCGATGTACAAAATGTAATGTCGACAAAATTGTCAAACATTAATTATAATTAATTACAAAAAAAAAAACATGATCGCCAGTAAAGAGGCCAATAAATTCTTATTTTTTTTAAGAAAATTTAAATTGGACCATCCGAAATTTCACATTTAGTTAGGTCACAAACACATAGAAAAAATTGGACAAGTCAAGGTAAATATTATGACCTCGAAACTAGTACAAATTATACAAACAAAATTTATATAAGACTTTTTACAGCTTGAAATATCGTATATATATATATTATATCATAACAACAACATTGATACGCCGTTTTAGTACTCAGATGGGCAAAAAAAAAAAAAATCTACATTTATAGAAAACAAACGATGACAGAAAATGACAAGAACAATATTATGGTAATAATAATACAATATAACTAATTAGTGTTTGGTTTTGTTTTTACACGCGGCCCGAAAGGCGCTTGGGGAGAACCTCGTGGCCTTTTCTAGTAAGCCGGGGCCGACGGGTAAGCCGGTGCCGGGGCGTAAGAAGGAGCTGGCTTGTAGGCCGGCGCGGGTTTGCTGTAAGCCGGGGCGGGCGCGTACGTGGGCGTGCCTTCCTTCTTGACGACGGCGTTGAAACCGTACTCGTCGGCGGTGTACTCGACGATCCTCTTGGTGCCGTCCGGCTCGATCAGGCTGTAGTAGCCCTTGACGTTCTTGCCGTCGCTGTACTCAGCCTGGCTCTTGACGTCGCCGGTGTGGTAGTCGTTGACGGCGTACTCGAAGCTGTACGGCTTGGCCGGGTACTCGGGTTCGTACGACTTGTACGCCGGTGCTGAGTAAGACGGTGCCGAGTACGACGGAGCCGAGTAGGCCGGAGCCGAGTACGACGGAGCCGAGTACGACGGAGCCGAGTACGACGGAGCCGAGTAGGCCGGAGCCGAGTACGACGGCGTCGAGTAGGCCGGAGCCGGGGCGTAAGACGGTGCCGGGGCGTAAGATGGCGCCGGCTTGTAGGCTGGCTTGTACGACGGCGAGTACGAGGGCGCGGCCGACGGGTAAGCGGGCGCTGATGGGTAAGACGGCACGGAGATCGGCGCGGCGTTGGCGGCTACCAACAGGCAAGCCGATACGGCGAAAAGCTGCAAACAAAGACAACATAATAATCATAATATTGAACGTGAAATATTCCTAACACAATTCGTTGTAATTGTACACATAATAATAATTATTACCGCGTTACCACCGTGCAGTCGTTAATTGAAAATTCCATATTATTAACCCGTGTGTTAATGCGAATTAATGACTGCACGTAAACGCGGGGCGGTGATGGTTAAACACAAGAAAGTGTAGTAAAGAGTGAGCGAATAATCTTGGGGAGTATTTGCATTGCGCGAGTAAATCTTACACCGTGTTGTGAATAACAACAGTAATACACGGTTTTAATTAATTATTGTTTTCACACATCTTAAAGACTAAACTTACAGCGATTCGCTTCAAGTCCAGTTAAATACCTACGCTGCGCTAAGTGTTTAATGGACTTAACATATTTTTTTTTATAATCTGCAGTCTTCAATAAAAAAGCCAATAAAAAAAAGTATGTTTAGTCGCTGACCCGAGAACGAATCCTAGTCGTTTAATGGGAATGGCAACCCGTTTTTGTCTTTTAAAACAAAACAAAAGCACTGTGTAAGACTGGATTTCTGTTTATAATCAGTTGCCGGTGAAGATCAAACACCAGTTGTTAAGATAATGTCAGTGTGTGTACAGTCTTACATAATAGACGAGGTGCGTTCACATCAGCCGGCGTCCATAATACACCTTCTGATTAACGCTTAACTGCGATTAAACGTGTTACCTTAATTTTATTTCAGGACCGTTTTTGGTCCAAGTGCAACAATCTGTAAACGCACAGTTGATTATGCTCGGACGTGGGAGAGGGACGACCTACCGGAATTATTGTTTTCGACTTAGGCGATTGTCTGTGCGGTAATACACTGTTTGGGAGGAAAATTTCTGCCATTTCTGTGCGATGTACACAATGCTAAATTCGAAATTTCGGTGGGCGACAAACGAGCAACACAAAACAGCGCACACCCGTTTTTTGATGTCATAATCGGACAAATTAATTATTTTCAAATACAAAACTAGAAATCCACTAAAGTAGTTGTACAAAATATAATATCATATACGTTTATCTATCCGAAACATAGCAATGCCATCCAAAGGAACCGAACTCATCGTGTACTATGTATATATATATATATATTATATATAATGTGAACGCATTCGGTTTGACGTTTATTAAATCCCTACAGGGTTTCCGCCGTACAAGAAACTCATCGGATCGAAAAAGACAAGACATATTATTATATACACTGTACGTTATTAAATACTTTTGCGGTTTGTTGGTTTTTTAAATGTCCGACGCCGCCAATATAATATTGTCAATAATAATAATGTGCTCGGGACAAGTTTTTTAATAAAATGTTTCTTTTTATGACAAATCCGAAGGCAATATTGCACCATCGAGTGTTAATTATATTATGTGTCAGTCGATCGAAATCTAGTTTATCGTTTTTATATCTTTAAAATAACGTCGCACGTTCGTTTTTATAAGCAACATCAAAATATATTTCCTATACCAACTCTCTCAAGTGCAAATACCGCTTGATCGCATTGAAAATATGTGCCCGACTAACGAAACGAGTTTGTGCGCTCTGTCGACCGTAAACGTTTTTAAGAGTTTAATCTAATAACATAATATAATATAATTTTGTCGGACGAACCGAGCGGAAAAAAATGAAAATTCGGATAGACAATCAATTAAAATGTGTATTTACAAACAAGAAAAAAAATACTAGCATAATTCCACTTGGATATTAATCAATAATCATTATTATTACTGAAGTATAGTTACTTAAGTATAAGTGCACAGAATAAATGTAAATACATTTATATTTTTTATACAAAAAATCGTTCAATACAAATTCACTGCTCCAACGACTTTTCTTTTGGTAAGCAAATAATTGAAGTAATGAAAACCGAAAGAGTACAAGTAACTTAATATACTTACACAATTCTACAAGAGAAGAATATATATGAAAATTGTGTTTTCAATTGTATTTGTGATGGGAATTACAAACCCAAATAGAAGAAAACTGCCACTTATTATATCCTATTGGTCGCCATTACTTCGAATAGGTGTATACAACTATTAGTGTCTAAATTATAATTTAGTTTATATCAACTAATATTAAACATAACTATATGAATTACATAATATGTCCAATATACTTGGTCAACGTTCAGTAATAAATTTAATTAATAGTTAAACTCAGCAAATATTTAATAAATGGAATTGAAAAAAATTCAAATTTTTTTTTTAATTTTACTATGTATAAGCTACAATAGTTCAACAGACGACTGTTGAATGAAGCTACTTTTGTGTTTTTTAATTCAAAATTGGGACCCTCGATTGGCCCTATCGCCGAATAAAGTTGGTTTTAAAGTACCTTAGTAGCACTCAAATTTGTTTAATTGTTCTATTAAGTAAGTGAATTCTTAGCTGTTAGTAATTCTTTATATTTATATTTTTTTATGTCACTAAATCACAGAGAAAAATGATAATTTATAAATTGTTTTAAAATTCAACATGTACTACTGTTATTATAGTTTTTTTTTTTAATTGTCTGCACCCACTTGTTGCCTTTCGGGGTGTCACTTTTCATAGGTAAAAAATAATTTCTTATACTCACTGCGAATGCCATGGTGTTATATAATGTATGTATAATATTGTGTGTTCCTCTGTTGGTTTTTTTATTGGACCGAATGAGTGCAGTACTAGATAAGTGCAGATGACAAACCGGTCCGCTGGTGTGTGCTTCGGATGGGACGTTTGTGTGTACACGATCGACGGGCACGCGGTTTTCGGTTTATATACGTTCAAAGTTGGAATGCCGGGAGGCCGCGTGGGGGGACACGGTCAACTCCCCCTCGGGGTCCGCAACACCCTTAAGGTGTGTGGAGCAAAATACAAACAACAAATGTCAATAAAAATACACACACACACACATAATTAACCCTACTCCAACGACAGCGGTGTACGTGTTTGAGAAAATGTAAACAAAAAAGTCAACGCGTCAATGGGCTTGTACAACAATAAAAAACAAAAATAATAATCATTATATATATATATGTGTAACATTATATATGTATGACTCTAGCGGTAGTATTGTTATTAATATTTTGACAACCGGGTCAAGACCGTTGGCTTGCTAAAATCGTGAGCTTTAGGGCGCACACACACATTGTAGGTCTAAGGGCAATCACTGTGTGTATTGTACTGGACATGTGATTATTGTCGTAACGGCTTGAGCACGAGACGGCCGTTATGGACACCAGTACGGTTTAGGTCTGTGATCTATATAAGATAGTTGACGATAATAATATTAAAGCGTTTAGGTTTTTGTGGACACTTTGTATGAGCCTAAAACCGTTTTTTCACCGTTAGACCAAGTGTATTACTATCAAACACTCGGCATTGTGTCATTTGTCTAAAAAATTGTTTATCTTAATAGAGGGAACAACTTTTATTCAAAAAAAAAAGAAAGAAAGAAAAAAGCGGACTGCTCGTTTACCAGGTTGTCTGTATATAGTGACACAGTTTACACCATTAGGACGTCAACGTTACAGGTTGTAAAGTTCAATTCGTGGAGATTAAAATCATAATATACTAATAAATAATAAATAGTAATAATGAAATATTAATGGTTTTGGACTTTGGGACACGTCAAATAATTGGATAAACGGTATAAAATGTATAGGAATTAAATAATAATAATTTAAAAAAAAAAAAGAGTTATGAAATACATAATAACATAATAATAAGTAACTTGACACTAATTGATAATCGCACAGAATACAAATGTATCCTTCGTTGTTTCCAAAATCATTATTCTTGAGGTTTATTAGTTCTTAAGTTTTATCATAAAAAACCTTTTATTATATCGTCACACTATTCGGATTTCGGCAAGAAATCACAAATTTATTAATTAACAAATAATTATCACTTTTTTGTGGGAAATTGTTGTCATCCTTTAAATTCTATTTATTTACTTTTTAATTTGTATGAAGCATTTTAAATACATTTTCTTCATAGAAAATGTACAAATACAAAAATTACCTGAGATAAAAAACATTGTTTAAAATTATAATTTATCATTATTATTATTATATAAAGTTACAAGAATTCGGTTCAGTAAACTCCTATAGATCTCGGGTTTAAATCATAATTTAATAATTGTAAGTATCTGTATCGCTAACATTCAATCTAGGCTAGTATATACATATTTATCAAAAGACTTAAGAGTAAAACTCTAAGACGATTGACGAATATAGTATAGTTATAACAAACTGAAAATAAAACAATTATTAAAACTTGAGTGGGGTATTGTATTTACAGACTCCGCAAGTTGTGTGAATAGTGTAAATTTAAAATTATTACCCATTTTTTTATTGTTTTTTTTTTTGGAAAGAGAATGTAATTACAACAAATTAAAAAAAAAAAAGTGTTTGACAGATTTTTTTTCATAAGCTCTCCGTTCAAACTTATTGCGGTCAGTCTGTTACTATGTCACTGACGGTCGCCTAAGAACGTTTATAGATTGAATAAATTTAATTGAATTTAATCTCTATGAATTGGTCTCGTGAACTGCCTACTTGGTCGGTTTAAATATGTGAAAAATTATCGGTCGCCGAAAGAGGTACCAGGTGAATTGTATGTTGATTTCTAACCTATTACACAATTTTTTTTTCTGGTATTATAAACTCACATACATATACTATTTTTTTTTTTTTGATACTCTAATATTGTGAACTACATAGAACCATAGAGCTGCTAGTCAATTAACACGCGGTTCCAATTAATCACACTATAGTTATGGGAAAAGTGTAATATATAAGTAAAAAGTAGACCTACAAAGGTATCATATGTGCTATTAACATTGTGTAATAGGTTATATTTTATATATAGTATAACATGGGTATGTTCTGTGCAGCTCAACCGGTAGCCCGGTCTTTCATGCGTAGTACGATGTCGATATTATTACTGTGACGAATGTGAGTCATCGGCCGCAGATCTAATCCTAAGTGGGTTAGCATAACATATTATGTTATAAATATTGCAAGTCCGTATCCCAAGCTCGTTAAATGTAAAACAAAAGATAAATTTCATTTATAAACTATTTGTAGCGTAATATACCGCTAGTATAGGTATATCTATATATGAATAATCGGCTTTCGCAGGGTTTAGCTGTTCCTTATATTGTTGTGGGTATTTTGAATAAGTAATATTATACGGTATTGTCGTTTGAATTTGACATAAACAAAAGTTTTTCCGTATCGGCTCGGTCCAAACGCATATTTCAAATATAGAATTGTTTCTTAACCTATTACATTTACATAAGCCCCGTGACTTTTTACTGTGATGTGTTTTGCGTTCAGACAAAACTACTTCTGCATTAGGACAGTCATATTCGGTACCTACACATTCTACATAATTATTTCACCTGGCTAATACATAATATAATATACATATATCATGTAGATAAGAGGAATGTTTGTAATTTAATAAATTACTGTTATCCGAGCATGATAATATGATCTCGTTAGTGGAACATGTGCCTACAGAGTGGCTGTGTTGCTAATTTAGCAATTCCCCATACACGGTTTGTATGTAAAAAAAATAATAGTGTGATGTACCCTGTTGACGTCGGCTGTTCGGTTTTAATCACAAAAAACTGTAACTGGCTCTTTTCTGGTTTACTGGTTTTTCGCCTAAACAGCCGACGATATTATTATGCTGAAATAACGATTTACGTATATTTAAATATATATTACCATGTCGACTGTTGAGAAATTGTGTGTAGGTATATTTTAAGTTCTTAGAAATTAGACTAGTCCCTCCCCCCCCGTCAAGTATAACTGTTTTAAAAGACCTAATAAACGCTCATATGGGATATGACCGACCGCGTTTGATTTGGGACTTTTTACAAATTATACTCAGACTACTTATTTGTCCATTCTTAGCCTTTAAAAAAAAAAAAAAAAATGTCAATGTTCGACGATTATTTTTAACCGATTACTATCCGACGTTTGACGCCTTCCCCTCCTCTCTCCCTCGTAATTATTTCTACCCTCTGGCTTAGCAATAACAAGTATGTAGAATACTATATTTTACATTATATATGTATATATATAGGATTTTCCCATCGCTTAAGCTGACATTGCATATCAGTGCGGTGCACAAGTATTTCATTTTTCTATTCAAATGCGTATATTTTATTTTTTGTGTGAGGGGTTTCCAAAAACCGCTGATGAAATAGTTGACCCAATTGGGTAATGTTTATACCATTAGAGGCACCTATAGTACATTTTGCCCATATCTCGTATAGTTTGTTGTCGGCTTATTGTGATGTGTCACACTCATTTGTTAAAATTTCAAACGGTTTTTTAGGAGTCGTCCGGTGGTGCACTCGACGTTATGGGAAAATATTATAATTCGATACTTGATGTTACTTGGCATTGCAATTTGCAAGTATAGGTAAGCAAAGTACAGACACATATAGATTACGGTTGTAGGTTATATGGAACTCGTTATAAATACAAGTCTGGTGCCGTTTCGTTGGCATTTTTGCACATAATTATATTATCTAAACGACTATTAACATTATTTCGAAGCAACCCGAAACGTAGATTAAATCAAAATCATAACTGAACTTAATGACGATGTGCCGAATACAGATTTGATACATATTAAATTTTTATTTCAAACAAATTCGTTTGAGTTTTAGTTTATAGTTGCAATATAAATTACTCGAGCCATGGCTTGGACATAAAATCACATTCAAGGTGAAAAAAACGCATAAAATAATCGTATATAACTATTTTTTTATGATACAAGTAATTTGGTCTTGAAATCATAGCTGTATTAGTCTCGTATAACACTTCAAGAGGAAATTGGAGTGTCATATAATTTTCACACACAAATCGACTCGGATTGAAGGAAAATAAAATTAGTCAACCTAATTCTCAGCCTTGAAAATAAAGGCGTTCACGACGTCACCGCTTGCACAATATTTATTTTTTAATATCATTAATCTAACGCAGTCGTGGTTTCGATTTACCGGTAAACGAGATTTAGGGTCAGCCAGGGTTAACGATAATGATATATACATATTTTACTAGTAAAACATATTATGTATACAAATAAGTTTAATTAATTGTTACTACTGCTCTATCATAACTATACTTTTAACCAAAATACACTAAACGTATTTTTGTACTATAACCAAATACAGATCAAGCAAAAGGTTGCCTTTGAACTGTTAAATACTAATACGGTGATGCTATTTTATGGAAAGTAATTACTATTAACCGATGTGGATTTTTGACAATAATAATAAGACTAAATACCGGTTTAGTATACTCAGTGCAATTGACTCGTAATGTTTTGTTTAAAAGCTTGTCAGTACAGAAGTCTTTTAGGTTTTTTTTTTTTTTTGTATAGTAATCACCCTACAGCGTGAGTATTACTACTTCATAAATCATACACGCATGGTCGAAACAATTGCAGAATAATATTATTATTACTATACGACTGACACAAAAACCGAGAAATTGTTATGTTATTTGAATAACAAAGCGACAAAAACCCCAATACGGATGGCCAAAAAAAAAAAAAAATATCATCATTCATCATTGCATTACATTAACTTTTAACGATCGGAAACACAATTTGTAAGCATTTTTCTGTGCTGCGGTTATTTAATACAAAAATATAATATACATATTAATGTGATAAATTATTATTTTGTGAGCACCGTATGACGTGTTAAATGTCCTCTATATTGGTTATAATTAGATATTTGTCATTATTTACCACACCCCTAATTACATTTGCTTACAATTATTATTGTTAATAAGGAAAAGTACAACCGGTTGGTCAAATATCGATTCAGTATATGTATCTTATAAAGTCCGGCGCCAATTAATAATACAAGTTTTGTACTACACGTTTGTTGCAAAATTCAGTGGTTTATTTTGAACTTGAAGATAATTACTATTTAACACGAGCAACTGAAAATTTTAAATAAATAATCTGTCTTATGAAAACTTATTAACAGGAGCTCTATTCGGTTCATAAGTATTTTTTATTTAAATATTACATTATATTTTGTACTAGTAGACGACACAAATTATTATCGTAATACAATGATTTAACAACGGCAACGTCGACATCTAACAGTTATTTGTTTTGCAATATTATCAATAAATAATAAAGTTAATAATTTATCATTACAAGATTAGTACGATGGGGTGTCGTATTCTTTCTGTGGTGGTGCACTGTAAGCAGACGCCGGTTTGCTGTAAGACGGTGCAGGTGCGCTGTATGAGGCGGCAGCTGCTGGTTTGTACGCTGATGTTTCCTTGTTGTAAGCGGGGGCTGTTTTGTAGCCACTTCCTTCTTCTTTCTTAACGTCGGCGTTGAATCCGCTCTCGTCGGCGGTGTATTCGACGGTTCTGCGGGAACCGTCGGGCTCGACCAGGGAGTAGTATCCTTTTACGTTGTAGCCGTCGCTTTCTTCCTTTTGGCTCTTGATGTCGTAAGTCTGTTCGTCGTTCACGTGGTATTCGAAGCTGTACGGTTTTGGCGGGTAAGATTCCTCGACGTAAGATTTCTGTGCTCGTTGACCCGGGTAAGACGGCTGTGCAGAGTATTGGGAAGGCGACGGGTATTTAGGTTGTTCGTAAGAAGACGACGGAGCAGCAGAGTACGATTGAGGTTTACCGTAGGCAGGGGTAGTGTACGATGGTGCTGAGTATGACGGAGTAGTGTAAGAAGGAGAAGAATAAGATTGTGGTTTGCTATAGGCAGGGGCGGAGTATGAGGATGGAGCTGAGTAGGATTGGGACTTGCCGTAAGCCGGAGCTGAGTATGATTGGGGTTTGCCGTAAGCCGGGGCGGAGTAAGAAGATGGAGCAGAGTATGAGGATGGAGCTGAGTAGGATTGCGACTTTCCGTAAGCCGGGGCGGAGTAAGAAGACGGAGCAGAGTAGGAGGAGGGAGCTGAGTAGGATTGTTGTTGTCCGTAAGCCGGAGCAGAGTATGATTGGGGCTTGCCGTAAGCCGGGGCGGAATAAGAAGACGGAGCAGAGTAAGGGGATGGAGCTGAGTAGGATTGCGACTTGCCGTAAGCCGGAGCAGAGTAAGGGGACGGAGCTGAGTAGGATTGTTGTTTTCCGTAAGCCGGAGCAGAGTATGATTGGGGCTTGCCGTAAGCCGGGGTGGAGTAAGAAGACGGAGCAGTGTAAGGGGACGGGGTGGAGTATGCAGAAGGAGCGGAGTAAGTCTGCTGTTGGCCGTAAGCCGGCGCGGAGTAGGACGGTGAAGAATAAGACGGAGCTGAGTAAGATTGAGGTTTGGGTCCGTATGACGGGGTGGAGTACGACGGAGCCGAGTACACGGCTACTGGGTACTTGGGCTGTTCGTAAGAAGGTTGAGCGGCGTAAGACGGAGACGAATACGACGGCGGTGGGTATTCCTTCTGTCCGTACGCTGGCGGTTGTGAGTCAGAGCATTCAGTTGCGGCGACGATGCTGCATTGAATGGCCAAGAAGGCGACGATCAAGAACTATAAATTAAAACAAACAACTGCGATTAGAATAATTGAAATCACGCGTTTATCGGTTGGAGCTCTTAAACGGCAAAAGCATTGCGAAACTCGACTTGACAACGTCCTGCCGACTTATAACACATATGGGTGTATAATATGGTAATTAGAATACAAATGAACGCCAAACGTACAGTGTGTGTGTGTGTATGAGAGAGAGAGACGTATGTATGTTACATTAATCTATGTATATGCACGGGCGTGTAACCAGTGTGACACAATTCACTTCTAATCATACTGTCCTAAGCTTGGAAGATGCAACCTACGGCGGAATCTTTTTTCGTCATTGCAAAGCTCGTGGAGCGACCTACTGTTATAATAATGTTGTGTACAAGAATAAAAATAAAAATATTGGAAAATGTACGCGTGTTGCACTATTAGTCGCGCTAATAACGACTTTTAATAAAAATTCAATTACAATAATAATGAGAGAGATACAATATATGGGTAATAATAAAAACGAAAGCGTTCACAGTGCATGTGCGTAGTTGACAGATGTGTATCAACCCGAACCGGTTTAAGACGTGCCGTTAGTGCGTATATCTGTCCGAGAAAAAAAAACTGTATACTTGTGTCGACTCGACGCGCGTTCTTACTTCCATAGAGGTGGTTATACAACAGCAGGCTGTGCTCTTACAGAATATATATATTATCCGTACTTAAAATTAAAAGCGGACGGTATCCTGCGTCAGACATGATGATGTGCGCCAAAAGATAAGAGTAGCGTAGAGAGCTTAGCAACTTTTCTCAGTTCTCGGTTAAGTCACTTAGAATACTTTAAGAGTTTAGAGTGTATAGGTTATAAGCTGCCTACGTCGATCGCCATGCGGTCAATCGGGTTGTGTGGTAATATTTTGTTTTGATTTTAAAACATTTAATAATAAATCAAACGCCGTATAAAATGGTGTATTAGTTTTTTTTTACGTATAGTGCCCATACATATTATGACTGTACCGCAGCTATTGTGAAAGTAGAATTATTAATACCTGAAATCGATAATAATAATTATCGTTTTGGCCTTGTTATACATGTTATACATATATATTTTTAAATTTTAATTTTCTTACAAATATTGTCCTTACATCTTAAAAGGGCTTATCGTTCGGTCACGTATTAAAATATATCCTTATATTATTAATATTATTATTTAATATTGTTATTATTTATTATTTCTATTATTATTATTGTTGTTAACACGGGTACGCTAAACGCGCATGTTTGTATTGTTAAATAAATAGGCCGTGCCCTTAACATTTTAATGTTTACTTTATTGGTGTCGTTTAATCAAATTTTATGAAAAGATTCCAATTAAACTATTATGGTCTCAGCATTGCACTATATTTGATCGCGTACCGTGTAACTATTTATATTATGTACTTGAAACGAGATCAATATGGATATTTTCTTTTAACGAGTCGAATTGGCCGTGAAGACGAACAATGGAGAAGTTAAAAATTATTGCATTTCGAGATTGTTACATCAAATTTTGTATTGTAAATAATAATTCAATAGATGTACATTTTTCTTATGTATTAATCTAAAGAGTTAATAATTTGAAAAACTTTAAATTTTACATTCTTTAGTATTGTTTAAATGTTTATTAATGATTTACGTTCTCATCAGTTGGCTTTCCGTCAACTATAGCTTAGTCTTTAGATTTAATACTGTTAAACTATGGTTAATTTTTAAGGTCAACTGCTAAGAACGACCACTAATAAAAAAGTAGTAAGCCAGCTGATACGCCAAAGAGATACCGCAGGAAAGATCAAATCAATAGCGACACATCTAATGTAAACGAAGACATCTTATCATTTAGTATATTCTTATAAATAATTATATTTATACATAACTTATGTATGGATATAACAATACACCATAATGATATGCTAAATAACATGACAGCAGCGTTTTTTTGAGTTAAGTATCTTTTCCGGGTTAATTTTAATTAGTAATGATTATTTAGGTATTATTACTTTTTCAATATATTATAATAGTATACAATATAATATATACGATATAATAACAAATTATCTAGATGTTTATTTTGTGTTCTATAGAATAAATTATCTTAAATTAAAATATATATATTTATATATTGAAGCCTTGTCTAAATTTATTATGAAAGCTGATATAGGTTGACTAACTAACATAGCATATTTTAATGTATCATACTTGTAAATATTTATACTTAAAATGATTATTAATTTAAGTAACGATTAAAAACAGGCAGGTGTGTTGTTGTTTAAAATTAGAATTTTTTTTAAAAATTGTATTCTTGTACTTAACAATGTATGAAGTATGTAAACATTTTTTTTTTCTAATTTGTGTAGTCATACTAGAGACTATATAAAATTATATTTAAACTGTGTTTGAATTAATGTTGATGGGAAAAACATTTTAACTAACTATTAATTTCATAGTTTTCAATTTAAAAAATTTCATTAATTTGGGATTTTTTGTTGTACATTTTATTATAATGCAGTATAATTTTTTTTTTAGTTTGGTTTTTTTACGACTTGTAATTCTGTAGACTTTAATTTCTTATAAAATCGTTGTGAAGAAAGAAAAATACATTTTTAAAACTAAAAACGATTAAATAAATAGTTAATTATGTTTGGCCACCACCGCCAGACTATTCTGATAAATGTTAAATTGTCAAAAGAATTTCTACAAACATTTTGAAGAAAATAACTGATTACATACTTATGTAAAAAACACAAAAAATATCTAAAAACAAAAATTTTAAATTTTAAACGATTAATTAGACATTTAAACGAATATTTTGAACGCCTCGGTTATTATGATTGGCTAATGTAATTCGCCATTGAAAAAAAGTACTAGTTACCTTTATTTTCAAAAATGTACGTCCTACGATTAATTCGAGATTTAGAACAAAGGGGTGGGGGGGGGGTGATGAAAGTCGGGCTCTAAGTGTAAATAATAATGGCTCTTACTCATTGAAAAAATTATTTAAATTAAATATAACACCTACCTAACACCTTAAGGCTTATACAAATTAACCGGTAAATTAATTGACATGGTCGAAATGTATTAAAACCCTCTTGTTTTCTTAAATATCACCTTTGCAAAACTCCCTAAGAACAGACAGCATGCAATCCCCTTGACCAACGATGGTCAAGACAACAAGAGTACAATAAAAAATAACAATCTATATGATAACGTACGAATAGGAATCACTTACTTTGGCCGCCATCGCCGACAACGATAAAATATAAATGAAAATAATAAAATTTAATAACAAAATATAAACAAATACGGATGATCTCCGATCGAACTGTCAGATTACAATAATCCGTCGGACCGCGATGCCGGTAAATTTATATGGTCAACTTAAACGCCGTGGACCCTACTCATGTAATTATTATTATTGTGATTTTGCCGCTTATGGCTAAGGTATTTTCTAAATATAATACCTACACGACACCTCTTGATACCGGTCACCCTTATAGCTGGATTGGTCGCGTAATGTGTGTAATTATCAAATGTTTGCCTCGTAAACAACGTTATGTTGTTATTATAGAGTATAGAAGCCGACTTCCATATTATAATTATAATATATTATTATCATGTGGGACCATCGTAGAGTGGCTGCTATGTGGCGCCTGGACAGGATACCGTATAGCCACCGCGCGTAACCGGAGCTCGGGGCCAGGAATTGGCCGGCCGATCGGGTTAATCGATTAGTAATAATGCTAAAATAACAGCTATCGCATAAGTAGTAGGCAATACAGTAGTAGGTAAAATATATACAAAAACAAACCGCCCAGTGTGTAATATTTTGTCAAAAAGAAATCGACGACTTTCGCCGCCCCGTATAAGCCACGGGGCTTAAATTTGCGCTTGAACCGGCCCTCCGTATAATATTATTGAAACACATGGCACTATAATACGTCTATATGTATACATATAATGATATTATGTTGTATACGGTCGTTAATAAGTTATTATATCACAATATGTTAAATTGGATTTGATATGTATTTTTTTGGACACGGCCGATTTACTCATCGCCCCCCCCCCAATCTCCCCCCCGTTCAATGTCATACGGCAAGGTTCGAAGATAATTATATAGTATATTATAGTATATATATACTATCCACTTTGGGTTCAGCTACTGTCTGTGGCGGAACACGGATAACACATTATCCCTGACAGCATAGCATTATAATATGTGTATATGTAACATTTCATTCGACGGTAAAACGTCTAGACAGCATATTATTATATATTGGAATTGCAGTTTCTTTTATTTACTGCCATTTTTTCCATTTTCAATTTTCACCATATTTTATTTATATATATATATATATATCATTATAGCTCTATGATTGATCGATATAGTTGCGGAAAATTCAGTTTAAGTTTTTTACACCTACGCGAGGGACCAAAGTTTAAATACAAACAATATATTTAATATCACCGTCCGTCGACATAATAAAATATGATCCGACGGTATTATTTTTAATAAATTACAAACAAAAATATAGTGCCAAATTTTGTTTTGAGTCGCTCAAAACTAAAACCTAGTAAGGATTAAATCATTATTTGACAACCGTATTTTGTAGTGGGTTAGTTATATACTTAATTATTATTAATTATAATTGTATACAAGTCTAGTTTACAACAAGTATTTATAAAGTTCAGTGCAGAATTTTAATAAGGTTAAGATTTAATTGGAGTTTAGGTCTTATTAAATCTTACTCGATATTTTAAATTGTAAGACATATTATTCGGAATGTATTTATAAAATAATAATCATGTACTTACACGTGTATATAATTATTACTATTATAAATTATTTAAAATCAGCATTCGGTAAATTTGATTTTAAATGTATCATTAACAATTAATGTTTGTTTGTAGTAATCTAAAATCCATAGACATAACGGTTAATACAGGTTATAGTCCACAAATAAAGACCCAATACAGCAGCATTTAGTAAATATGAGTTGTCTTCGACCAAACAAATAAGATGTAAACGTTGAAGCTCTTTAAAAATATCTCACCTGCTCTACCGGATCCTCTAAACCACCTTTTGTCCTCTCTTAACGCTTCACGACTTTAGGCGTTACCTTTACAACGTTACTACATTTACTACCTTTGGATTGACCGAAACGGGGCGTATGTTTTCTTATTTAAGTATTTTATTTTTTGTTTTTGAAAGCCCCGCAGTCTGCCACACAGAGCTGTTAAGCAACGTGGTGTTACGCTGTAATATATTATAACACACACCGTACTCGACTTCGTTGAGCAACATTATTATCGTGCCTTTGGGACATGTCTTCTGCAAGGCGGCGCCTAATGTAAAACGGGGGCGCTTAACAAGTTTTTCGCCCGAGGTTCGATACAACGTCTCGGCCGGGTCGAGTTACGCCGACGGTTTTTTGCGACAGATTTAAAAAAAGTAGAAGGCAATTTCGGTAAAAAAAAAATGAATAAATATAATTTATACTATATAATTAATCGGTGTTTCTTATTGGGAATGACCAATTTAAATTGCATTAAAAAAACATTTTCAAGGATTCCGGCGATGGCTGTAATTATCGCCCAAGTATATATTGTTCTCCCGGGAATTCGACCGTGATCTAGTTAAAATTTTAAATCATTTTTTTTTTTACTAATATATTGTAAACACATAGTTATCATACTACGCGGCAGCCGCGTACCCAAGATTTGATAGATTTATTTCATTCATATATGTATATCTTGGTATCATATTGTCACATAAAATCTAAGATTCGCTAGAACAATATATTATCATATTATTGTACAATTGCAATGGTAAATAACAATTATTGAAGGGATGAGTGGATAATGTTGTTAAGTGACATTTTTTTGTAAAATAGTTTGAATGAATAAAAGTGCAAAATATTATAACAGTTGAATGTGTGTTGAGCATACACATGAAAAACAAATGTCAAGCATTTGAATTTGTATTGACTAAAATGTTGCATAATAATAAATCACATAAAACCGTTATTGTCGATTGACGGTCATGTCTAATAAATCTGTACAGTGCAGTTGTATTATAACGTGTGAAAACTGCGTTTACGGTAAAACGCACTAATTAAATTAGAATGATTGCTGTTCGTTGAACGCTTAAGTGTTATTTATCATCACGATCACGATAGGTATAGGTTTACAGTCCATTATGTATTACATATACATTGTTCATGCCTATTAAGGTACACCTGTTCGTGTACGTGATACTTTAAAAAATAACGTTAGTTTTTTTTTAATAAAGTCATAATAGCCGATTAAGAAATTAAAAAAATTGTATTGTACGTTTTTTCTATTCCAGGTGTTTTTACCGACATAATTGTTGACAACACAAAATCATTGTCAATCTATTTTGTCCATTTTTTAAAGCCTCTGAAAAAATCTAAATAGTACCATCCAGTTGATTATGCGCTGGTCAGCTCTTGTAAAGGCAAATTGTAAAAAAACATTATTTTGGAATAATCAAAATTTGGCAAATCGCAGCGCACAAATGTAAAATGCCATCTTTTTTTTATGAGCAAAACACTATACAATTACCTAAACATTTTTTTTTAGGTAGGAAGGGGTAACGTGGAGAAGTTTAAACTTCTGTATACAAATTTAGCAATTACACCAAATTAATCCAGCCTTAAGTTTTTCTTTTTTTTAATTTAAAATTCTGAGTAGGTGAAAGAGTCTTATATAGAAGATATTTCTACGAAACCGACCAAGGCCAAGTTGTCCAATATTGGTGTACATAGTTTCAGAGTATACCTATAGATATTTATTATTAACAATAATTTTAAGTAGTTATTTATAAAATGATGAGTTATATTAGTGTTAGTTCGCTTTATGTTTGAATGGAATTTTAATTAAATTGATTAACTTGTAAGCTGTTTGATAACTTATACATCATACCAGCGCAGTGTAGAGCGGACAAACAAGTTTATATAAAAAAAATGAAACTAGTGAAGTCTATTTTTTGTTTAGTACAGAGACGAAAACTTGTTTGATACGCCGTGACAGTATGTGGTAATAATAATGTATTATATAATTATTTATTTATAGTAATTCAATTTATATATTTTTTTTTCTGGCATAATAACAAGCCAGTATTTTTTTAGCCAGAAAACATAATTTTTGTATTCTATCTATTACTTTATTTTCATAGATATTTTATGTGTATATAAATCACATTACCAGCTAAATACACAATATAAAGTAAGTATGAGGAGGCATCCGTTACCCATACCGTGGGTCTCCTGTTACTATAAGACTCCTGTTGGACGATTGAACACTTGGAAACTATAATATAATAACATATTGTTTTTGCTACGAAAAATGATTTAATACCTCCCGGTTCGGTTGTCAACGCAGAATATATTATTATTTAAAATACGGTAAAGGCGGAAAAGGCCTGATAAATATTATAAAACAACTGGGAACGGCTTACGGGCATTCTGTCTTGGTCCCTCGGGATAGACGACCAACGTCACCTCTTGGTCGTAAACAATACAAAAAAAAAAACCTTTTCCCATTTGTATTTTTACTCTCTTCCTCTCTGCGATCTGACATTTTTGAAAACGTGCAAAATTAAGTTTTCATACCGCACGTGAAATGTATTTTTAATTTTAGAGTATCGAAGTCTGTTCGATTTTTTTATTATTTTAATTTTATTTTCCTGACATTGGAAGTAGCTACTCGAGATAAAAGGGAAAATATGGCCAATATTCAATTAAAACAAAATATAGTCTCAATTAGATTTTCATCGTACTACACGTGTTATCTTCGTGCAACTTTCATCAGGGTAATTTATACTAGCTCGAAAATAGAAATCAAACATAACCTCATATTATATGCAGATAGTTGTAATTTTTATCTGAATTTCTAATTAAATATTAATCGAATATGTTTTTTTTTTAAAATTAATTCGAACAAAACGTTATTAGAATAATTTGTCTCCAGTTTGTTCAAATAAGAAAATTATTCGAATAAACAATAATAGTGTGCAAACAACAAGGAAACCGACAGAGGGATGAGCGAATCAAAACCGTCGAGGGATCTAAAAGTTCTGACTTCTGTTTGTAGTTTATACACAAAAGTTCTTACTTCAGTAGGTGCATCGACAGTGGAAAGTAACTCAAGTTAGGTAATAAAATGTAAATAAAATTTCGTACAAACTATTATATTATATTGATTAATTTTCTGTCAGGCTAAACGAAGGGACATACATAATTTACATTCAACAAGTATTATTCTTATCAAAACACAAGCCAATAGTGTCGGCTATTATAGATCTAGACTAGTCTTCTCATCAGCTAAGACATTTTTTTTTCGAGATAGTTATTTATCCAAATAATCTTTGGTCGTTAAAGTGTAACACGTAACAACTACAATATTTTAGGACACCGATAGAAAATCACGACCTTTCTATAGTTTGATCTAGAGATAACAATAAGATTCGGCCCACGGTTACAAATAATTAACGTTTATGTAACATCTGTTGTTCTTCCTCCGCAAAAAAATACATCCTATCAAATGCTGTATATATGGTTATGTGTGCACCTTATGAAAATTTCGTATTCCGATAAGAATCGTCTGTGGCCGATTACGGTAACCGCATTGTTGTTCAAATATAATACACATATTATAGTGTCGGCCGCCGTCGATGATGATACTATTTGAAAACATATTATAAAAAATATATATTATACACAGTCGATGGCGTTGAGATCAGTTTTTTTGTTCTGATCACTCCGCGTGCAGTCGTTTTTTTATTATTATATACATACATACACATCCTAACTCGGATCCCAATACACAACGCGTCCAACTCTCGATTGTTCGGTGAAAATGCATACCTATATAATATAGTTCTAACTAATCTAACCGTATTAAGATAACAATAAACCCAAGACAAATATTAAATTGCACCTTTGACACGGTTGACAAAAAGTTCTGTCCGGCGCTGTTGACTTTCACTAAACGTCTCGCGTTGGGCGTTCTATCAAAAAAAAAAAAAAAAACTTATAAATAATATAGCGTTAAATTTCAATAATAATTATTATAATATGGATGTATACATATATTGTATTGTGCACGCCATCGCGCCTCTCTGTATAATAAAGCTATCTATGGTTTCTTGTAAAGCGCGTATGGGCGATCTTGTTTTAATATAATAACACGGTAATAATTATTATAATATTTCAACGTTATACCTACATAGGTACTACTACGTGCCTATTATATATTTATAACGATAGTCGATCACTGCGGTTGTTGCCCCCCGTGTCAACCGATGCGTTATATAACGTACCCACAATTATTATTATTGCATCCGAACCGTGTAGATTTGATTTCCATAATAATATAATATTAAACCTTCGCACCACACTTGCTCCGCCCGGACCGGAATATAGTTCTGAATGGACAGGACACTCGATACTTGATGCAAACGAGCACACACACACGCCAAGACACTACTATTCTACTTATTACTTCCCAGACGCCTTATCATTATAATTTTGCAACGGGTTCTCGAGTGTCTTCGACGCCCCGGGGCTGAGATGTGCACCGGTAGGTACCTACTTGAATTACAATGTCCTCTATGCTCTGAAACTGTATCGTTGTTGTTATTACAAAACTATGGATAATAATGCAAAATTATGATAATTTTTTATTTAGCTAACAATGTGTTCAAATGTTATGGCTTAAAAACTCTGTGTATTATACAGTATAAAAACTGAAATCTGGCTTGGCCGTTGAGATATTTACTAAAACCAAAACTAATATCAACGAACCGTGTAAGACAACTCGAGTGTGCCTGAAAACGTGCTCAAGGTGTGATAAAGAAATATACACTGAATTTTAATAATCAAATAATAATTTGTATTGTTTTCTGTGTATCATACTTTGTACGTTGTCTGTTAATTGGCAAAAAAAATCAACTCAGGCGAGCCTTGGAACCAGTGGAGTCTAAGTATAATATTAGCCGGAATAATTATTGGTCTATGAGTAAAAAAGAAAACGGTGATTATTTCAATAACAGTCGTAGAAGCTATATGTATATTTATTCTCCAACGCCGAGTGCATGCTTAAGGGATTATAATATTTTATACTTGTAAAAGATTAACCAATTCAGTGTTGTACTTATTTTTCAGAGTATCAAGACTCGCCGAAGAAGTGGAAATGAGATGAACGCGGTTTTTAAGATTCCATGTAAGTGCACACTCACACACATTAATCATAGCACAAGCGTGCACATTGTGTATAATAAAATATAACATAAAGTAATAAAATACCATTATTTTTAATTCAAGTAAAACATTGCATGTTTAATATTTTACGCGTTAAAAAAAAAACCCCAGCTGCATATTTTTCCAAGTTTAATTAAACAAAGTAACAAACGAAAACTTTTCAGACTGCGCACTATTAATAATAAGCCATATTTATTCGTCCGGTTCCACCGAGTGTCGTCAAGTATTATTATAATATAAAGCCTCGAGGCAGCTGTGGAAGTTACAAACGGTCATGTGAATGTGGCTACCCAGTTAATATAGGGACATCAGTCATTGGTAGACATTGGTAACTTTAAATTGTTCTATCTCAATCTACATATGAAGGGTATAGCGAAAAAACTAGGAAAATCCTTTTTTTTTTTTTTAAATCTAAGCAACACGCGGTTAAATATAATGCTATAAAATGCTATAAAGATGTTTAAAAATGTTAAAAAATTAAAAAGTGACTTTCCCTGTACCCTTCATATTATTATATTATATTAAAAAAATGTCAAACGTACACCTAGTAGAGGCGTCTAGTTTAAGTTCACACGGTTTTTATTGTCAAAGACCGAGTCCACATTCTTACGATATGATTTTTGATCAACTAGATTTTTACCGAAATACTTTAAAATAAACTAAAATCCAAAGTGTACTAAAAGGAACCCCTCTAGTGGGATAAAAGTTGGGTCTTTAAAAGTTTGCACATCGATAAGGAAAAAAATGCACATACCATAAACCGGAAACGAGACTTCAAATTTCTCACACCGAGTTATGTCTTAAACAGATGTTCCGGTCCATTAAGGTGCCCGCAGAAATTAAACGTCACGGTCTTACATAAAAACTTGCGGATAAAAGTTTTTCAGATTGTTGTGAGGGGAGGGGGGAGATTTATTTATTTTTTCTTATGTATTTTTCATTTGTAATCTAAAGAAGTAATGCTAGCCTTCGGTTTTTTTTCTTTTGAAAGAAAGTATGAAGCAGGCGTAGTTGTATAAAATTTCTATGATAAATCAAAGTTGATTCCAACCTTCCTTCCAAAGTTGGAAAAAATGTTTATTTTTCAGTTCTGAGTGTAAGCATACATAATAATAATGTACACAGTCTTCTTAAAAAAAATACATGTATATCACCTAATGGAATAGCTCATCATAAATTATAAAAAGTACCTCTTTAGTGAGTATTTTTTTTTTTTAATCTGTTTTTTATACATATCCAATTAAATTGTTGCGGTCTCAACCCTTAAACACCGTTATACAGTACCGAGAAAAATATGATTAGAGTATTTACAACATCACGGAGTACTTTAATTAAATATTTCTGTGAATAACATTGAAAATGATATGCATAGTTTTGAAATACTGACCCAAAATCCCCCGAGCAGGATATTAAAGATTATAATAATTTATTCCAATACATATAATATTTAATGATGTAATGTTATGCGAAACCTGTAAGCGAAATGCGAATAAAAATCAAACAAGACTCGCAGTCAATTTATTATAAAGTATAACACGGTACCTCATTATTGTTATTATTATTTGTGTTATGAAAGTCAACAGAAGAACATAAATTATTTTAATAATAGTCATGACGAGAATCATCTTAAATAAATCAAGAGTAATAATTATCGCTCGCCTTAACGGGACCAATTAGGCAAACAGCATAAACTTCACACTAATGCAGTGAAATTGCCTATTTGATTCGCCGTTTGTTTGTAACTTTTGGATAAGCAAATCTTTTCTGCTTTAAAATCGAATTGATTAATTTCATTTTAAAAAATGTTTAAGAATGTTGAAATTTCAAAAATTAAAATATGCTAATGCTAAGTAATTTTCTGTTTAACGGTTTTTTTATAATATAATATATGATTTAGCATCTTACAAAAAATAAATTCCACCTTGTCTTTTTCGACTAGATTATTTGTACATAATCAAAATCGAATATATTAAAGTTACAGATGTACAGAGGGACATAAATTAATATTAAAAAAATATATATTAACATAGCCCTAAATAAGTTAGCATGATTAAACATGAGTACCATTATACAATTTGTTTAATATTGCTTACCTATATATTTTCAACAGCGCTTTAATCCAAATAGAGAAAACAATCAAAACAAGACTGATTATACATAATTATGAAAAATTTACCAGTAAGTCCAAACCGTGACAGGTTAAGAACTTGATGAGTTTATTTAAGATATGTAAACGTTGTTAAATATTCTTAAGCAATTATTCAACAATTTAATACAAGGCGATCAACTGGTCATGTTACAGTAGTTTATTTTCTTAACAAAAAACTAAAATCTATATTATTGTTATTATTATAAATTCAATTTTAATCAGAGTTAATTTTGAACGTGCTTTTTAAAAACATTATTTTATGGCCAATTAAAATCAGAACAACGCAATGCAAATAAAGTCTGGTCGTTAACCTGTTTGAATAAATACTTAAAGGTACGTTATGTTATGTTACTTTTCCCAATTCACTCCGGTAAATATTAACTCACAACCAAAGAAAATTACTTATTTTACCCCACTAAAACCTCACTTTAAAGTAACAATTTGAACTGAACACACATCTTTTGTACTTGTACAACATACTATTATGTAATAAGAATGGGTAACGTTTATTTGATGATAATAAGTATTGTTTAATATATAATTGGGAGACGGGCACAACCTAACCCTACTCTACCTTATCACATAATATATTAGCTCTTTTTCTGGGGAGATTGTTTCATCGCTTTAAATTGTTATTTATGTATCGAGATCAGTAACCGTTTACCGTGCGTTATATAACCACAACAACACATATTATAATTGTATTTGCATAAACCGTCTGTTTTAAAATGTAACTAGAACGCGTAGGCACACACACACTCGTGTTAAGCTCAAGCTATATACTATAATATAATATATCGTGTACACTAATGGAAACCTATGGTAGAATCTATTAACGCTAAGCCACCTATATAATATATGATGACCATCGAGAAAATGTTTTTTTTTTTTTAATAACAACTTAAACGCAACGACCACATTAATTTGCATTTAGTTCACATAGCGATTATATAAGTATAGTTTGATGTGTTATAATAAAAAAATTATTTTTTTGAAACATTGACATTGAGTTGGTATAAAAATGTAATGAAATGTATAATAGAATTTTGAATTTGTTTTTCAATTTTCAGCTACTCAACAATTGTACAATGATAGTATTTGAAAAGAAAACATTTAAATTACAATTGTTCGACGTCTTAATAATTAATTCATAATAACGTGGTCGTGAACTTGAGGTGTTTTTACAACAAATTTACCGAATATAGCATCGCCTAAGTCCATCCTAAGTCTAAATATTTGATATGGATTTTGTTAAATCATTCTCTTTCTCAGTCCACAGTGTACTGCTTGCTGCTTATTTACTTAATCAAAAATCCCCTCTTGAGTATTGCTTAACGACTGTATTATATTTTTTTATTTTAACGGTCATGTTACTAAATTTGATTTTGAAATAAAAAAATAAATATAATACTACTTGTCATTTATTTATTTTTAGAGTTATTTGTTTAAGTATGACCGTGACACACCTATTTTTAGTTTTTCTTTTAAAGCAATCAAATCGCAGTTGCGTGCATTAACTTTTTTTTTATTATTATTATTATTATTATTATTATTAAAACTCGGCTCGTCCCTTAACGGCACATGTCATTGAGGTTAAAACCATAACACATGCTATTACAAAAGCGTCGTTAAATAATTTCGGTCCGATATAAGACGATTGTGCAACGTCTTGTCATGTCTGAACGCATTAGGTTAATGCACTTTAATACGTTACATTATGTACACAGCTCTGTTTTCGTTTTTGAAATGATGTCATATTATTTTAATCTAACGCTCGAGTTTGGTAAATTAATATAACTATCTTCGATTAACTTAAAAAATATTTAATATCAGAATAAAAAGTTCAAAAAAAATTACAAAAATTAATTAGATGCGGGTAAGACAGTAATAATTAGTGTCGTAGTCAACAGTGGCATACAATAATATATATATAACTGTTATTGAAAGTATGTACACGCTTCAGTTCCCAAAAATATTTGAAAATATAACATCTTAATATTTAATAGTCATCCACTTACCGACTACATTAAAACATGGAATTGTGTAATAACAATTTTTGGGATATATCATTATGTACCATTTCAACAATCACTTTAAGACTACAATTTAATTCCACGATTTTATTATTCTAATCTTAGTGAGTATGAACTCTCTCTCTCTCTGTGATTTTGAAACTGCTTTCGTCGAGTGGCCTTCGTTGTGATAACAACGAGTACCTCTTGACTTGTAAGAAGTGTGTAAGGCGCTCTAATGTTAACGACCATTGACAATCTATTTTGAATTTCTTTTTCATATAAGACTGTTGTTATAAGATATGCCTACCGTAAATTCATTACTCCGTATAATTAGGTACTCTCTAGAATATGATATCTTACTAATAACTAGTACTTTAAGTGACACTCGAGGTAGGTTAAAACATAGTTAGGTTGGTCTGGTCGTGTATTGCTCAGCTTAAGTATTTATTTAAGCGGTTGAAAGTGAACATTTTCTTTTTCAGATCATAAGACTGTTGACTAATGTTACACACCGGAGAAGAGTAGGTATTTTACTTAAGATATCTGGTGGTTTTAAAAAAACAGCCGTTGGGGTTACCTTTTACAATAACGCAATACACAATATATAAGTGGTTTTGATGTTCTATGACATTTATTTACAAATGTGACGCAAACGATGACAATACAATAAGTGGTGTAGTTATTAAAAATAATATATAACAGCAATACATATATTATATTAGTATTATAAAATAAGATGTCGAGTGTACCTAAGACTTAAAACAGTCTTTGCGCGATTCAACGGTCAGCGTTGGGTCG